GAGCTGTCTCGGAATTGGAGTCGTAGTCGCAGTCACAGTCTTGTTTCTCACATCATATCATACAGAACAGAACACACACATTCACACACATTTATCCAAGAGAGACCAGGATATTCAATCCTGGTTGACTGACTTTGACTGTTGACAAGTCGTTGACAAGGCTGATGTACCCAATCATATCCGCCTCCCTTCCAATTTCTCTTTACCCATCAGGAATCATAGGATGGATGACCTAGTCAGTAACATATCCATATCCATATCCATATCCATATTGTACTCGAGTATCTAGTATATTAAGCACAAAGCGATGTAGGTAAACTAGGCCTCGGGGTATCCAATATATTACACACCATCAAGGCATAAAACATTCTGGTATGGATGCCCAAGTCATTTTTCTCTTCTACGATCTATCTATCCATCAATAGTGTCCTCACCAGAAAAGAAGTAAACCTTCCCACCTCCCGTAGATCGATAGATGAATATAACATATAAATACCTAATTATCAATAAACAAATGCCCAGTGCGCACGAGAGTTCATCATCGCTCTCCCCTACTCGTACAATCCCATCCCATTCAATTTCATCTGATGCGCCTACCAAATTCTTTCCTCGCACATGTCTCGCCTGCTAATTAAAAGCCGATCCATCAAGATCATACATAGTTCGATATCCAAACAAAAGCAAATGCCAGTCAGTCAGTACCTACTACCTACCTACCTAGGTAAATAATAAGATCTGAAAACTAAATCAGGTGTCTATCTGTCTGTCTCGTCGCTCTGTCTCGTCGCTCTACCCACATACCTAATATAGTACACACAATACAATACAATACAATACCACAATACCACCATAACCGTATCTAAACCCATCCATCACTCGTGCTCCTTTCACACATATACTGATAATAACACCATCTCACCATCTCACCATCTCACACCGATATATACTACTGTGCACTGATACACTGATGTACAATGATGTACCATCGCAAAATTGCATCATCCAGTCAACATGGTAATACATACACTAACACCCAAACACGCCAAGAATATGATGGCTCGACGATGGTCATTTATTCATACATCTCACACGGAGTACCAGTATATCCAATACAATTAATCCATCCCATCCATAGTTACTAGTTAGAGATCAGATCAGATCAGATGAATAAAAAACCAATCCCATCAAAACCTATCCCTCCCCTTCCCTTCCCTCGGCATATTCCAAGAGCGCGCCAAAGTATCTATCCATCCATTCCTAGCTAATAGCAGGAAGGAATGAATCCTCTTCCTGTTTCTTTCTTTCTCCCTTATAGTTTAGTTTCTTTTCTATTTGTTGTTTACTCACTTAGGTAATCATAGCTTACAGTGATACTGGTATCGTACAGTAAAGTAGAGTACCGGTAGAATAGAGTAAAGTAGAATAATATTAAATAAAATAAAATAGAAAGTTCGTGTTTGATTTTCCTACCTAGTAATAACCGGTACTAGTATGTAGTCTCATAGTATTGCTTGGGTTTTTGGGTAGGTACCTACCTACTTGATACTTGATTGATACTCCTTAGTAGGTATCTAGTAGGTAATTATGATTATGATTAAGCATCTGGCAAATTCGACATTTCTCAGTAGGTACCTAGATATGTATCATAGCGTAGGTATCATTTCATTTCATTTCATCCCCAAATCCAAACTTCAAAAATAAAATGAAAATAAAAATAAAAATCAAACAAAAATCCTAATTAAATTTCACCATCGTCCAAAGATCAAGATCATCACATATAAGCTTTCTCCATCCCTATCCATATCCATATCCATATCAAAATCATCAATAGATAGATAGATAAATATTAACCCATCCATCCATCAGATCAGATCAGATCACACGGAGAAATAAACTTAGCTACCTACAAGGCTACCTACTCCATAACACAATCCCATACCCATCGCGGAACTCTGTCTCCCGCCCGGAAATTGGGATGAGCAAGCGACTAGAGTAGCTAGAGATGAGTCGATCGATTGGGTTTGAGATTTCGTATTTCCAGGTTCGTATTTCGTGTTGATATCTAGGTAGTCTCTCTCTCTCTCTCTTTTTTTTGACTCGTTGCGACAAACACGGGATGGGTTTTGGTGAGGTGATGTGAGGGAGGGAGGGAGATGGGTGGGTTGGGGGATGGGTTTGGGGATAGGTAGGTATGTATTAACTATTAATACCTACCAAATATCTATCTATCTACTACCTACCTAATACCATATCCAAGACCTATTCGTCTGCTGTCAACATAGTAGATTTCAGATGTTACGCTTTAATACATCAGTATTAAGTTTCATTGTTCGTTGATAGGGAGGGTAATAGGTATACCGAACACTCTCTCGAGGCTCTTTAAGATAAATCGATCATCAGCTATCACGAGAATTGCTAAAGTTATCATTTCATATAAGTTAGTTATTAGTTTTATAAAGTATAATCAGAATACATTTTGTTGTTATATATCTCTGGTACAGTTGAAATATTTGATAACAACAGAAAATTTCTCAAAAGGGGGGAGGAGAAATTGTTATTCGAATAGATATATTTTGATGGGATTTTGATTATGATTATAGTTGTTTTAGAAAGGGGCCTCGAATGAGAAAAGTATATAGTTAATGATAAGAAGGCATTTGGGAAAATAGTAATCTCTACTATTAAAGAAAGTATAGATCGTTTGAATCAATAGAAGAATAAGCAAGACCGAAAGAAGAAGGACAAGCGATGAAAGCACACTTCTCTATCAATCTCTTCCCAAGTTCGAGTCGACCATATTTTTTTACTCCCTAACCTAGAATTAGGTCGATCTTCTCCGGATTTAACTTTTCCCATTCTTCTGCCTTCACCTCCCCGCTAGCAAGACGATACGCAACACCATCCTTCCATTCCACCCATAATACTTTATATTCGTCTTCTCTTCGTAATGGGTGGTCATATATCTCTTTGACTGCATACCACGTCTTCGAATATACTCGTGACTTGTACAGAGCTATTAGGTCCACGGGCAACCCGTGAATTTCCTCGGAATCTATATTCGGGAAGAGAGATAGGTCAGCTTCGTTGTGTAATTGCAGAGAGCCAATGTCTTCCCCTGAGCTATTAAAAATTCTGGCAATGTTATCTTTGCTAGCCTGTCGTCCCCAGAGGCGCACCCTCCAAGTCTTGCAAAACAAATAGGATGTCTGTTCAGGCGTGAATGGCGGCGTCGAGTCACGGATGTCGGAGACCGGGAATGGATAGTACCACGATCCCATGTCAGAATCGGGCATGTTCACATGTTTGAAAACATATTTCCCACACCCATCTGGGTACAAGTGAGGCTCTCCCCGGAACGATCCTGTATCGGGGGCGTCGTGGCAAGACCAGCCTGAAGGTAATGGCTTCGCAAAATCCTTGTACTTATCGCGATTTTCAAACCACGTGGACCTGATTCTCCTTCTATTTTCCGGCAAGTCGCTGGAAGAATTGCTCGTGTACCACTCGGTGATCGGGATTGTTTCTTCGATTCTATTGCATCTGTCATTGACTGGAGCCGCCTCGCCGGACAAGATGATGTCAATAAAACCGTGCCAGCCGACCCAAGACCAAGATGGTAAGCCTGCCTGAGACGGACGGTTCTTTCCAAAATTTTCCGAAAACTTACGTCGTCGGATGTTCGTCTGGTTCCAGAAGGGACTCCAGCTTAATCCTCGTTCAAAAAACATTTCAGGGATGCCGTACAAGAATCCGCCAGTGAATGTACGACTCAGGACTGACAGTAACCCAGAGATGGCGGGTAGAGCATCCTCGTCGTACCGAAGTTCGGTGTCATTGAATTCTGAGGGGTTGCTGCTCAGAGAAGACAAGTCGGGAAAGCCAGCCATCATAACACCCTCGCGCGACTCGATGTAATCATCCTTTTCCACATCGGGGAGCATCTCTTCGTGCCAAACACCGCACTTACATTGCCAGTGCAGCTCTTTTTTCTTGAATATTATCTTTCTTTTTGACATAACGCGTTCCTGAAATGTCCAACCTCGGCCATGATAATCGTCCCCAATCCAAAAATCGTTAGATATTGTATTCCGCACAACCAGTTGCTCATCCCCGAAGGGAATAATGCTCTGGTCTATGTCTCTGGATTGAGAAACACCTTCCAGACCACGAAGCCCATCTTGTGCGTCGCCATCTGCAGCAATAATTGTGACGACTGCGTTGCTGTAGATAGCACCCATCATGTTCAATTCCTCAGCTCTGACTTCCTCGTTTGCGTGAGGGATACAGAGTGCATCTGCCCAGAGATACCGCTCGCTTATGACCGAGGTCAAAAACATGGCATGTCGGATTACTGGCGACAAAAATTCTTCAAACTCCAGGGCATCAAGAGCATACGGCTCCTGTAGCCTTTCAAGCACCACGGCGTCGATTATAGGAACAGGCGATCTACCATACCTGTAACTGAGTGCCACGAAAGCGTCAGAGACACAACCCGCGACAAGGCATTTGGTCTTCACGTCGATCAAAAAAGCGGGCCTTTTCGGCCAAATTTTCCACGGATTTCCGCATTCCGCACCATGTGTTGAAAGACACTGCTTTTTCCACCGATTCAGCATTTCTAAATCAACCCAATCAGGGTTTAGAATGCGACCAATACCAGGATGGTGCGGTACAGACTCCTTCCTCACTAGCAACAGACTCCAGAAAAACCCCCCCTTTGAGATCGACTCTGTAATCTCGACGCTGCTTTTTAACTTTCTACGGAGAATGCCAAGGTCACCTTGTTTTTGCTTTGATAAACTCCAGGGATCTTCACATGAGCGCACATGGTCAACGAAAGATTGTACTAAGGGTTTATGTGTACGGCACTGTGTGGCGAGCGCCTCCGTAATATAGCCCAGATTGACCGGATTTGCCAAATTTGGCTGTGAAAAACAACGCCAAATATTTTGGCAAGTTTCGCACTCGCTCATCCATTCCGTGAAAGGGGCGACTGCATTATGCTGATTACAGGCGTCAAGATCACCCGAAATTGCTGGAGCCTCGAGAAGTTTTAGGCTGTCAAGTTCCTGTGACAATGTCAACATGCTTTCATACTCTGAAAGATCGGCGTACCAACCTGGTTGCTGCTTTGCGCCGTCCATTGATGATCTTGGGTCTCTTGTGAAGCGTCTGCCATCTGAGCCGTGAGATAAAGAACGCGGTGCGAAGTCAAAGTTTGTACCACTAACGATATGGACGACTCTATACGGTCCAAAAATCAAAGCGTCTACCTAAGTTTAAGAGACCTATCGCTAAAATGTAATACTGAACAACGAATACTGACTTTAATAACTTGTATCTGTGAGAGTTGTCAAAGTGGGAGGTGGCAGAGTGACAAATAATATCACACTTGGAGCGGGGTTTAAGATCACGGGGTGAAGATGACGAGGCTGATGATAATGTAACCACCAAGGCCGGTCACGATCATTCCGACAATATCCTAAAAACAGATTTTTACCTGAGCGAAAAGAGTAACTATTTAGTGTTTAGTATTCAGTGATATATTCAAAATGAAATAAATCTCAATGTCATCTTTCTAATCTTTCTTATAGGAAAATTCAGCTCTCCCACATGCAACAGGTTTTCATTAAGAGGATATGTTAGGTGTTCCTAATGTACTCATGTATGTATTTCTCAACTGGCCAATTATGTCCGAGGTGAATCTAGTAAGGGGTCGTGATGCGGAATTAAGGATATGCGACTCGTCTCGTTACGTGCCTTTAGAGCATCTCTGCTAGAGTCTCTTTGCAAAGCGCTTTACAAGTTTACAACCCCTATATAACGATATATCTTCGAGCAATGACAATCATAGAGTATCAATACTTCCACTTGAAGTTGCATATTTTGCATTGCTCGTGGGTGGAGACCAACTCTCGAGGCGTTTGATAAGCTCGACAGTTCATCAATCTGGGCAAGGCGCCTGTTCATTTGCGACTTTGGTGCTTGATCGAGCAAGTAGTTTTTGAATCAAGGAATATAGTGTATGAATGGGATATTTTGTGGCGTCTCGAAATCGTATCTCGATTTCAACGTCGATCGACTCGCAAAGTGTTGGGGGTACGGTACGTATGGTAAGATGAACACATCGCTCATGTGAGGCTATTTTATCATAGTATTTTCGTCGCTTCCGAGGATATGGCCCATGGTATACAAATGATGTAGAGGTTTGAAGACGCCGCATATATATATTTTGTAAATGAATCGATGGCTACTCCGTTGAATAATCTTTTGAATGTCTCTGTGCATCTTCAACTTTACCTCACAAACAAGTGACACTTTGGCTGAATTGAATGAATATCCGGAAACGAACACAATCAAGATTCAATATCACCCACTTTTACATTATGACCTCCGAGCAGTTTACAAGCCATCACCAGTCAAAGAACGGCGCATATCCACAAAATTCCACATAACAAGCTCATCAAAAACAGAGTACAAAGCGTGAATACCAATGATTATTCTTGCCAAACAGCCTCGATGATAGCAAGGGATGCTCCAATCGGTGTCCAAATCTTCAACACCCCAAAACGAGGATCCGCTTCAAGGAAAAGATCCTGCCACTCTTGCGCTTCTCGCTCTCGAGAATTATGCATACTCAGCATAATCATATCAAGAGAACTGGTAGATCTTGTCAGCTTGAAAAAATTAGATGATTCAGCCACACGGGTCATAATAAGATTCGTACCGAATTGAACGTTCACTGGAAAGTGAAAGAGAATTCGAAGGCGGATTCAAAATCTCATTCACAATCACCCGAGCGCCAATTTTCATCACCGGAACAAGGGTGCGCAGGATAGCGACTACATATTTATCAGGCCAGTTGTGGAAGATCCAGCGAAATAGATATGCATCGGCCACCACTGTTTGCGGAGTGAAAAAGTCACGCCCTTGAAATGTCACGCGGTCCGCGATACTAGCATCAAGCTTCGATTTTGCACCTTCGATAACCTTAGCGAGATCTTGTACGATGAAATGCAGCCCAGGGAAACTCTTCGCAAGTAAGATACTAATATGGCCTTTCGAACCACCAACGTCAACGACGGTGCCGTTGATAGATTCCCATGGATAACCCTGAGCAAGATAAACAGGAGAGTGTCCAGAATCTATGGCATTGAAGGCTTTCATGGCCCCAGCGAATTGCTTAGCTCTTGTGGGATGATCCCCCATGTACTCGAAGAAAGGTTGCGTGGTGTTCTGCACAAGCGCAAATCCCTAGTTCCAAAAAGACTATATCAGTATCGACGATTTGATAAACTTTTCGCTAGATCCCTCAATCATGAATAAATAAACGGATGACCACATAACTAACAGTTTGGCTTGGCTCCTGATCTTTGAATTGTTCCAAAGCATCGACTGTCTGGGATATAGCTTAGTTTTTTTGAAATTTCGAACTTAAGACAGAGACTGACCCGTCCATAAGATGGAACGAATTCATTGAATACCAGACCCAAAGCATCATGGAAATCCTGATCTTCCGCCAACTTGCGGGAAGCTGCTGAATGAGTCACAAAACCTCGACGCGGTTCTCGAAAGAGTCTATGAAATGATATTGCGAAACGTATGATGCGACGAAGGTCTGGCTCGTAGAGATCACATCGCTTGGCTAGATCTTTGAAGGATATTTCACCCCCAACTGGCACTTTTCTTGCGATATCAAATCTATGGATAGCCTGAATACTAGTAGGATTGACCTGCGAAATCCTTATCATTAATCAGACTCTAATCAAATGACTAGGCAATTTGCACTTGCCACAGGCTGTAAAGACTCTTTGGGACCCCTCAATAAATCTGCCAGTTCTGCTGCTCCATCGATCGCCAGGCTACGTGCCCGTTGAATTTCTTCTGATCGGATGCAAAAGTCGACTGGCCCTTCAGCATCAAAGGACGGTGAGGGTAAGTCGTGTTGACGAAGATACTCATCGACTCGCTTCGTGTTTTCAGCGACTTGAGTAGCGAGCTCTGCGATACGCGTAGTAGCCATTGTGAATTAAGCCAGATTGAGATTGATTGAAATGAAGTTATACAACAAATAGTGCAAGATAGAACCAAGCTCCCAAGGAGTACAAGGTAGGAATTTATGAGACTTTAAAATACAGAAACTCTCAAGCTTCAATTCCAAGATAGGCACTAATATTGACGGATGTATCGTGGCACCTCAGATTAAGTCGTGATCCATTATGTTGCTAATATACTAAAGCTTATTCGAGCATAGCGCTGCTGCCTTTCATGATTCGTGGCACCCAAGCATAACTTTAAAGGATTGGCGTCATCTGTACTAGACTGGGTAAATGATGCTGGTAGTTGAAGAAGGTACACACTTTCATCTCGCTCTATCTTTAGAAGTGCAAGGACTTAGACAATCAATCGCCGGCCAGATCTTCTCTAGCCAATGAGCAATAGCCGCTTACTCGAGGGTTTGTGGAATTTCTTTTGAGATTATGAGTGGTGATTACGTGTCAATGAATCATGGCAAATAGGATCTCCAAAAGATACCTGGAGAAAGATCTTAGCTTTTACCCCAGGGTTGGCAGATCCATCGCCAATATCAGTGCATGGAAATGCTCAGTGTAGACAAGTGAAAATTTGAGATATTTGTCTCTGATCTCTAGATCAAATGTTCAATTTTGGTAAAGAGAGGGCAAGGGTCGATCATCACAGCTTCTCAAAACATAGAAGGAATGGGGTCTCAGGTGCTTTTTGCAAGGGCACAACGTGGCATATACCATCAAAAAACAAAGCTTCTCTCATATGCCGTCATTTCCTTGATGCTTAACGACATGACATCTAAGAACAAGGAAGATCAACCCTGTTTTTATCTAGCAAGCTCGGAGGAGAATTGCTACCGCAAGAGGACGGACCAATCCTGTATGTTGCAAAGAATGCGGAGGAGACTGGATATCTCTATCGGAGGTTCTCGTTATACGTAAGAAAAGATTTGGAACCCGATGTCGACCGATCTAAATGATATGTTCTAAATGTAGTTACGTGCACGCCGGAGGACAAGAAGGAATTTGACATGAAAACCGATATGTGTGCAAGTCGAGGTATCTGTGGTGGATCAAATTGATCGGCTGTTGACCCCCGTCACATATGCCCTACTCTGCCTCAAAGCTTTTTCCATCTCTCGTCCCGGAAGTCCCCTCACTTGTGTCAACCCCATAATCCGTTTTGGATGAGAACATCATGAGAATCCAAAAAATTAAGAATGCATCTCTGCAATTCAGTACCGGAGCAACAAGCTATCTCAAATGGTTGATGATGAGGTATCCCATAGCGACTTTCCGCGAGTACATCAGAACCACGGCTGTTACTGCAAATTAACAAGAAGAACACTTCCCGGAATTTCTGACCGCAAGTACTACTATGAACACTAGCTCACGATGCCATTGGTTTTCTTCCTTGGTATAGATAATTCATTGGATTATACGAAAGCACTCAAACCTTTGAATCAGCCTGACTTCTTCATAGCTACTAGAATCGAGCTCTCAGTTCGAAAGACATTACATAACGCAGTCTAAAAAGTGGAAAGAAAATAGGAAAGACTCGAAAAATCTGAGATCGCTTTGCCAATGATAGCCATTGAAGTACACTGAACAGCTAAGAACTTCCAGTCTTGGAACACGATATGTTGCTCCTAGATCTTCCATTGGGATACAGATTTGGCCAATAACGCAATAACGTAATTCTGGGTGAGAGAACACTACTATTGTCGTATATGGGAGAATATTCAGCTACTGCCTTTGTATACCAGCCTGATGCTTCCCTACTTCCTGAAAGCATTCATCTCCCTCCGCCAAAATCCGGTGAAATCCATCGTAGCAACATTGATTCCCAGATCCTTCAATACCTTTGTAGACAAATGGCAATCATAAGGTCTCTGCACACTAGCATTTGGATCATTTCCCTCTGTATTTGCCACCATGCCATCCAGCGGCAAGCCCAAAATCTCCGCAAAGAGTTGACAGATCTCATACTTTGTGAATTTGTCCTCTGAAGAAAATTGCAAGACTCGTGGTAAAGATGATGGGTCTTTACTTTCAAGATATTTGGTTGCGATCTCTGACAGAACTCGGCCTACATCTTCTGTATTGGTAGGATAGCGCAGGGCCCAATGATCCATTTTGATATTGGCATCTTTTTCTTGGGCTTTCCAGACCGACTTGACAAGTACACCAACTGCACTTTCTTCAGGTTCGCCTTCACCGTAGAGTACAGGAACTCTCAAGACCACGCCTAGACCGGACTTGCCTGCTTTCTCATATTCCGCCAATACGGCTTTCTCGCCCTCATATTTTGTTTCTCCATATAGATTCGGGGGGTTTACGGTGTGGCTTGTCTCGTAAGGAGCATCACCTTCGGTGCCGGGGAAAACATAATCGGTCGAAATGTAGATAAGGAGGATGGATTGTTCTGCGCAGAGTTTTGCCAATGAAGCAGAAGCTGCGATATTGAGAGCGCGTGTTCCTTCAGGATCGCTGTCGCACTTGTCTGGGAATCTATTCGCTGCACCTGTAATCGCGGGGTTAGTAATGGCGGCGGAGACGAGGTAGCAGCACTGGCAGAAACTCACAATGAATTACGACTTGAGGTCTTCAAATACTCTTACCGTCAGTACTGCATCGAAAACCGTGAAGATGTTACATTACTTGGATTCATTCAACGCCTTTGATACTTCAGACTCGGAAGCCAAATCTACCTTGAGAATGGTAGGAGGCTTTGCGCGTGAGAATCCGGTGCCAACTGTATTCCAATTTTCTCGATCAAATACTTTTAGAACTTGTCTGCCAAGTAAACCAGTCGCGCCTGTGATGAGTGCGGTCTTCGTCATGATGAATATATAGATGTGGTTGTGATATATCGAGATGGAGGGTAGTGGGTTGAGTTAACAAAGTTCTTGTTCTTGTGCTTGTTCTTCGACCTTCCTGATTTGCTGGGTATGCTGAACATAACAAGCACATTTACATCATCGATGGGGAATTCGCATATGGCCTGGTCGAAAGCGTATCTACAACAATGATAGACTAGACTTACACGTGGAATTATCTGTTATGATGCACTCCAAATGATGATATTCTCTTCATATGGTGTTGACACAATAGTATTCGCGACAGCCATCCACTGTAGATCCCCAGATACGGTACCCTACAAAACATGCCACACATTCAAAATTATCAGCACAACACCAAAGCTTCAATCTGCCACGAAGAACATGGTTTCAATTAATATGCTACATCACACATCAATCTCAAGTCATTCTCCCATGATTTGAGTCCTCCTGCCTCTTCGTCATCATCAAAACGTGACCTTCAATTCTTCTTCACGTCAGCCTACGAGAAGCCGAACCGCAATGAAAAACAATAAAATAGATCTCTTACGAGAAGATGTTTGGTTCCAAAGATTCCCAGGCCAGCCGAAGCCAACCTGGAGTGGTCATGGTTATAGTTTTCAACTAGCAAAAACGCAATCTCGGACGAATCCTCACTGATATGCGTAAAACCCATGCACTAAGATGAAGAAAAAAGAAGGGAATGCAAAGGGAGAAGAGGAGACTTTATACATTTTCGCTAGTGGGAATTTTGGGGTTGGTTGCTGCAAATGTGACAAACTTGGCTGTATTGAGCTTAAATTCGGTCAGAGCGGCCGCAGGTGGATCAGAAAAGTGGGTTGCTTAATAAACACCTGTTGTTTTGGTGTATTCCTACGATTCATTTTTTATTTTTTGGAATGAAGAACCAATGTGTCATGTGATGAGTCGGGATTGTGATGTGAATACCATTGATGTGAACTAGTATTTCAATGTCTTATGAGTTGAGTCACCGAGTTGACTGAAATATCTTTTCTTTACTTGCTCTTTGGAAAAACCATTCGTCCAAAAAGATACATCGTTCACTCAAAGAATCTTGCATCGTTCAGCAAACCTACCTACTACCACTGTCTGATCTAGCTCAGATCACCTATAAAGAGATCCACCCTGGACATCGCTCTTGTCAGCCTTCTTTCAGATTGTTGCTTGTATTCTTGTCAGTTTCTTCGATATGATGGTTGCCTTGCTTTGTGCTACCGGTCGTGAGAATTTGAAATCCTACTCTATCAAATTGAGTACTGGAAAGAAATAAGGTCACCGCAAGTACCGCTCAGATATTTCTAGTATATGCTCGTGAGCCAACTTGGATCACCAGATCTTGGGGCGACTGATTGGAAAACAAAGGCTCTGCATCTCTGCTTCCTGGTGTCTGCTTTCTCTGCACAGGCTAACAGCTTTGAATCACAGCACAGCCTTGATGATAGCATCAAGATGAAGCATGTTATATGTTGGATTTCTATTCCCAAATGATAACTGCATAGTTGCACATTCACCCCGCGACTGAGTAGTAACTCAACGTCCATGAGAGTGGTGTTGCCTCCGATATTCAAGCATCATCCTTTTGATTCTGCTTTGCAATCTATCCAGATCCAACTTATTTGTGGCCTAGCAATGTGCCCTATTCTACCCAAGCTTCGGAGATGATATTTTCAATGTTCTGAGGTTACAAGTATGACGGACGACCTCATCATCCATTCATTATGTTAGCTTCGTACAACAGACGTATTGTCAACTGATCTCTATTATCTGAATTTAGCCATATGGTGTGTCGCATTGTTATCGTAGCTGTTTCGTATTTACCGTTGGGAGATTTGCTGCCTTATATCTGCGAAATTCCGCACAATCGAAGGTGACCATGATCTGAATTGATTCTATTCGATTTGATATCTTGTCCTTGGGCAGTGTACAATAATCCGACGGTTGAACAATCAAACGTTGAATCAGTCTTACATGTCTTAATCCAAGTCCGCATTATTGGGTTCGACCTCTGTTATTGATGCTTTGAATGAATCACCCTCCAGTCACTGGACCGATTCTTGAGTTGGACGTTAATGAATAGATGTACTGTATGTATGAATGTGTCCACATTTTCATCTGCAATGGACAACACTGATTGATTGATTGATACTCACATTGCACATGAGGTTGTTTTTTGAAAATGCATCTTCGTCAATTGTTCAAAGAGAGTTGATTTGAGAACGGAGTTGAACACAGATCGGAAATTGGTAACTTTACTTGATCTACCTGCAAACTTCTAAGATAACATTTATTAAAGGACTGATATCAGATACCAGCTTGCGTGGTTCTGAGTTGGTAGTGTATTGCGATATTTAATTCTAATCTCTCGCCAATGATAATTTGCTGCAACTAAGGATTATTATCGTGATGGTTGAATGTCACCTTTTTGCAGCGACCTAATTAGGAAGTTCCTTCTCACTGGTCCCACAAAAAAAAACATTCGATTCATCTACATGAAAGATACAATTGTATTTATCAATCTGGGCTCTCTTCTACTGCTTAAACACAGCTTCCTCTTTATTTCTCTTTAGGGTAGTGAATTACGTTAACAATTGCGGTACTTCATTTCAGAGTAGGATTTGTGCTCTATGACCTTCCCCTTCTTTCGGCAATCTTCAAACTTGCGGGAGGAGAGTTTCCCCACTTGGGTAACATAGCTCAATTCAAGCGTCCGATTCACTAATGACTTTCCTAACACAGTCACACCGCCGTGGCGATCCGTCAATCACCCACGCCTCATATCTTGCATCATCCAATGATTATGGAAACACAAGATAACCTTAAATGAATGAAGACACCATGCGCGGGTGATTGTAACGATATGAAGGATAAAGGAACTCCAAAAGGCAGTTCGTAATGCAAGCAATTAATTCACTATTGGCTCAGAGGAGCAGGTACCGAGGCGATGCCGCAAACTTGTGCGAGACAAGCCTGCGCCTTTCTCTTGGCTAGTATTGACATAAGTATGCCGTGATGCCACAGTTCTTCGTCGACGTCTTCTTCGTTGCAATCATTCTTACTTCGGCAAGATGCTTCTCCTCAACATTTTCTCCGTGGCATTTGCTGCGGCGGCAGTCCAAGCATTACCCACGTTCGGCAAATCCAGCGTTTTCGAGAAGGTTGCTGCTCCACCACCAGGTTGGGAATTGGACGAGGATGCCGTATTCGACAAAGATGTGTCGACGATGAAGTTGAGATTGCATTTGATTGCACAGAACATGCCAGAATTTCACAAGATGGCCATGGATGTATGATTTCCCATTCCTCACATGTCATATATAATGTTGGATTTGGATATGAGAAGAAGTCTTCTCAATTTGTCGGTTGTCTTCATATAGAAGCGAATTTAGGCTAACCTCCCGAAGATCGCTACCCCTGGACATGCCCTTTATGGACGTCATCTTGACCAAACAGTGATCAATTCAATGATCGCACCAAAGACACAGTCGCGTGACCTTGTGCTACAATGGCTGTCAACTGCAGGATTGGCAAACCAAACAAGTGTCTCAGCACGTGGTGACTCTGTTATTGTAGAAGCAAGTATCAGCCAGATTGAGGAACTTCTCCAAGCAGAGTACAACGCTTATGGTAATTATTGATCTCGCCATAATTGATCACAGTTTCTAATGTCTTCTAGTTCACACTGGTCTATACGAGGGTGCTATCCGAACTCTCGAATACAGTCTCCCTGATGCTTTGAAGGGCCACGTTGACATTGTTCAACCAACAACCTTCTTTGGTCTCCGTGCAATGCGTTCCGAAATCAAGCAACATAAGGAATTTGACGAAAGTGTGCTCAATGTTGAGGGTACCGAAGCTGTCACAGGTTGCAGTGGTAGCACCATTACCCCAACATGTCTTGCCAACCTTTACTCATTCACCTCCGCCCCAGCTACATTGAAAAGTGGGTCAATTGGAATTGCTGGATTTTTGAAGCAATGGCCATCCAAGACAGATTTGACCACCTTCATGAACAGCTATGCATACTTCGCCAACAAGGCATATACTTACACCTGTACCCTTATCAACGGAGGAACTTGCCCATCAAGTGGCAGTGGTTACCCAGGTATTGAAGCCAATCTTGATGTTCAATATGCTAGAGCCATTACATCAGAGATTCCCAACGTCTAGTGAGTTTTTTTATTGATTCTTTCTTAATTGCGCACAAACTTACTAACGGTTCAAAGCTACTCAACTGACGGATCTCCTCCTATCGTAGGCAGCGGTTCAAACACCAACGAACCTTACCTAGAATTCCTTGACTCCCTCCTCGCTGCTACTACACTTCCACAAACCATTTCCATCTCCTACGGTGATGATGAAGACACTGTTCCCTTGAGCTACGCTGATGAAGTTTGCAATCTCTTCTCTCAACTTGGTGCTCGTGGTGTTTCCGTTCTCGTTGCATCTGGAGATTCTGGAGTAGGAACTACTTGCGTTACCACTGGAACTACCAAAGGTTTCACTACTAGTTTCCCAGCTTCTTGCCCATGGGTGACTACTGTTGGTGGCACTACTGGTAACAGTCCTGAGTAAGTCATATTTCCCATGAGATAATTGAAAAATGTGAATACTAACTCCTAATAGGGCAGCCTGGACTGATGGTGGTGGAGGATTCTCCTCTGTTTTCGGACAACCTTCCTACCAAACTACCGCTGTCAACAGTTGGCTCACAACCGACACCACCCACAGCGCAGTAACCAAATACTTCAACGCGTCCGGTCGTGCCTACCCCGATGTTTCAGCTCAAGCCACAAACTGTAAGAAAACCACCCCTTTTTCTTAATGTCTTTCACTCACATCTCTCTAGTCGTAATAATTGCCTCCGGCAGTGCCGAACTCGTCGATGGTACCTCTTGCGCAACCCCAACCTTCAGTTCCGTAATCCAACTCATCAATTCCAACCGTGTTGCCGCCGGTAAAGCCGGTCTTGGATTCCTCAACCCATGGTTGTACACAAGCGCCAAATCCGCATTGACCGACATTACCACCGGTAAGATTACCGGATGTAGTGGTGTTATTTCTGGTGCTGGTTTCTCGGCCGTTAAGGGTTGGGATCCTGCAACTGGATTGGGTACGCCTAACTACACTAAGTTGTTGGCAATCAGTAATACTACTTAAGGAAATAATGAGATTAGTGAATGAAAATGATGTGGAAATGGGATGGGGTAACGGATTGCGGCTATGAATTATGAGGATTTGGGTAGAGGGAGAAAATAATGTTCATGTATATGCATGATCAATTGCAATATCTCGACTAGCTCACAATGTTATTTCGAAGATATACCCTCTATCAATCAAAATGTAGTGAAACTTCATCCACACTTTCAATATTCAAAATTATTGTAATCACACCTCAACAATGAAATGCACTCGGTAAAGCTTTTCGCATCACCATAAAATCATTCATATATACAATAACGAGGTTCCCCAAATCCGGCTCCTCCCTCCCTTACATGAATACTCATGTGATATCATACCACATCAACCCAACCCACACACCATGTCACTCTCCCCTTTCGCCTTTTCATCATCTCCCAACGCCACTCACAAACACTGACTATAGTAAACATTACTAGCAGTACATGTACTACCCGCCGCACAAACCGTTGCTCCAGTCCATCCTTGGCCTCCACACTATAAAATCAACATTCGAAATTAGCATTCATCTTGACATCAAACCATCACGCCAGCAATCAAAGAAACAAACAAACACCAAGAAGAAAACATACCTGTCCAAACTTCTGCACTACCGATCCCGTCGCCGTAGCCGCCGCGCTCGTCGAAGTCTTTGTCGAGGTAGCAAGAGTTGCAGTTTTGGTCGCGGAGGATAGAGTCCCAGTAGTAGTCGCAGTAACAGACGCGGTAGTAGCCGCTCCTGTTCCAGCAGGCATACTAGCCAAAGTCGTCGCTGCATTATTGCCGTTTGATATGCCAGCGTAAGCTGAAGAGCCTCCTTGAGAAGCCCAGATGGCAGGGCCGGGAACAGTGTAGTTGAAGAAATTTGAGTAGATGTTTGCTGTGTAGCCGGGGTCCGTGTCGGAGAAGGCTCTGAAATGGGGAAGGGGTGTTAGTTAGAGTTTGGGAGTGAGGGAGGGAAGAAAGAAAGAGGGTTGTATGTAGATATCTGAAGGGCGTACCCGGGAATAGATACTAGAGGACCGGGAGTCCCGGTACCTCCGTTCGTCACGGTTATTTGTGCGCATTCTATGTAGAATTGAGGGATTCCTCCTGGGCTGAATTAAGTCGTTAGTATCAATATCTTCCTCAATATTCTTATATCTTGCGAAACAATTAGTCGAACTCAAGCTTACTAGGGATTATGAATAGCAAGTTGTTGAATACGAAGAAGATAATCGCCGTTGGGAAGATTTGGCGGAATAGTATAAGTATATGTTTCTATCCAAATCAATTCTCCATTCTTGATTTCCGCTATACTTAGGAATGTGACGAAGATCGAAACTCACGATAAAGATTCCATGTTGCGACCTGATTTGTAAAAGTAGGACCAATATCTAAAATCTTAAACCAAACTTTGCCGGATCCATCGAAGGCTGCTGCAGTTGTTGGCGCTTTTGCCATATATCTACACACGTCAATATCAATATCGATGCCATTATATGTACCCATAAAAGAGAAGCGAAACTTACATAGACAAAGGACCCTGATGATAAACCTGTACGTCCGCAGTGAAAGAGAAAGAATCTCCAGCTTTGACTGTAAGAGTTTGCGCTCCATTGCTCGTCTCACCTCCGGAATTACATCGTAGATCATTGCTAGCGAGATCTATGACAGGACTATTGTAATTATCGTTCATGCGAATGTATCCATAGGGTGGATATTGGATGTTTTTGTGGGTTAATGACTGGAAGATGTCTAGTTGTTAACGTGTTAGCTAATATTTATCCCTGGGCTTGATAAGTCGGCGGGTGCTTACAATGGGCTGAGGCATGGCCCGCAAGGAACGAAAGTCCTAACAAAGAAACGAGGGACTTCATGATGGGCAAGACAAACTGTGATGGAAAGTTTAGGGTGATGCGAGGTTCAAATTGACAGAGGGGGACTTTTGGAAATTTATACAAGTACGGATTAGTAAAAACAGTATCTACAGCAAATGAATGAATGCACTCTTAACTAGTATTGTTACATTCGTATACGCGGATCGAATCATCCTCATGCCAGATATTACTTTTATAATCTCTTCATCAACTGACTAGGACAGCAGATAGTTTATCAACAGCCGGCATTCCTCGAGCCTCTAATATTAAGTCTATGGAATAAAATCAGTATTATATACAAGTATCTGGGTCTTGGGGACTTTGAAAATCCGGGGAAGTCAGCATGGGGAAAATGGAAAATATAGGCAGCATGCCGTTGCCAAGTGCCGTTTCGGATGAATAATGTCAAGCTGCACCCCGGATTTCAGTGGCTGAGAGGCTCGAAACTTTACGGAGAAATGGAAGGATGAATTTGCATGTCCCAATTGGGATCAAATATGCATTAATGATGATCGTCAGAGCATGTCAGCGAAAAGCTTTTGTTGGGCATTTCTCCTTCTTTGAGTACATCTCTGTACATGCACGGCAATACGGAACTGTCACTATTATATAGAAAGTGGATTTATACCATGATGATATGCGGATTAGCGGGCCGTGTTACACAATTTATATAAATTGAACTTCATATAAATCGCTTGGATAAAACTGAAGGGTGATCAGCAGATCCTGGAATGTCATTCCAAATTACAAACGCATTTATTCAAGTATTAAGTGAGCTGGATATGTGGTGTGATTTGCAGATAGAAAGAGAACTGATTTTCGACGAGTAATCTCGCCCCTTTCCAGTCAGTCTCTCTTAGAGACTATCTTTGGACTCGGAATATGTAATTGTCGGGTGGATCTTAATAAGTTCATGTGTATTACTTATTGGCTGGTGACAGTTTTGATGATTCTTTTCCATTATTAACCCCATTCTATCCTCGAGAAAAGAAAATACGACACTCACGAAAATCAGGAGTGCAGGTAATGTATGATACATTTCGGCACGTAGATTGAAATAGGCGAGGAAAGTAGTGTGTGAGAGATGGAAATCATGAGCCGAGACGATGCCGTGGATGACTTGTAGCAATTGTTAGCCATTTCCTGAATATCGACACTTCTCAACAATTCCATGAAATTCAGGGTGATCTTCGCGAAGAAAGGCACTATTTGATTTGAAACAACGTGTAAATGAAATATCAATTACGTGGGGTGTTCTAGAACAGTAAAACGATGACTTCCAAAGATTAAGAAGTCCAAGATGATGAGGTATGTAAATCATGAGTCTGACGCTAGCCAGGATCAGAACTAGATGGAATCAATATTTATTGGTATCTCAAAACTCCTATAAATGCCTTCAACTCCTTACTCAGGGTGAGTCCAATCCCTCCAGCCTGACCCTGACCTCTCTAACTAAAGCTTTTGCGTCTTCCACTTCTACCCCATCTTGACACAATTCTGTTGCCAATTGCATGGCTCTTTTGTAATCACCCGTTCTCATTGAATGTTTCGCTAGCCACATCCTTGCTTTTGACGTCGCAGCCGTGACTCCTGTGCCATTACCACCTTCACCTGTAGTTGCTAACGGTTGGCGTCCTTCATCATCTGATGAAGCTGAATCATTATGAACGTTAATAGCCGATGCATCTGCATTATCATTGCCTTCTTCCTGTGCCATGCACAACTCCATGTACCCTCGTGCTTCTTTCTCATCCTCTAGTCTCTCGTACATCCCAGCTATTTGGAGTAAGATTTCCGGATCCATAGTGCCTCCTCTTTCTCTGCCTCCACTTCCAAATGAACTGCCAACACCTGCATCGTAGTAGCTATCTGCTAATAATGCACGCTTCAATGCTTTTATACCCTCCAAATCGCGTCCCATTTTCTGTAAGCAGGATCCTACTGCCATCCACATTTTACCATCCCATGGACGGAGTCCTGCTGCACGTTTATAATACCACAGGGCATATGCATGCATCTCAAGTACTTCGTATGTTTGTCCTAGTCCATACCAGGCTCTATAGTCTCTCCTATTCACGTCGACTGCGCGACGATATGATTCAATAGCTGCGTGGGTGTTTTTCAATTCTACATATTCGTGACCCATGAGCGTCCAAGCACTAAGGCAAGAACGGTCTAAAGTTAAGGCACGTCTGAAATATTGCACAGCCTTTTCATGGCTTGATAATAGTGAGTAGTAATTGCCAATCACAACACATGATTCTGGTCGAAATTTATCGACACTCGAGCAGAGGTGTGCAAGAAACGACAATTTTGGTCTGAGATTCATGACATAAAGAATGTTAGAGTAGTGATCGAGTGAGTCTAGTCGATGAGGATGTAGTGCAAGAAGGCGACTGAAGTGGGCATCAGCAGTGACAAAATCCTTAGTATGATAGGATAGAAGAGCTAAGCATGTGAGTAGAAAAGGGCTGGTTGGGAATATGGATAAGAGTTGCTCTAAAGAATTTGACAGTTGTGGCGTCGACTGGTACAATTCAAGGGAAGTATGAAGATGGAATATGAATGAGAGAATGTTTTGGGGAAGATGTGGCGATATGCGATTTAACTGCCCAGCAAGTCAATATTTTAACATAAATTTTATGGGACTTACTTACATCTTCAACTCTCGAAATTAAAGAAGTCATCTCCAACCAGCATCCCCAATTCATGGGGAACAACTCGACACTTCGAACCAGCCAGCGCATCGCCTCATCCTCATTTTTATCCTTGGCCAGAACCATTCCATAGCTACTTCTCGTTAATGAAATTCAAATTCAAGGAAATTTTGACTAACAGATATTCAAGCCATCCTTGACTACCCGCAAACTCTCCAGTTTCAGTCTTTCTCTCTTGAAACCAAGCCTCCAATATTCGAATTATTGTGACCAATTGTTTGTTCACTGTATTTCCTCCATCGTGAGGGCCCATTACCATTTCACTGTCTTCATCTTTCTTCTTCTCGCCGGACATGAACTTTGCGTATAAAGCCAGGAATAAGCTCTTTTGGCTTAGTTTTGGAAGCCCTGATATTGCACCTGTGCTGACTCCACTTGATGCCTTTTCTTTCCCCTTTGATCTTGTGTTTACCCCATTTTGATTACCTTTTCCTGCCGTCGTTGACAAAATCCCAGAGAGCAACCTATCCGGCAGAAATACAGCCGCACATCGGTCGAATTCCCGGCAATCGAAGAAGGATTTCGCCAACAAATATTTGTTTATCTCTCGCGCCTCGAGTTGTGCCTCTTCGGGATCGAGGTTTCCAGTAAGGACAATTGGAGGGAGTCCTTCTGCAGGAACTTCCGTCATCTGCGAATCTTCGGGCTCCAAGTCATCATTTGTCGGTATAGATGTTAGCAGTTCTGCTGCCCTAAATAGATTGGTCAATGAATGCAAGCAACATCACTATTAGGCACTTGTACCATTTTGCAGATTGATATAAACATCTCTCCGAGCATTTCACAACTGCTTCCTGTAGTGACCCTCGCAATTGTGCTGTTTCCCGCTCCGTAAGTGCCATATTGTATTTTTTCTACCTCAATTCTTCGAGAATATCAGCTTCAAGATAGCTCATAGAATTCAAGCTTGCCTGCAGACTAGTAAGTCGGGTCTTAATTAGCTTTGCTTGGTTTAAGGTAAGGTACGGTCCGGTCCGGGCCCTTTGGTTGTTTTGTTGATTTTGATACCTCGTCGACCGAGGAACAATTCACAGTATTGTTCTCGCCAGAATATCTCTGAACCATACAAAGTCAATTTCTTGGTATATATTAAACAGTATAGTTTCAAGGGAGTGACAGGACACGAAGATTCGACGTCCCATCAATCGAATCAAAGAGTCTTGGATCAAATTAAAGTGACTTATCAGATATGGAAAGCGCGACTTAACCTTAAGCTTGTGTTTCCGCGTTCTGCCCACCCCGCACCTTCACCGCTTGTAATTTAATTCCCCCCTGCTACTGTTAACCCTTCTTTGTAATACCCCATTGTTTACAGTACCACCACTCTTCACCTCTCTGTTCATATTCTTCATTCTCTGGTCATCAATATCTTTCGTCCTATTCTACCTAATCGATTCCTATCAACCATCACCTGGGCAATAACAATGGCGAAGAATACCACTCTCAAGGAGTTTGAATCCGTCTTCCCAAGATTGGTTGAGGATTTACTTGCCCATGCCCAAAAGTACAACCTCCCACAACAGGGTCAAGATTGGCTCAAGGCCGTGAGTGATTTTTCAGAAGAGTCATTGTAAATGACATGCACTGATTTAGTTTCCCTCGTATAGTCTCTGTATGCCAACACGATTGGCGGAAAATGCAATCGTGGAATGTCTGTTCCCGACTCAGTATCTCTCCTCCTCGAAGCTCCCCTTTCTGAAGAACAATACTTCGAATCTGCCACATTGGGATGGATGACTGAACTTCTTCAAGCTTTCTTCCTTGTATCAGATGATATCATGGATAGCAGCATCACTCGTCGCGGTCAACCTTGTTGGTACAGACAACCAAATGTTGGTATGATCGCTATCAATGATGCTTTCATCCTCGAAGCCGCGATCTACTCTTTATTGAAGAAGTACTTCCGCTCTCACCCTTCCTACGTTGATCTCATCGAACTCTTCCACGAAGTTACGTACCAGACAGAACTTGGTCAATTGTGCGATTTGTTGACCGCACCAGAGGACAAGGTCGATTTGGACAACTTCTCAATGACCAAGTATGACTTCATTGTCACTTACAAGACTGCTTATTATTCCTTCTATCTTCCAGTCGCTCTTGCACTTCACCACCAGAAGATCGCAACTCCAAAGAACCTTAAGCAAGCCGAAGATATCTTGATTCCACTTGGCCAATATTTCCAAATCCAAGATGATTATCTTGACAACTTTGGTCTACCAGAGCATATTGGAAAGATCGGAACTGATATCATGGATAACAAGTGCTCTTGGCTCGTAAACAAAGCATTGGCTATTGCAACACCTGAGCAGCGTCAAATACTCGAGGAGAACTATGGACACAAAGATAAGACGAAGGAAGCCGCAGTGAAGAAGCTGTTCGATGAGCTGAATTTGAAGCAGATCTATGAGGATTATGAAGAGAAGAGAGTTGGTGAGATCAAAGAATTGATTTCACAGGTTGATGAATCTGAAGGCTTGAAGAAGACTGTGTTTGAGAGCTTCTTGCAGAAGATTTACAAGAGAAGCAAGTAAACGGACAGGACCTTTGTTGATCGCGCATAATTCTTTACACTAATGAGCAGCGAGCTATAATTTTCTAAAAGTTGTTGGAATTTATAGAGCTGAGTTTTAAAATACCCCAGATAAGCCTTATGCTTCATCTTGTACCTTTGGGTAATTGTTTAATTCGCGCTGATGATTTTCTGTTTTGCTGTTATTTTTCTCATGATTCATAAATCTCATTGTGCTATATGCTGAAGCCTTTCGCTATATGGAGCGAGAGGTATTTAATGCTTCCAGACCAGCTGGTCTGATATCTTGATCCATAAACTTTTATGCTGCATCTTTCCCAATTCATCCCGTTACCATTGAGCTATGCTAAATATGACCTGAGCATCTGTTTGTCTTCAAACAACGTTGCCCATGAAATTAGATCTTTTGCATCTGGTGTGTCTAAATGTAGGTCTTGAATATCCAAAAATGATTCAATGTTTAAAGTAGTAATTCAACTTTTTAAATTCTAAACTACTTGAAAGTTCCATTGTATTTAGATTCGAAAGCTTCGAGCTTTGGGACTGCCGAGTTGCTGGCAATCCTGTTTATGCCTTTAGTCTAGCAATCAATCTAGTCGTCTCTTGCTCCCACTTTTCTTCCCTCTTCCGTATTCTCAAATTCTCTCAATTCATCCTCGTGGTACACAGTTCTTCCACACAACCTCCCTTGGCATTTCTTTGCACACAAAAAAAAAGCCCCATGAGCTTCATTCATCATAACACGGGGAATATGAGTAGTAAGTAGGATGATGAAAGCCACGACCATCCAAACACAATATGGATCAAGAAAGAGCTTCTTCTTCGCATGCAAATGCCTAGATAATCAGAACTTGACGAGAGTGCGCCCAGATCTCATAGAATATATGTTGACTCATAGAAAAAACACCATCTTTCTGAGAGCTTCTACTTGTCTTTGCCATCGCTAAAGCATAAAGTGGAAGATTAGACCGCAAGCCTTTAGAACAACATGAGATTAATCGAGAGGGTATTTGTTAATGTTTATTCAGCAAATACGAATAATTCTGAGGTTTTCATGCTGGATTTTGCGGATGTAGAAGTGGAAGTGGTCTAAAAGAGGGGAAGGTGTACCGAGACCTTTACTCTCGCCTTCTTGGGCGCCTTTTGCCCGTCGCCACTTTCGTATTCTGCCCTCCTTTTACATCATTGCTCTTATTCGTCTTTGCATCAGTACTCTGTAATCCATATCCTCTTTAGATTTGGGAAAATGTACTAGATCCAATTTTACAGTCAAATGCATATAGTCGTTGTGAACCTATAAGGGAATCTAAAAGCTTTTATTACGTCTTGGTGTGCGGTCCACTTCATCAATATTGTGGAAGTCTAGCGACTCTTCAAATTGGATAAGAGAAGCCCAGTAGATTTGAACAAATGTGTAATTGATGTTATACAATATTGCAAAGGGTATATACGAAAATCAAACTCAAACCTAAACTCAAATTTGCGACTCCTGCCATTAACTGTACCACTGGTTCTTTTCTAAACCTTTCATCGCACCTCCGATTCAACAATTGTTCTTCTCTCAAAGGAAAAGAACGAAACAAAGAACAAGAACTAATATTGTCTTCAGAAAAACCATTTCTCACTGCTATTCACCTACCAAGAATTCCTCATTTGGTAAGAATGATCTCAACATCATCAGTAGCCTTATGCTTCTCATCTGAAGGTATCAATTTTATGGAGCTTCTCTTACCACGACTCATGAAAATGACTTTCTTCATTCCTTCCGGACATGGCTCAGCTGCTTTAGTAAGAGGTGATGCTGGCCGTTGATGAACTGCTGGAGGAGGAGTTATGATAGAGTCTTTTGGCTCAGGATTTGCTGGTAATGAGTCTGCAGATACGATCTCTTGCAGTGGCGATGCCTTAATTACAGAGGCGCCAAAGGTGGTTTCTCCAGATTTCGATGAGACGGAGGGTCGAGTGAGTGGTGATATGGGAGACATCAAATGTGAAGTCGGTTCCGGTATTAGACTTCGATTCCGTGGGCCAAATAAGGAGGATAGACGAGATGAAGTGCTACCGGATCGTTTGGAGGGTGTGGTTGAAGACGCATCTGTGTCGGTCCAATCATCATCGCCATGGCTTTCTGAGATATATTTTTTAAAGGGTTTGAGTGACGTTTCTCGTTCTCGCCTCTTACGATGACGTTGAATTTCCAGTTGACGAATCGATTCGCGATCCGACCCCTTCGCTCTGGCTCTTTGGTAAATACTACTCTTGTTTTTGTCGAATATTTGCGAAGAATTTGTCCAAAGGTAAGGATTCGATGTTTCTGGTTGTTTTCCCTTTCCTCCCGCTTCGTAATCCTTGCTCTGAGGATATTTGTTTATTTCTTCTTGTTCATCCTCGTCTTCCGCGTCATCATTATCGACGTTATTCTCATCTTCCTCATTCTCTAGAAGAGCAATTCTGTCACCCTCCCTTACCTTCTTGGCTTTTGATTTTTGCTTGACTTTACTCTTCGCTCTATTCTTTGGAGCTTCATCGATGATTGGTTTGCTCTTGATTTTCTTCCTCTTTCTCTTCTGCTTATTGCGATTTTTATAGTCCTCTTCATCATCACCATCTTCATCCCCTTCCAAGAACTCATCGTAGTCATCAGCCTCGTCTTTATTAATCGCCTTGCCTTTTTCCCCGGAACGTGTGTTTCGCGGTTGCTCCTGTCGCCGATTTCTGACGGACTTTGACATCTTCCGGTGATAGATTTCAGAATCGCTGTCACTATCACTGTCGCTATCAAATTCATCATCGTCGTCACTGGTCTCGAATTCACTATCGTCGCTATCACTGTCATCTTCTTCATCTTCATCTTCGCTGAAATCTTCCTGTCTCCTCCTATTCGCTTTGGGTCTTCTGCGGGAATTCTTAGGGCGAACTGCGCGCGACCTCTTACCACTTCGAGTAGCTCTTTGACGAGTTCCAGAGCGGCTTTTGCTGCGACTTTCCCATTCATTTTTACGCCTGGGACCAATATCTTTATCTCGATCGTATCTCTTGCCCCTAGACCTGCTTTTTGTTTCTACTTCAAAATTTCTCTTAATTTGGTACTCCTCTTCAAGTAATTCCAATACAGGATTTGTATGGTAAACATTATCTGGAGATAATGTTAGTATCAAGACTACAACTCACCAACAGACCCTGAACAAGCTTACGAGTATTGCCTACAGGATAACCTCTACGTCCCGGCGGAGGACGAGGTAGTTGTTCTTCTGGGAAACTACTGCAACAATTCCCCATGCTTAACTTTCTTCATCATGTTCATATCATTAAAAGATCATCCTCTTTCCGTAACATACGAGTTTGAGGATGTGTGTGTAGATTAAAAGATTGTTGGCCGACATATTCGGTGAGGTCGACATACACAGATACTGTAACCAGCATCAATTATAGACCCGAATTATGTAAGAAGACCGAATACAGAGGTCATATTCCACTTGACACAGGTGAGGAGGTCTCGGACAAAAAGCAGTGTTTAACGCGCGGTTAAGGGGGGCACTGGTGCAATCGCGGGTCATCTGTGGTTATCGAACAATGAAAAACTCTGATTGGTCAGTGGTGTGGTAGGGGTCTAAAGCTAGCCTAATTCGAGGCAGCAACCAAACAAAATCTCCACGACCTCTGCGTTTGTCCTTCTCCCACCAAGATATGATAGCCTGCAAATTAACATCGTGATAGTAATTGCTGGCGGCTAAAAGATACTCATATCAGTCATTCACAATAATATCTTGTTTTTTATCATCGTAACTGGCTGAGGAGGCCGTTTGTGGTCCATTAATGAGCATCTGACCGACAGCCTGCTACCATCATTTGTTTCCTCGATCCTTTGGAACGATGAAAAGCTATCTTCCTCTCGAGCTGTGGATATTACTCGCTGATCAGCGATTACCAAAGAAGACTCTAACTACCTTATGTTTGACATCCAAGGTGAATTAATCGGATTGCGAAATAAAATCAATGCTAAACAAGTAGCAAGAAACTCAATGAAGTTTTCAGACCTGCACTTTACCGTGAGATTGTTTTACCAGAATTTTCAGATGTATCTGGACATCTGTCAAATAATGGACAATTATGGGGCATCTCCCAACTTCCTGTTGAGACCCATCTCCGTCACACACGTCGATTAGACTCTGGTTTTGTCGTCTGGCGTACCCGGGCCACCCTTTCCAGGTGTTTAAACAGTATGTCAAATCTAGAAAGCTGTTCCATTAGGTACTTGACACTTGATATTTTTATGGGCGATAGACTGGTCTGATTCACTATTAGCACGATTCCTGGCTTCGCAGCTTATTTCCATCTCAATGAAATCAGAGATATCTACATCGATCTATGGAAGAATTCACCCCACTTTCCGAGCTTTCATGGGTGGCCAAATCTTCCAGATTTCAGAAACCTACATAGTCTAGATTTGAGAGGCCTGAAGGGTGACCTTGAGGTTCTGAGCACGAGTATTGCCAAAATTCTTTTCGTGAGTGTGAAAATAATAGCATTTCTAGAAACCACCTTTCTCAATATTCAGTTTACTCTGCCTTGAATCTATCATCTACTTGTTGATAGTTTCAGATTGTTTAACCCCAATTATCATTGAATTGTTAGGTTTACAATGGGTCGATTAAGAAGATCTCTGGATTCTAAAGTGCGAAATTGCTATGCCTTTCATCCATGCGTGTCGCTATGTGGAGAAATTTCTCTTCCACTCTTTTGCAATCCTTACCTTTTGTACCCATTCTTTTCCTTTTTGAGAGTCATTTGATAGATAAATAGCTCATATCACATAGAACGATGGTATGCCTACCGTTACGGCACTCGGTCTCGATTTAGACGACCTCCAGGGAGGCGAAACTACAAATAACTTATTCTTGGATATTTTTGCAGAATTCGACAGAAGGAGACGAGCAATTGGAAGGCCAGATCTACGATTGAACTTGCGAGATCTCATATTGGGAAAAGGGATGTACCATCCGTCCGCTGGCATGGACTAGCAATACGACTATAAGCAGTGGCGATTATCAAAACTTTTAGATGTAACGAAGCTTCGTACATTACGACTATTGAATGACCCATGCATTGAAGGAAATTACTGGGAGTCATACGAAACTATAAATTTGGAATTATTCGATGGCGTTACTGCTCTCCAGAGAGTTTCTGTCGAATTCGTGAGTCAAGAAGTTATAAAATTACTTCATCACCTAATTATGATGAATGATTCATCGAACCAAACGACCCTACGAGAGTTCCAAGTAACCCTCGATGGTACGGTTCAATCGCGAATACCTGGCTCTCCTAGCCTCTGTCAGTTCTTGTCTCAGATTATACAATTTGAGTGGCATCAGCTATTGATATCAGGCGAAGAAAGTTTTATGGAGCAAATTTACGAGGCTTCTTGGGATGAGCCTTCATATCAGTGGGAGGAGCTGGGAATTTCGTGGATTAACTGGGTATGTATCACTTTCAAGAAGATTATGCATCGGCCTTGAGACATATGAGAACTAAATGGATAACTCTAGGATCAACATCGCGATGCACTTCTCCAGCTCTCAAAGCTTCGTATTCTAATGTTCTCTTACGCCACAGTGACTATTAGTGGTGAGCGGTCAATAGTTACAACTTGTAAAGAGGATGCGCTTAGTCTCGCTGAGAGGATCTTTACTGGTTTCCAAGAACATGCGAAGAAACAGAAGAGGGATTCAAACCTAAGATATGTTGGTATTGATGCATGGGTCTTCACTTGTATTTGGTTGCCCTCTTCAGAGCTCAATGATGGGCGCACTGGAGCTGAGGTCGTGCAGCTTGATAAGGAAGAAGCTATAACGTTTGATTTTATACGAATGAACGAAAAATTGGAGATTGGGAAGTATAGGTTGGGTAGGAGATAGTAGTATGGATATTTTTGTATACAAAGAAGAAAGGGGGTATTGTCTAAAATGCTCCAGATATAATTTTTGGGGGGGCTTTGTCAAACCCCAATACATCTATATTCCTTACAAACGAATTGAATGCGAGGCCATGCCACCAGCCCCATCAGTCATATCACCGAGCCATTCTTAACCAACTCTCGCACCCCCTAAGATATCCCTCATTTTCCCTACCTCCTGGCCATTTACATCTTCACCGTCCCCGATCACAGCACTACTATGGAACCACCCCGCTCCTGTTTCTTGCACCAACTCTTTGAGATTTCTACTGCGTACACCGCCTCCTACAATGATATCAATTCTACCCGCTGCTTGCTGTACCAATTTTTGGATTTGTACAACTCCTTGAACCGAAGTGGGAGCGCCACCAGACGTGAGGAGAGATGTGAAGTTTAGAGTTATGAGCTAGATTTATCATGTCATTCTTCATAACCAGTAATTTTGAAAAAACGAAAACAAAACTCCAGAAACAATTCAGAAGCAAAGAAGACCCTAATGAAACAAGACTCACCACTTCCAATTCCTCTTCCATCCTCGCCCTTTCAATCCGATCAAACGCCCGATGAAACGTACACCTCACATTCTCTCCGCCCTCCCCCTCCCTCGCAATCCGAATCAACTCAGCACATCTCACCCTATCAACCACCAACCCCCTCCCCCCCTCCTCAGCATCCCTCAAAATCCCAAAAACAAACCCCCTCCCCCCTAACTCTCTAAACCTGCGAATCTCCCCCTTCATCTCCTCAAACATTTCATCTCCCACGCGGAAATTATCAACAGGTCCTGCGCCCCGCGAACTATTATCCACCGGTCGAATCATGATATTAATATCTCCACTTCCCTCTCTTTTCTCCTCATCGACTTTCCCATCTTTTTTCTTCTCATTCTGCACATGCAGTACAGATGCAGAATACACACTCGAGAAATCCTCCGCGTTAGGCGTCAATCCATCTTTCTCCTTATGAGCACAAAATTCTATACGCTGCGCGCCGGATCTGAGAGCTAGAAGCGCGGAGGCGGGGGTAAACGTTGCGATTTCTAGTTTCGCGGGCATTTTGGAGATAGGATTGGGGGTTTTGGACGAGGGAGTCTTTATTAGGAGTGGGTGGGATTTAAATGTCTGTGAGGAGATAGCGGGGTAGCGGGGTTGAATTCAGGGTCAGACATAATCTTACATCCTGGTGATTTGACAAGAGCAATTTTTTGATTATTTAGGTTTCTTCAGTTAATTACTTTGTGGTTATGATACGAATATCTTAGGAAGAGTCGTATTATTGATGATTTGACATAGATTTTTGAAAGTTCCAAATAGGCAATCATGCTTCACACGAGATGTTCAAACAAATTACGCCAAATCACATGTCCATGTCAGAAAATCAAAGCTCTAGAGATGCCTACGATTACACATCTTTTATGCGTAAATCATTGTGTGAGTTGGTATGATAGCTTCTTATATTTCAGGATGGTTAAATATATTGTAAATGGAGAGATAGTAGATTAGGCGGAGAGATGAAGGGGAGTGGAACTTGAGAGATCAGGAGAGGTAATTGAATTTCCATGATTGATTTGAAAAATAGATGATGGGTATTGGATGTTAAGGATAGGTAGTGAGCAAGATCTATGGAGATGCAAAACAGTGAGTGTAAATACCTGAATAGTGTGTCTATGAGGATAAATGGATAGTGAAGAATGTATAGTGTTAGTGAATAGTCTGGATTATTACCTATGGAATCATAGGGCTACATCTAATACTTCAGGCCCAGAAAAACTCCTCACTCCCTACATATTTTAAAATTCACATCTCTTTAATGCGTAGATAGCATAAATAGTTATTACAAAACATCTTCTTTTTTCTTCTATTCATCATCGAAAAAAAAAGCTCGAATCACAAGCTGTGAACGATTTACACGAGATTACAATTCAAACAGAAATCATTTTCGAACCAGCCTTTTGTTATTTGGTGGGTGTAAATAGAAATGCTAACCTGCAAGCAAGGAAGCAGAAGATAAATAGATCCTACTGGCCCAACCAATCCAATCCGCCTAGCGAGAATCTCTACAATTGAGATAGGTCATCCCAATTAGAGTGATATTTGCCCAACAGGAAAAGAAGAGCAAGGAAAAGTCCAGTAGGGAGAAAAGAAGCAAAATGTGCCAGACAAGCCTTCACTGTCAAAAACTCAAGACTCCATGACCAATTTCGAGAATGAAAGACGGCCCATGCCGTGTCATATCATTCCAAGAAACTCCATCCAATCCAACGCGCATCGCAAATAGTCATCCGACTCATTTCAAATCCCTTACAATCCGGCGGCCTTCTTAACAAATGCAGCAGCTGCTGTCGTATCCATTCCATAAGTCAGATGAGCCATTAAGATCAAGCTTCCGCCTTGACAGATGTTGTCTCCGGCGTGACAGATGATATCGGTTTTATCAGCTGGAACACCTTGGACTGCATCTCCGTTATCTGATTTTTGCGTTAGTTTCAAAGTTCATGCCATTTTGTGAAATATGCAAAGGGATTGGGACGAACCTGGGTCACCGAAAATGACGGCGGAGCTGATTTTAGCTGTTGTGTCGGCTGGTAAGAGTTTGGCGGCGTTATGTACGAGTTGACCACCTTGGGAGTAACCAGAGATGACAAGTTTTGTGTCTGGGCAGCTGGATAGGGTTGATGTAACCATCGAGGCCCTGTGGTGGCGTATTAGTAAATATATTCAAGAGAAAGAACCACTAGTCGCACTAAAATTTCAGAAGAAGGGAAAACCTACATAGTCTTACTGCCAGCAGCATCACCTCCTTCCAAAAAGCCTGGAACATCTGCTGGATAATTGACACCATTCATGGTGACTGAAGATGACCCAAAAGCGGATTTGAGAGCGGAGAGGAAAGGTGGTCCAACTACAGTACCGAGAGTTCCAACCTCAGTCGTTCCACGGGCAAAAATGACCGTTACATCTGAGCATGCTCTAGCCTCGATGGAACCTGTTGGGGCGGCAAAGACAGAGAGAGGAAGGAGGAGAATGGACAAGAGTTGTTGAGGTGAGGTCTTCATTTTGAAAGCGGTTTATTGATGTTTTTTACAATGAATGATGTTCGCTGAACGAGAATGGATGAACTAGTGGATGGATATGTAAAAGAGTGTGCAGATGATGATCATCAGTGATGAGAGAAGTTATGTTGAATGGAAAACATCTTGACTTTATATCTTCAAAGTCGAACCCGGCAATCAGGAACGTCATTTGTTTTTGTGAAGAATCTCGTCAGATCATAACATATGCTTAATTCTTAGGAGGCCTTGGGATGAAGTTTCAAGCCGATAATAGTATCCAGATGCTTGTCGGCCAGTTAAGATGAAACTTGCCAAATGCCGAGGTATTCAATACACTTGCTATTACACACCAGACGGAGGGTATAACTACATTTCTGCTATCAAAAAAGTAGAAGTGCCTAGGAGAAATGGTGATGGAGAGCTCTGTAAAGCTCCTGATGAAAACAAATTTAGCAATGCTTGCCCTTCAATACTGGGTACAGTACCGGTATCTCAATGAATGTTCAATTGTGTATGTGATCACTAAACCTCCAAGCCGAGCTTTTACCTCGACGTGTTATTTAAGGCCACAGCTTAAACAGGCAATTTGGCCAGCTGCAGATGTACTAGCCTCGCATCAATGCCAAAATAAGTATACATCAGACGGGGATTCAACATCATGGGAAACTTCCCCGACAGCACGATCCCGATTTAGAGATGAAGGACACAAACAGACGTTAATACGAGTTAAACGATATATCTGGGGAGAAGAACAAAGCGCATGCTCGGCGCTTATGACAGAGTTGCAAAAACATTCTTAGAATGCGATTGGTACAAATGATCTCCACTTGGCACACCAACTCCCGTTTCCTAGACCTTAAGACCGTTTTGTTATGTTTTGGCGGGGCTAAGAAATGTTGATAGCCAGGATGCTGGTGCTTTTGATACCTTTTCAAGTGGGTATCTTAACTTGACATTGAGTGTTTTGCCAATATATCAATCAGTATGAGACGAAAAATTGCTTTTGATGCAACTTGTTCGGATGAATCCGATTTTTCGAAACGTGAAGGATGCAAGAAACATAAGGGGATGGTGGTGGCTGTGTGGAGAAAAAGCAAAGGAAATTTGATTGTGATGCAACACAACATCATTGTAACTTTTTTTGCTTGGACTTCCAATCTCCAATATGGAAGTCCGATGGGAAGTCTGCCGTGACCCGAGATTCTGTCTGTTCATCTCGTATTATCTCTACAATACCTTGTCTAGATCACCGTGATTCAATAAGTCGGTCAGTATTGCAATTTTAAACAACTGAAAGGAGTTGTATGAATATCTTCGACTGCCGAGATAGTAAAGATACTTATAGAGGTAGTGGTTGAATCACGGAGGAGAAAGAGGTGAAAAGAAATGGAAAATACCGAGATCGACAGCAAGGACAAGGGAAGGGGCCGAAATTTCCCTTAGCCAAGAAGATCCCCTACATAAGGTTACCCCATATTGAGAAAGCTTGAGGCTCCACATAGCTCATGCCTGCTAGCAATATCCTGCAGTACTGTCCGGAAGCTAAAGTAACGCAAAGGAAGTGAAGACTTTCGATTCAATTCTTTCTTCATACCACTTTTATTTCAACATGCATCTTATTCATCTCTTTCTCCTAAACAGACTCCTGAGCCAAGTTCATTGTGACGGCGTGTCACGGCATCAAGCTAGCTACTAGACATCTGAGATATCTAGTATTGGGCGTCGCTAGAGTATACGGCTAGTTTAACCATTGACGGCAATTCAACTGGCAGTTTTGACAGCAAAGCTTGCGATCGAATGTTTCGGTCTGAGCTAGCATCTACCGAGCCGGAATGATGAGTTGCCTAAAGCGATACAAAAATGTAAGGTCTCACAACTCAAGCTGTCATTGACTAAATTGAGAGAAGTGCTTGATGTTGATCACTTCATATTTCATCTGACAGCAACAACTATCAGCGCCTCAGGGTAGGATTTCCATTGTAAGTCGTGATCATTATTACATATTAGGAGGGGGGGCTAGAAAAGAGCTTACTAGAGATATTCAATTGGGACTCATTATGGATCACAAGTCCAACCAACCTCACCGGGAGATCGCCTTCAAATGACAACACCATCGTCGCCCGCGCATCCATACTATGTACCAAGAAGAAGATTCCAAAAAACACAATTTATACTATGATGAGCGTCAACAAGCCTCTTCCATAAAAGGAAAAAATACTACGATTAAAGGTCTTACACGCCCACCTACCCACCTACCTTATAAATATGTGACCGAACATGATATCCTCCACACCCCTCATAATCGAGTATACCGAGAAACCCACCAATCGACACACATACTCAAACACCAAGCTCCCTCCCCCAACCATCCAACCATTTGAACCCTCTAAGAATATTCTCACAAAGCCTCAACACAAAAGAAGCTCACAGAAAGAACACTCAGATCACGAGAAACATTTATATGAAGAATATATAGCAATCTCATTCCACACGTTACGGCCACACTCCCTAGATTAGCATCCTATACATCTATCCTATTCATACATCCATTCCACACCCACACACCGATCATAAAATCCTCATTTCCCATATTCCCCTCGCTGGAGCGTGCGTCACCAGAATCCTCCAGTGTCCGTCCACGCAACACCTCAATCTCGCATCTCGCATCTCAATTCTTACACTTACCCTCATATTCCATACCGCACGCCACGCCCACGCCAACTTCCCACCCAACACCCTCCTCCCATCTCATCATCTCCATTCCACTCCTCCACTCCTCCACCACTCTACACCCACCCATCTCCGCATCTCTCCATCCCGCTTAGCCAAGCACCTCCGCCTCGGTCCCGAGTTCGCTTCCGAAGCCATCCACCCATCCCAATCCCACCCACAACCACAACCACAATCCCAATGTCCTTTTTCCATTAAGCAATCTCCAATCTCCCAAACAATTCCCCCAAATGTCTCACACACCTCACACCTCCCACACCAACCCATCTAAATATAACCCAAACCCATTAAACAACCTATATCCGTACCCAGGAAGATATACATCACACATAACTCCCTTATTATCCCCGCTCTTCACACACACACACGCACACAACATAAATATACCATACCACACCATACCCACCGAGCCACCTACCGAAAAAAAACTCCGGTAAATGAACCTGAGATATTGGCCCATCGATCCAGATTTTCTTCTTCTTCTTATTATTTTTCTTGAAATAACTACCACGTATCTAGGTACCTATCTAGTGTTGATATACTTTAACACAATAAAATACAATACAACATAACCTTATAAAAAATCCCCGTTCTATGAATAGCTTTTTTCCTCTCTTTTTCCTCTCTTTCTCCTTCTGCTTCTCTTTTGAGGAGAAAGAAAGAAAGAAAGAAAGAAAGAAACTAATTACTGTAATTACCTACGTACCTATTTATCTATTACCTAGGTACCTATCTTCTAACTGACTAACTGACTAACTGACTAACTGACTAACTGTCTAACTGTCTAACTGTCTAACTGTCTAACTGACTAACTGACTAACCGGAATACAAAGAAAAAGATATCAACAACGAACGAAATGAAAAAAAGAAGAAAGTACCACCTAGTAATTAGTAAACATTGTGTATCTTCATACGTACTAACTTAAGAGTTTTATTCACTATTAAATTTTCATTTTTCCAGAGATAGGTTTAATACCTAGATACCTAGTATCTATATAGAGTGAATATCATTATGATGATTTTACTACCATCTCCCGAGTAGGTAGGTACTTTTTGATATGGGGTTAAGAGTCGGTATCTGGGCACCAGGTAAGTTGATGGACGATTCGAGGTTTACAATTTGGAGGTTTGGTGTTCGTTGTGGTTTGATGAGATGAGATGAAATGAGATGAGATTGGTGTTCTAAAAATAGATATTCTCTTCATTTATCGGACAATTGGTGATGTGATTTAAGTAGTAGGTAGGTAATTACTAGGTAATTACTAGGTAAATAATGATAATGACGATGAGAGGTCAAGCACAACATACACATGATAGATTCACCACGTGCAAACACAAATTCAAAAAAAGAAAAAAACACAAAGTAAAGTAATAATCTCTTCAATTCAGCTTCGGCGACCGTCAGATACGGTATCTACAATAAGCACCCGCGCAATATCTAGAGATGAGCTCAACCCGCTCTGTCAATCGGTAGGCATGTATGTAACGTCGCTCCCGAGAAGAAATAAAAAGAGACATCTGAGATCAGAAAGAATTAAAGCAAGCGAGCCGAATATGCCAACTGTCGCTGCGGAGGATTCCTCTTCTCTCCATACGTAGATAAATATTCCAGGAAAACAAAAAGCGAACCTTCCCATTTCGATGTGTTATAAACAGTGTAAAGAAAGTCATTTACATAAAAACTCCCTACACCTTCCATTTCTCCACTTGCATCTCCAATCCTCCGTTCGTCTCACCCACTTCTATTGTTTTTCTGTTCTTTCTTTGTTTCTTTTTCCTCTCATGCTCACATCTTCATGTAAGCACCACCATTGGCACTACCCCCAAACATCGGTTGTTGCGGTTGAGGAAACTCGGCACTATGTGGGCTCATCTCCCCATTTCGCATAACCATCGTCGGACTCATGGGACCATGTTGACCAGCCTGCACCATCGGACTTCCACTAGCCATTGCGCTTGCGCTTCCACTAGGTCCAACGTACCCAGTTCCTTGGTTGTTACCCCAGCCTCCAAGTGCGTCATCTCCTTGGTTTGCATACGAGTTGTTGTCGAAACCGCCGAGACCCTTGTTGTGCAGTTCCATTTGGTCTTTGTAGGCGTCTTGTTGTTGCTTTTCAATCAATTGGTTGTAGGCTTCACGTTCTAGGCGGCCATTGCGACGTTGACGGAGGAAGGTGAAGAGGAAAGCGGAGACGAGAGCGGCAACTGCGGCACCACCTCCACAGTAGACTGCGAGTTTGGTGGTCTTAGGAAGGTTGTCCCATTTTTCACCGATGGAGAGTGTGGGGGTTTCATTCTTGGTGATAGTCTCTGCGACAGTCGAGTTACCACTTTTTTGATTGTTAGCGCGCTTTTTCGTGATATTACGGGAAGAAAAGTAACATACCTGATAACTTTGATGGATTGCCAGTCTCCAGTTTTATCAGTCCATTGATATTCTGAACCAGTGCTGTAGTCTTGAACTGCTGCACTCTTCACGTACATCGTAAATGGAACCTTAGTAAAATCGGTCTCTCCACCAGCCCATTCGATCGTTCCAATACTGTTACCCTTGGGATCACCACCGGACCAGATTCCCAATCGAACTGTCATTGGGGTTTGAGGGAAGTTCTTGCCATCGACTGCATCAGCATATGCGAGGGTTCGAACAAGATTGTCGTCAATCCACCATTGAACTCTCTCGGCAGTCCAGTCGACGGTATAGTTGTGAAAGTTTGCTGTTGGATCGGTAGGTGTTGGGTACCAGATGGCCCGATCATAGGAAGTAGTATTTCCTTTTCCAAAATAATTGGTCTCGGCGTGAGTGGTGTTACCTCCAATAAATTCCCAGTCTATCTCGTCCAGATCCTCACTCTCCAAAACGATACTTGATACGACTCCTACTCCAGTTGCAGCCTTCATGATCACAGATACCTGGCCGAAAAAGATGTAGAACTTGGATTGGATGGTGGGTGATTGACCTTGTTTGGCGATAGTGAATTCGGCACCATCATCGCCATATGAAAGAGACCCAGCTGTGATGTTGAAGTAATCGTTAACTGTGGATGATGTATTGAAAACGAAAGTATGGTTTGTACCCAAAGCTGGATCATTGGGACATGTTGTATTGAGAGGATTGCAAGTGGTCCAAGTTTGAGCTTGAACGAATGGTGCGAGGATGGTTGCTCCTGCTAGGAGAACCAGGGAATTGAATTGCATTGTTTCTTTCTTTTTCTTCTCTGTGACAAATCGTATGTGTGTATGAATACTTTTTGTTTTTCAATGAAAGTTTGTATTGTACTTCGTAGAGAAGGCGATAGTAATTATTAGATTTGATTGATTTGATATTGCTGCGAATTCAACCTTGATGATTCGATTTCTAAAGAGTGACTGCGCCTTTCAAGGCGGACGACGGTGAATACCTAGTAGTTGTTGAAGGAAAGTAAGGTGCAAGAACTGCACAATCGAAAGATGCAAAAAGTGAGAGTGAGGGTGAGTGAGTGAGATACTCCAAAAGTACAAGCAAAGGATTAAGAGGGTGAGATTGGGATGAGGAAGGAAGAGAGGAATGACATTAACGAAAGTGGAGATTTGATAAACGGTTACGGTAAACGCTGCTTTCCTCTTCCTCTCCCTCGCTCGTCTTTGCTGGTCGGATGAAGATGGAAATGGGGAAAGGTTGTAAATGATCAAGAACCAAGATGACCAGATCCCAATGCAACGCCAATCAATTCAATTTAAGGGAACGTGCATGTGCGAGTGATACTTCCATTGCTTCCGTACCATCGTGTTCATAGTGGGTGTACCCATGGAATTTGGGTGAATGTGGATGAAATTGTGTGGTAGAGTGAAGGGTGGATTGGAAGATCATGGTAGAAAATTTAATTTGAATTTCCTAAAACAGTAGATTGTGTTTCACAATTAAGGGGAAATTCACGGAATATCAATTCTTGAGGAGGGTTTTGGAGAATTGGCATATTGACATTTAAACGGATATGATACCTAATCTGGTGAAATCCAATTGATAAGCAAGGGAGGAACCAATCGTATCTTAGCATTCATCCAGGGAAATGAAGATATACAAGGATGGAAAAACGGAAATCATTTGCCGCTTCATTCATTCCATCGCAAGAGGATCGATCCAAATTCGCTGACTGCTCAGTACTGATTGTGCTGATTTTGTTGCTGTCTGTCTGTCTCTCATGAGAACCTCTTGACGAGATCCATTCTCCACGTCAGAAAACTGTTTGATTGCCAAGCATACTCGAAATAGATCTCCTTATATTACATCTCATGTCGAATCCTCTTGCAGCTTTCAAAACCGATTCCATGATTAGAAGAACGAACTCGATGACGCTGCAAGAACATACTAGCTAGGAGATAGGAATGACGATAGAACTTTGATATGGAACTTATCCTCTGGAGGCGCATGAGATGATATAGAGTTGAAAGCGTTCGATCTTCCTTCCTTGGCATTTGGTACGGAATACTGCATGCAGGTAGGTCCACGGTATCTTTTGAAACTCCACTTTAGAAGAAAAGATACCTGGCTCCTGGATTCTTACGGAGTACAAGAATCAAGATCCTCATGTAAGAAGCCATTTGACATCCTTATTTATTTGTCTTTCTCGTATTTTACCCACGCTGTATAGGAATTGATGGATCCCATTTGTCAAATACCTCTTGTGAGTCTTGTCTCTCTCGATCAAAGATATCATGTGTTCGATCAAGAACAGACTTATGATCTGTGGGCGGTCTACATGTTGGATCGCGAAGTTTATATCATTCCCTTACCTGTCTTTAGCGATACCAGAACCATACCCGTCTATTCTCTACCCTGACACCGTTACGAAGCATTTGATTAGCAGCCTCGAGTAATTCACGATATATTGAGTCAATTAGAGTTACTCGGCGTCATCTCTAGGTAGTGAACCCTTGATCATGATTCATGAATCCCCTTCTCCCTCCATATTCCATTTTCCATCTTCCATCTTATTACATTCAAGCCACTTCTTCCGTTCCTATCTGTACCTGCATCTGCAATTTGCTAAGTGGACAGCGTCTAGTAGTGTAGTTCACGGATTATGGAGCAGCGCGTCCAACCCCCTACTAGAGCCCCTATCCGTCTTGATATGTAAGATATCCACGATGGAAACCACAAATTCTTGACAAACGGGACTCGCTCGACTCACATATATGGAAAGAGTATTTTGACGATACGGTACCGGTAGGTTGCGTTAAAAGCCTTCAATTGGACTAATAACCTGGTACAGATTGGTACCTGAGGCATTAATATTCTACTGCTAGCTATGTGGCGTCGAGAATCGCTATGAGCTAATTGGCATCTAGCCTGAAAAGGAAAGGATATACATGTACTTATGCTCACTGCTCACATGATTTAAACGCTTGCATCAACAGTTCACTCTTTTATCATACATGCATACCGTATTCACATCTTTCGATAGATTAGTGGCCGGCTGCACCTCAATGTATTGGCATGAGGAGGAGCACTCTGAACCCCCAATCGCAAATTGACCATCATCATCTCTAAACTTCCGCTGCACCCTCTCGCCCAGGGTGCTCCATACGTATCCGGGTTATTGCGATCTTCTCAAAAGTTTTTAACTTCGATGCGTAATCGCAGCACTCAGACCAAATCGAGGAGCCCCATCTTACCTTGTATACATCTTCGAGTCATAATTTGATGGTTTTTGTCACGTTGAAGACAACCCCAAATACGAGCTAGCTGGGTGGTAAAGCCAACAGGAAGCGCGGTAGATTGGCACAAGGTGCTGTTGAGACTAAGCTTGGGGACTTTGCCAAGCAAAAGTATGCACACCATCAAATTAAGATTCCGAAGCTCCGATCGGATCTCTTTCAGTCTCTTACATTTCATCATATAATACAGCCACGAAATTTTTCATCTGTTGTACTGTACACAAGTGCACGTCTCTGATCTTTGAGGACTGCCGCCGCGGTCTCTCGCCACCAATCAGCCAGCCACAAAATCTTTCATCCCATTCCACATACGCTTTAAGATTCCTCTCAACAGTTTTAACGCGAATGCTCATGCAAATAGCTCAACTACAGGAGAATTTTCTTTGAGGATGATTGATCTCGATCAATCATGGGAGCAACTGCATTCTTAATCTATTCGGTACTCTGATCGGCAGTGCAGGTCCAAGTCACAGCTGAACCTTAGCTGAGGAAAATGTAGTGACTTCCAAAAGGAGAAGCTCGTTACATAAGGCTTGTGAACGTTGAAATTACAAAAGAACTTGATTCAATGTAAAAACTCTCTGAGCACACACAAGACGATATACCCCGCACCACTGTTGTCTCAGTGGCAATTCCCCTCTCTCCCTGTTCCACAGTGACATTTCCGTTGCTAGTCTGCAACACGATGCAAGAAATGCATCAGCTGTAGTTGGGCTACAATTAGTAATACTGGGTTCATGATTTATCTGCTTGGCTTGTTCCATTTTGCAGATATCGAATTCACGACTCCGCATATCATAGTGAAGACAGCGTCCCTTTTTGATCATTCACACTGCTGTGTGTTATATTGCACCCAGAATTCATTGACACATCACATACACGAGCCTTGCATTACTATTCTACACGCAAGGAAGTCTTTGTGGAGAGCTGAAAGCGCTCCTTGAATAATATCAATATTGGATCAACAGCAAGATTGACATTCTCAGTACTACAGGATAAAAGTATAATAAGTGTGGCAACTCCCCCCCCTCAGTACGGTTCTTCATCAAATCTCATTTACTCACTTTTGAAAACATCTTTTCAATTCATCTATTACCCCTTACAACCAACATGACGAACGCAACACGCGACTATGGTGACCTCAGAGTCACCATGACCTCAGCCTTCGACTGGGTCTGGAGTGACAAGGGTAGCGGAGCCTCAAAGGACTTTGAAGCCTACCACCCCAAAGCTCAGGGAAATTTGCGTCCTCTGGGATCTGTTGGTTTTTCTTCATATGGTGATAGGAATGGCAAGTTTGCTGTCATCCTTGTTGGGAACAATCCAAGTTCTACTGGCAAAGCAGCGGTCGCTAGTCCCACTGGATACGATCTGATTTGGCGTGATGAGAAGAGCGGAGGTAGTCATAACGGATCTTTCTGGAGACCCAGAGCACCGAGTGGGTACGTCTCGCTTGGAGATGTATGTGTCGGATCTTGGAGTGCCCCTAGCACTGACAAAATTTGATGCGTTCGTTCTGATTTGGTTCAAAGCTCGAACTACTTCAGATCAAAAGTTTGGGATGATCATAAGTCGGGAGCCAAGTCTGATTGTTCTGTGTGGGACATTGGTCTCCCTAATATTGGTGCGAACGGGGGAGAAAACATCCCGATCTCATGCGAGACTTTCCGCGTCAATAACAGCTGGTCTGAGCCCAACAATGGCCTCGCACAAGTTCTCGACCTATCAAATCCCAAACGCTTCACAGAATTCACTGCTCCCCCACCAACTTTCACGAAAAACAATATTCCAAAAGGTGGCGATGCATTCAACCGCATTGATCAATGCCAAGTCACACTTCCTTTCAACATCTATTTCCCCCCCACAGACGCAGCAAGCCTTAGAACCATCAGCTACCCATTCTGCAATCTCACTCGAAAAATAGCTTGGTATGTCCACACGGCGCACACCAATAATAGCGGAGGCCAGATTTCCGACTCCACCACAGTTACAAAAGGTGTCAGCAAGACGCTAGCAGAGGAGATGACACACTCTGCAGGAGTTTCCATATCTGCTTCGTACGGTATCAAGGGTTTCGGCATGGATGTTAGCCTCAACTATCAATTTACATCGACCACTTCCTCCTCCTTCACCGAGTACGAGGAGACTACGCGCACGCAGGGGTATACTGTTCCGCCATATGAAGCTACCATTTTCCTCAGCAAGCGAATTTGGATTCAGGCCATTCGCGCAGATGGATCTATTGTTCTCAGAGAAATCAACTTCAACGCCAACGAAGACATCCATCTTATCGGGGTCTCTCTTAAGTAGACGATGATATGGATGTTTATTAGGTTGAGGTATTGGTACCTTCGTTTATTGTTACGATCTACAAGGCCTGACGGAAACTTTGGCAGAAAGATAGTCATGTGACTACTTACGATCATTATTTGGAATTACCGTTCATCGATAAATAAGCTCTGCTTGAATAGGGTGCATACACTTGTCATGTCTGTTGATTAGATTAGTGTTTATTGTGTCTATCTCAATACAGGCCCTATTTGACATTTGCCCCTATCCATGTGATTTGTAGCCCCTGCATTGTTTTGCGCCATCTGTTGTCGCTTGCACTTGTCCTACCGACCGCTGCGATCACGACTAATCGGTCTCACCAATATATACACATTCATAGGAGCAATGTAGCCCTGTAGGCATTCTCGATTTGAACAGAAAAAATGAATCAGTACTTCTACATTTTTGTACAGTGAAACTAAAGGAAACGTCTAATGTACAAGCTCTTCCTGGGGTTCCCTCAAAGATATCTTGACCCACACCAAGATTCATCTCGCATAGGTAATTATTTGCGAGAGCAAAAGAAGGTTAGAGTGCTAACTTCATTCTTGTAGCTCAGAGGTCCCTCTCTCGACATGAGTTTCAGAATCCTGTAGGAGATATTCTTGTAGAGTCCAGCTCCTTCCGCGTATGATTGAAGGCATTAGTGGTTCTGTCTATGTCCTCTATCCTCTATCCTCTTCCGCGAATTGCCGCTCTATTATATACTCGTTCTTCGTTTCCGACGCATGGTCTGAAGTACCAAATCATACCGATGGCTTCCCTTCCTCCCCACCCAGCTTATTTTTCCATGTTCCCGCATAATGATGGGTTACCAGAACAGGCCCTAAGGTCTACCACCTGAGGAATCATACTCATTTGTATACCATCGAGCGAGACATTGTGCTGTCGCGCCACCTCATCGACACCCACCAGGATATCGTCGATAACTTGCATCATGTGGGGAGAGTGGGGCTTTGCCATTATCGTCCAACTCGTAAACTGGGCGTGTAGGAAATTGTCATTCTCCCACGGCCAGTCAAATTCCAAGCCGACGACAAGATTTGCCGCTTCTCGAGATTCTTTCAGCACCCATCGATGTATCGGTACTTCGCCGCATGAAACGTCTAAATCCATCCACATCCCACCCTCGGCCCACAAGATTAAGTATCTCAGTAGATCCGCTCTTAAAATCGGCACATCGAGTGAGAAGTATGTCGTTATGATATCGGGTCGGTTCGAGAACCATTTGTAGACGTATTCGCTTGCCGCCTCATTGTCAAGTATTTCGTATTCGTATGCAGGACTTAGCTCAAGACAATGATTCCTAAAGCTCTCGGCCTCGGCGGAGACGCCTTGAGGTCCGGCTTTGTACCATATTTTTTCGGGGAAAGGAGCAGCTGTAGGTGTTGGTATGGGCGTGGAGGTAATCACTTGGGTGCTGGAAGACCCGGTAGGTATCGACACTGCATTGCAGCTTTCGGAATGGCCGGAGGGAACGCTGAAGCCGATTTTGACGAAGTAGTTGTATTTGGCCGAGATTAAGACAAAGAGAAAGAAAACCACAACGAAAAGAACAGGAGTATGAGATCTAAAAGACTTTTGGCGAAGCATCTTCTGGGATTCAATATAATTTGAGCTAAGCGATTATTGTATGATAAATTCAAGTGAAGAAAGCACAAACATATTTGGGGTTCTACGGGTAGACTTATTAACTTGGAGCCTACCCCTTGACCTGCAATACTATCTCGCCTTTCTGTGCTGTTTGAAGCAGGGCGACTGCGGCTGCCAGGGCGTAAGGACATAACCTTCCTAAAGGGGCAATCCGGCCTGAACATGCTGGCTTATCATTTGGTTCCGCTAGGCCAATCATCCAAACTTTACCGGGTAGTTTGTCCCGACACTCTGGTACCGAGATGTTCGGGGCCAATGATATCCGATGAATAGGCTTAATGTTGGCTAAGCGTTTTGAAAACCCTTGCATTGACTACCCCCAAATCTCGGATGGGCGCTTACACTGCATTGATTCCTATGTTTAACTCAACTACTGTTCGTATCATCAGCACAGTATGATTATCGAGAGTGCTTTGCGCGAGCATTTATGCAAGGTGTGTCATACAAATTTCCTTCCTTGTTATGTGTTTTCTTTTTTTACCGCAGCAACTTCTAAGCAGTCATTTCATCTTCTCCTACTGCTACGCCAGAGGCTATTTCCATTTTCTTTTCTTTTTCCTTGTCTCTCAATTGAAAAATCTATCACGAAAACGACGCTAATTTTCAACACACTTTTTGGATCAAATTGTGCTAAGATTTCCTATGATTTGGTTATCGTTTCTTGTTTCTTTGCCTGCTCGTTTACAAGCGATGCTTTCACCGTCAACGACTTTATCTTTCCAAACAACCAGACCAATCCTCCTAAATACGAGGGTCTTTTGAAATTGGTACCGAGCTTACTGTTCAGTGGGAGTCCATATGGAAGAACACGACTTTGGTTCTTTGGCAAAGCGGGACGCCACAGTTCCAGTATCTTCCAAACTCGAGTATATCCTCTGACTATAGGATTTTCAACTAAATATGCTCACAATCATTAGGAGACATGATAGGCTTTACCCAATTCATATGGAAAGTTGATCTGAGTGGCGCCAATGGCAATCCCAAATTTGATCTGAACGCGGGGAATGCCTTCTTTTTCGGCATCTTTAACAGTGGCACAGCCGATCTTTTCGAAAGTCAGTTTGTCAATATTACCGGAAAGAATAACATCGTATCGACCCCTTCTTCATCTGCTCTGGCTACAACCTCAGTGAGTAGTGCAGCCAGTAATGATGCCACGACTTCCACCAATGCCTCGAGCGCCGCCTTGAGTAGAAAGACAGATCAGCCCTCAAGCACCTCGACAAGTTCTTCGATTTCCGTAACGCCAACGGTCTCTTCTGCACCGATCAGTACACAGTCTTCGAGCGAGCTAAGTGTAGGTGCCAAGGCAGGAATTGGTATTGGTTCTGTGGTTGCATTTTTCTCCATTGTCGGAGCAGCGTTTGCTTTGGGGCACTTCCTTCGTCGGCCAGAGACTCCACACACCCACCCAGAGAGTGCGGCCATGGGCCATTCAAGTTTCGCCCCTTCTACGACCACTGCAGTGACCTCAGGGTCTCAGCAGTGGCACCCTTTGGTAGAAGCACATTCAGAAATCCAGAAACCAGGAAACAGGATTTACGAGATATGAGATATGAGGTTTAATACACTAGTGCCCTTTAGCGCCCATCATCAACCAGACCATTTTTCTCTGTGCCTCGGAAACCTTGATTTATCACTTTCCATTTCGATACCCATTTAGGAGAGTCACTAGACACAATCTGTGCTCTAGATTTTTATCATGTATTTAAAGATTCTTCATGTGTCTGTTGTTCTCTCTTATAATTATATAGTGGTCTTTAGTTTAGAGCGGGATTCTACAATCACTAGCCACGCTGAGGTAGTGAGAGAGCAGCAGGCATGAGTTTATTTATTATAATTCAACGTGTCAATGAAGTTTGTTATATAAATCTAATTCCTCATTTTCTTGACTGCCCACTTCTGCTCAAGGTGAAAATCATGAAAGAAATCAGTTCCAGCTCTGCAAAAGCATACTAGACCAACGTGTACCACACATAACCAGTGAATATCGGAATTTTTTTCATTATGAAACTTCGCTTACGGCTCTCCTCAAGCTTTCTATAATAAGCGGTGATTGTCCACTCTTTTTGGATGATAAGCTGACACACCAGTAACATAGACCCTTCTCGAAATTCTTTAGCAAAGCAGACTTCCGAAATTCCCACTCAACAAAATGCCCAAGAATTATGACTCACAGTTTTTATACTCTCACTAACATTTGACGTATGGTATGTCATTTTAATGAAATTTTGTGACAATAATGGCCATGAAAAGAATTTGAGTTTGGCGAGTTTGGAGTGGCGGACATTTCGTCCAGATGGAGCCTTTGTCTGCTCCTCGATCCACTCTCCGCACGTTGTATCAGATTTGATCTCCAGCATTAGAAATGGCTGTGCCTATACTAATCTCATCAGCCCCCGATTTTTTCATAGTGAGCAATGTACAATTGAAATGATTGTATAATTCTTCACATGCTTGAATAATACAAGAGAAGATTCTTTCCGAGGCTTGAGATTTTCATGGCAAGGGTATATAGTGCTTAGCATTTGATAAATAGTAGGAGACCAATGCTAAGTCTTGTTTTTGCTGGTGCTTGTTGGTGATTTGTAAGTGATTGGGAACTGCTGGGTAAACAGGCTTACACGTGGGTGTCATATCTTTTACGGGGAAAACGACAAAAGTATCGGAAGAATCGAAGGAAGGGGCGCGCGGGAAGGAAGGTTATTCTCTTCTCTTAATGGCTCTGCGCCGTGCTCCTATTGACCATCCGATACTGTGGCAGTCTTAAAGTTCAGCGGTAGTAAGATACGAAGGGTGATAGATATTAACCAGGAGATACACATCTGTGTTTTGAATTCAAGAGGAGAAGGAGATAATCATCACCTCATGCGAGATGGTAGGGTAGGCTCTCTTGGAGAGCGCCCGACTACCTTCCTTGCAGTCTTGCTAACCAAGATCGGAGCTCATCTATCATCTGATCAACACCAAAAAACCTGTTTTCAAGAACACGGGTTTGGGCCACAAAAGAAATCCTTGGGAATCATCTTCGATTATCCTCAAATAATATATCATGCCATTTACTAAGTTGGGGGCGACTCGATGTTTTTGCCATCCATCCCCGAAGTCACACCATAGAGAGGGTACACTTTCAAGTCTCAACTTTCTCGGCTAATAATGGTTCCCCCCTTCTCTCCCTGAGCATGAGTTTGCAACCTCACATCCTGCATGACTCCCATAACGCCGAACAGTTCCTCGCACCACCAGCACGATCAAACAAATGAATTGATTATTCCATTGCCATCACAACACCAATCATCAATGCCCCCATTAATATTCTCTCAATCTAGATAGAGGGTTACGATCATGACGAGTCGGGGGACACTCCATGGTAGTTCCTCGACGCATCGGGATAGGAGCTCTCCCCGTGAGCGCAGGCTTCACCCAATCACGATCACAGAAGTGTCCACAGCGATGCCTCTCAAAGAACGATTTGATTCCATCGTTTCCCAAATCCGCGGGTCCGCAATCGTGGGCTTGGGACATGATGACTGGGTCTGAGAGAATGCTAATTGGAGTGTTAGGAGATTCTCATACCCGTCGATATAGTTTCTCCCGAGACAGACGAGCAAGTAATAAAATGTCAACAGTAGAGAGAAAGTACTTACTACCCATCACTATACAACCCCCCCTGCAAATCACACAACAAAAACCTTCTCCCAGAATCATGATAGGAAAAGTGACTCAACGCCTGCATCGCCTCATTCCACACATTATCCCGTCCCGTCCACCCAGTATTACTATTAAACTTTTCAAAATTTTCAATCATGGGCTCCACCAAACTTTTGTGTCCAGCCTTTTTCCCCGCACTATCCTCATATCTCCAGATGGCCGGCGTATTGACGATGATTTCTCGTCCGGGAAGAATCCCCGCCGTGTGGAAGGCATCGACAATTTCCTGCGTGTGCCGGATGATCTCCAGCTCTTCGGAGAAATAGTGTTTTTCGTATACCGAGCCGCTTTTGAATTCTTTGGATACGCAGGGTTGCCCTTTGCGGTCGCCTGAGGTGTAGTGGCCTGCCTGGTGGAAGGTTAGCATTGAGATATGCAAGGAAGGTATCTGGATGATGATTACATACCCACACGTTTTTGAATGTCCCAGATGCAAATATTGAAGATGTAACGATATCAGCTGTCGTCGATTTATTGATCCGTCGATGCGACATCTTGAGTTTTTGATTCCTGAGAGGCGTTTTCTATTTAGGTAAAGTCTCGGAAGAGTATTCGAGGATTGATAATTCGAGGAATCGTGCTTGTCTTTGCGATCTAGGACGAGATACCCGGGCCGATTCGAGTACTTTTATGTACATGTTGTTTGTACGACTAGAAGGTTCCGTGTTCTGGTTTCATCCGCAATCACCTAGGCGAACTATCGAGGCCAAACGACTTTGTTTGCTTGCTTGTATTGCTTGTTTCGATCTGCCATGTTTCAAATCCGAGTTCATTTACTAGAGTTTATATATCCGAATCAGAAGTAGACAGATAGCTCGACTCTCTACTTTTCAATCTCTCAAATCGCAATTCCTCGAATATTTCAGATGATTCGTCAATATAAATATGCTCGCAGATAATATATCATTGTTCCCCGGCCTAGTTTCGCTTCTTAACACCTTGCGCTATTGCCTTGTTTCTCATAGTTTCACTCTTCAAGTCACCCTCTTTTCAGTTCGCTCTTCCAGAATCCCGCTCGTTCTCCTCGCTTCCATCAGTAACCTAGTGACTGTCACCCCTTTGCTACACGATAATGGTAAATAGAAAGAAGCACAATCGAGATTGTTGCTCCATCTCTGTCCCCGTTATACTCTGTGGAACTATAAGAACATCTACATTCACACCCCATAGTACAGAACAGAAACAAGGCAAAGTGAAGAGAAATGGTAAGAGGCAAGAGAAGGAAGAATAATGCAATTATTAGAACCTGTGCAGTAGCAAGAATTCGAGAAACCTAAGACTAGATGTTCATTCGAGAGAAGAAAAGGAAAGAACAAGCAACGAAAAAAATAATGAGCATAAAAGAGGTGAGAATAAAACACCGGATGGAAAAGAGCAGACACGACTGTGGTTAGCGAAAGGAGGGGAAGACAAGATGGAAAGATGTTTTGTATCTAGACCCGTCAAGTGATTTGCTCGAAACAAATCTAGTCTGACATGATTGTTTGTGATTAAACAGATGAAGAATTTGAAGTGGCATCATATCATCTCACATGTGACTCACATCAAACATGAAACACTGCAAGACAAAATATCCGAATATAGTCGCATTCGCACCTATACTACAAGAGATCTCGATCTTCATCAACGACTCATCTCCTTCCCAAGAAAAAGTAACAAAACTGGAAAGAGACATTCAGTTCGCTTTCCTAATGCATAGCGCGATGTTATGAAGATAATTATGGATTTCTCCTAGTCGTTCCTCATCACCGAACGCCCGCTCCTACTCCACCTTCATCACCTAGACTTCTCATCTGAGACCCATCCCATGAAAAGCATTTCGCGTCCCATTACGTTATGAATATAAATAATCTTACAAAAGCTTTATCCCACCTGGTTCCTGAATGCCAAAAGCGCTCCTTCCAAGTGTACAATCCTGCAAGCGAATTTTTGTGAACTTTCTCATCCCTACTATGTGGGAGGCGCAGTGGAAGCGGTCTAGTCGCTCGAAGCGGCAACTTCCTGGGCTTTAGGTATGGCAGATGGCGGTGGTATATCTGGGGGTGCCATCATTACTCGCTTTGGATCTCTTTCAGAACAGGCTTCACTTTCTGCAGTTCTTTTCTTCTCCTTTTCCTTTTGGGCCGCCCTTCGTGCCTCTTTATCCTTGCGCTCATTCTCTTTACGCAACGCTTTGGATTCGAATTCATGCCAGTCGCCTTTGAGTTCTTTGAGTCTATTTCATGGTGTTAGCTGATTATCACCTGTAAAGGGAGGTTGTAAGCAAGGATATAACATACTCGATAGCCTGCCTTGCAGTTGGCTCTTCCGTCGTGAAATATGGATGCTCAAGAACGTCAGAAGCAGAAGGTCGCTTGGCAGGGTCATATTGAAACATGGCATCTAGGAGTTCAAACGCAGCTGGTGTAACGCGTTCCTTGTATTTTTCTGCAAAGACGTTGGATCGTTTAGCAGAAGGTCTAAGAAGTTCGAACCATGCCATGTCTACTAAGCCAGGCCAATCATTTCGATTTGGAGTTCCGAGCACAGCATAAATTTTCTCCAGTTGACTGATCTCACCACCGTCTCCAGGAAAAATTGCGTGGCGAGTGAAAATTTCAACCAAGACACAGGCTGCGCTCCAAATATCCACTGCAGGGCCATATTGTGTCTCTCCAAGGAGAAGTTCTGGTGAACGATACCAGATGGTGATAACACGATTGGTATAGTCCAGCTGTCTTCGCTTTGCGTAAAATCGAGCCAGCCCAAAATCTGCTAATTTCAGTTGACCTTCATCACTAACAAGGATATTTGCTGCTTTAATATCCCGGTGTAAAACACCTCGTCGATGAAGGTAATCAAGTCCCTCAAAAAGCTGCTTAGCAAGGTGCTTTTTGTGAGCTGCGTCTAACTTGAAGGATGGGTGATTGAGCAAGCCCGTAAGATCGTGTGATAGATACTCGAAAACCATAAAGCAATCGTTTTTCTCCACCATTACCTCTTGTAAGGTCACGATGTTTGGGTGGTTCAAGGATTGTAGCAATTTAATTTCTCGAACAGCAGTCACAGGAAACCCGTCGCGTTCTCCTTCCATGCGTATCTTCTTCAAAGCGACCAGCTTCTTAGTGTAGACGTGGATAGCTTTGAACACTTTACCGTAAGTTCCAGATCCTACCACAGATTCATTACCAGGTTTTCGATAGTACACAGAATCTGATGCCTTATATTCGGGTAAAAGCTGTGGCTTCGGCTTCAAACGTTGCATAATCTTTTTGACCTTACGCGTAACAGGAGGCGGTGGTTCACGGAATGCGTGTTGTGCTCTTGCAGATGCTGGCTCTGTAGGAATATTTCGTGTCGCTGCGGGGCCACGAGGGCTATTTTGCATATCTCGCTTTATTGGTACAGCGTTGAGCTTTTGAGATATTTCTGGCTTCGGAGTAGTTGCCGCTTTAGCTGGACCTTTGAAAGCAAAACTAAACTTCGAGGAGTTCTGTTGACTTTGAGGCCCTGTCGGCGGTGGTCGACTAGGAGGAGGCATTTGTTCATCATTCTTTTTGCTAGTATCCTCGGCCTGAAGGTCTTTTGAAGGTCTAAATAAGTCTTCGCTTTCGTCCACCTGATTCTGCATTGGAATTGCACCCGAATCAAATGAATTCTGCTGTGGGAACTGTTGTTGCGGTGACATTTGCTGAGGTGTAACGTTACCAGAATTGGTGAATTGGGCGCGACTGGCGCCGGAGGGACCAGAAGGAGGATTCCATTGAGGATTGAATTGGTTGCCACGATTACCTCGGGAGTTGAAATTGTTCGCTCTAAAATTCCGTTGGTTGCCTCTGAAGTTGTTGTTCATTGGCCCCGTAGGAGGCCCTTGATGAGAAGGAGATTGGGCTTGGTTGCCATACATTTGGCTTTGTGGGCCAGTGGGAGTAGCATATCCCGGTTGTTGCTGGTAATTCTGTTGAAATTGCCTGCAAGTCTCGTCAGATTTGAAAATTGTTAGTCCTAACAGAATGAAACTTACGAAGAGGGCGAAAACTGTTGTTGCTGTGAGCCATTCCAATTTCCTCGCCCAGACGAATAAGGTGATTGTGCCTGAGGTGAACCATGATATGAATTTGGGGTCATTTGATGTTGTGGGGATTGTGAAAATTGTCGTGGATCAGCTTGAGGCCCTTGAGTAACTTGATTGAATTGTGGTTTTAGAGGAAATGCAGCCTGCATTTGTTGGTTTGGATTGTACCCTTGCTGATTACCATAGAATCCTCTGTTAGCCATCTTATCCGATTTGACCTCAATGCTATTCGCTCCTGAAGCTGCCGATGTAGGTCGACCTCGAGATTTATTATTAGGGCGATATTCGTCTCGTGAGGGACGTCCCTTTTCTCGCTTTGGGGACCGTCTCCGATTTCCCTTTGGCCCTTTCGGTGCACGGGGAGATTGACGACGACCACGATTTTTATGTTCGTATGTATCTGCCTCTGGGGATCGACGGCTCGAGTATGGGGAAGGGTCCCGCTTCCTTTCCTTATTTTCAGATAAAGTTGGTGCTGGATTTCCTCCGTCCTTTTGTTCTTGCTCGACAATTTTGTTGGGGGATGAATTACGGTTTGATGGTGGATCGTCGTAGTCCAAGGCTGATGAGGGACGAGGCTTTTCAAATTTATCGCGGTTTTGACCAGGAGATCGCCCACGCTTATCGTTTTTTCCAAAATCTCTACGATTTCTTGGGTTTCCTTCCTCGCGTTGATTATTCCTGTTTGGTTCTGATTGTCGATGTCGATGTCGTGATGTAGACCGGTTTCGTCGCTTCCTATCTCGCCGGGACCCTTTCGTAGCTCCGTTGTGCCGTACTGGACTGCGAGAATTCCTCCGAATTTTCTTTTGTTGGTTGCGACTCGGCGATGGGCTGCGACTCTTTCTTCGTTTTAATTGTTGGGGGGAATGGGCTGTATTTCCTTTTGCTATTTCTGTGCCTCGCGTTTCCAATAGTAGTTCCCTACCTTGATTGCGCTTCAATACGTCTTCTTGAGTATCTTTTGATGGCCGGGGAGACGATGGCCTTCTGCGGTCTGGACTGCGATCTTGCTTTTCAGTTTCTTGTGTTGGTCTGGACCTATCAGTACTGCGATCTCTGGTATTGGGCGTCCTGTCGGCGTCCGGTCGACGTGACGTGGGAGACCTTGATCTTCTCGACCGTCTTTCAATAACTCCTCGGTCGACTCTACCTCTATCTCTGCGATCGTCACCGGGGCTCCAGCTGTCTTTCATCTCGAGCGCGATCGCATCTCGAGCAGGCGGGTGTTCTTTTGGTTGTGGAGTTGAAGGCATAATTGAGGGAATGTCGATGATTTTGCTAAAGTGGCGCGCTTCTTTAGGCTTAGCGAGAATTGAGTCGATGGATTGGCATTAAACCATACAATGCGACACAAAAAGACTTTGAGAGAGAAAAGTTGAGTTGAATTGAATAATGAAATGATTTTAAATGAAAATAATGATGAGAATCTTGAAAAAATTGAAAGGTATAAGACGACGAGAAAATAAAAAATTGGGAGGGATTTTGGTGTTACATTACCTAGGTATCTGATTGTATGACTTGCCTATTTGTTGTGTTGGTGGTGGTGGTAGTGGTGGTGGTGATTGCTAAGTGCTGAATTGAGTCGAGTCCGATAATGGTGTTCCTAACCCACACCGTGTCATCGGAACTCCATAATCCGTAGAGGTGCAGAATAACCACTGTTGTAGTAAGAACACTGCACACTCGTTGTTCTGTAGAGTTGAAAGACTTGAAAGAATCGTCCGATTCCGACACCGAGTGAACAGAGCAGAGCAGATTACCAAGCCTTGTGTCCTTCCTTCCAAGTTCCATGCATCGGTATCCAAACCGCGTTTACAATTTCGAAGTCACGTAAAGTATGCAAAGTTCTATCTACAATGCGTTTGATACGCAAATATAACAAGGGAAGTAAAGGAAATTATCGTCAATATGGCTATGCCAATATAGAGTCTGCCTCTGCAAGAGCTGCATAAGGCTCAAGGGAGTCTAACCCTCGAATATTTCCCAGCAATGTGTGCAGAACACGTCCTCAGTGTAATTAGGAGCTAACTCCCTCGAAACCTTTCTGCAAAGATCGACAGCCCAGTGGTCGAATGGTAGACGGCAATCTGGGAGCGCTTCGCTGTTGTTTGATGGTGGAGTTCTTGAAATCTTGTACTATTCTGCAGGGTCGTTCTAGTAATGAATGTGAATGATGATAACATCTATCAAAAGTGACTGGAGCCCAAGTATCTTCATAGAGTCATGGATTGATGTCGTTGTTGGAGCAGCAGTCAAAGGTTAGAGCTTGTGAGGAGACTCGATTTGGGGCAAGAATAACGAGTGCTCATCACCCAGAAACAACCGCCGTGTCAAATATCCAATATGTGCAGACCGGTTCTTGTTTTGAATCAAATAGATCCGACCAGCGTAGGACCATAGAAGACCTAATCATTATCCAGGGAGGCATTTAACGTAAGACATGTGCCAACTTCAGCCTTGTTATGATAACAACCACTATTTGACATCTTGCAGATATCGAAAGTGCTGGTATCGGAATCTGCGTGTAGAGGATTCGTTCAAGCATATCAAGGACTCATTAGGTATGGCATATTCACAAATAATCCTGTGGTCTGCCCATGCCGGTAAATATCAGCCACTTCCATCAATCCGCAGATTCAACTATTAGTGAGGGGTGAAAGCAACCTTCAGCCTTCCATGCTAACCGGATTAACAATACTTGAAGCCATCACGTAGAAAACTATCGTCGCTATTCTGAGAGAAGGATCGGCATACGCAGGGGCACGTAGGTAGATGATAGATACTGGATGCCGCGGTATACAAAATCACATACCACCATAGATGTTGCTTATTGTCGATTCCAAGATGGTTTGTGAGCTGCGACTAATATTGTCAATGATAAAAGGTGCATTTAAAGTACAGCTGGTTGGCGTGAATGGGAGTATATCGAGAGATCTAGGGGGGCAATCGTCTCGAAATATGCCTATTGCGATGTCGATACGGTGGCATGTGCGATTGTTGAGAAGCGGCGAAATCTTGAAGAAAGACTGTACCGTTACCTTGCATAACCTTGATCAATTTTTCATTTCTCCTAAACCCCGTCGTCTTGCGGCAAGTTATTGCGAATAATCATATATGTACGGAGATTGTAGTCTTTTTTGTAAAATGGTAAGGATAGTATGTTGATTGTTCAAAGTTTACTCGTTTGAGAGCAAGGCTTCCAGGCTCTACTCGTTTGGCTCTTGATTACATAATCTGATTAATGCTCAAATATTCGCGGTCGTACTAACGTATTCGACAGAAATGCAACGCCTATGTTCCAGCAACTCCATCTGCAACTTCTGGCCGCAAATCCTGATCTTTTATCATTGAACACTCAAAGCTGATTACATATATTGATGAAGTTGGTTTGTAAATATGTAACGAAAGGTTCTAGTCTTATTCGGGTAAAGGACGGAAGCAGACCATATGTGATTGCGAGTGTGAGATGCCATTTACATACCTAGATCAGAATTTCAATCTCTGTCTTGTTTTCAGGCATTAAACTGCTGAAGATGAACGAAATTAGTAAGATGGACAAAGTAGATTCCTCTTTGCTATCTGCTGCAGAAATTTGACTGCTTTCAAGCAGGCTCGAGTGAGCTATAACAGCCTAGAAGTGGGCTTTACCTGCTTGAGCCTCCTCTTGTACAACTTTCACCGGTAAATGAGTAGCTACTCACATGTCGGAGCGGCTATGCAGAAACTGCACTGCTTGCTGGAACGTTACACCAAGCCTGGTCTATCTCCCATTTACTATTACTATCCACGGTCGCAGTTTCAGCTCACTTCATTTACCATGAAATTTGACACGAACCCCTTAGGTTCTAAGAGCGGGTAGACCTTTTATATCTATATTTGCATCACCCTGATACTCACTATACATTATGGAGGTACTTGCTGGAGTATCGAGCGTGCTCTCGGTTCTTGATTTTGCCATCCAGCTTGCAGATGGTATCAAGAAAGCCTGTGCACTCTGGGAATCTCTACAAGAAGCCCCTCGTGAGGTTCAAATGACATGCAAAGATCTACGCGCTATATCAAACGTTCTTGACGATATACAGTTAGAGGAGAACCAGTTCATGCATCACTCTGACTCGATAGTTGAGGCTCTAGAGCTTTGCTCTGAAGTTCTTGAATCTCTCAATCACCTAAGTCAAAAGATTGTATTCGCAAATACAGATACTAACCTGTTGAGTAAGAGATGGCGCGCTATGAAGGCAGTCATAAAGATGGACAAGCTACAAGAGTTACAGTCGAGATTGAACGGCGTGAAACTGACCTTGGTCCTGGCTCGTCAGAACTCTTCTCAGTTAGTACCTCCTCGACTGCGTGTTTGGAAGTTCCTGACATATTTAGACTTCTGTCCATGCAAACTTATAAATCTCAACAGCAGCTCATGAATATGGTGGATGGAATCAAGCTCGATCTACAGGGACTGGCCTCGAAAACCGTTGTAATCACATCAAGAGATCCACCAGACAGTAAAGTACACTTCGATGCACTAAAAGTGGAAGCTCGAGCTCTTGCACGCACTATCAAAAATCCTGTCATGAGGCTCGGTTTTGAGAGAGCTATAGATTTAGCATTTTCTACATTGTCAAACTCCGCTGAGAGAAGCCTACGGAGAAAGTCTGCCGTTCTGGACAATGTATAGCACAGTCTCTCTACCATTAACACGCCTTTTGAAAAAATTAATATCTACATCACCACTTTATCATTCGCAGACGGCACTTATAAGTCGTGCAACAATTTGATCATGCACCCCTCTCGTTTGCTACAACTATGCGGTGTCAGTCTCGGGGTCAGAGTTGCTCTTTCGAAGTCGTGTGGGACCTTCAAACCCGAATCAAAAGCATACAGAGCTGTTCCGAACGATTCGGCAATTTTCAGACTCTGTAGAGACGGACGCTTAGATGCCATTCGATGTCTCTTTGATGAAGGTCTTGCTTCTCCACGTGATACTGATTTTTATGGTAGAACGCCTTTGATGGTACGTAGTTCTGACTTCCATGCTCAGAAACAATTTAATCCCAGATAATTTGAGCTGATCGACCATCTAAAAGTACTTTATTAACGGCGCCACTTCCTCCTGGATGACCTATGAAACAGCTTCGGGCGGCTTATTGTATCTCATGCTAATGATATTTCTAGATAGCAGCATCTACTGGGCAACTATCAACATGTAAATTTCTCGTCAATGAGGGAGCTGATTTGGAGGTCCGGGATATACTCAATAAGTAAGTAGATTGAACATTTTTTCTAGTGTCGTTGAGAATCCGGGCCGATCATACGTCTGACACTTCTTGATAGTGATCTTGGGTCATATGCATGTGGAACGTGGGATCCCGGTTATGGAAAGCACAGAGTTCCCTTCGGCTTTTCACACAGTGAAAATCGGCCCTGGATGCATTGCGACATTCGTATCGAAGTCCTCCGAATGTTTCTCGAGCAGTTCGAAGTCAGCGAGAATCCGTCTTCTTCTGGATTTAGAGGATTGTGTTCGCTCGCAGCCAGCACGCGTTTCGTAGGCAATCGTCAGCGCCTAGCCAACCGAAAACTTCTTTATTGGACTAGTTCAATGCTTCTAGATCGGTTGGCCCTCACTCCCAATTTAAGCGCCTATTTTAAATGTGCGTTATTTGCTGCAATGCAATTCGAGGACATAGATATGATTGATCATCTCTTCCGTTCTTGTCCTCGTGATATAACAGGAGATTGGATCGCGCCATCTATAGCGCTTTGTCTCGTGAGCAAAATCAGAGAATTTGATCAGGCACATCTTATTCGTTGCATGATGAGTCACGGTATGGATCTTCATAGCCCATCAGCAATGCTGCCTTCTACCATCCCGAAGCATCCCCAAGTAGCGTACCGGGCTACAATAACGTCACTTCTCTTACAGTCATCAGTAGCACTCTTCCAGTTCAAGACCACTTTGCACAATTTGGGCATAGACACATCTAAATTCGTATGCGATGAGATACAGCAGGGCCCCATCGTCGCCGCTGGTTGGACTTTCCAAAGTCTCCACGCGGTCTTGAATTTGGATTATCTACCTAATGATTCCTTGCCATATTTCCTTTGTTTGCAAAAATGCATTACTGCTCCCTATAAATACGGTAGAGAGCCGTCTTGGGAGATTCTATTGGACAAATTAAAAGCCGGAAGCGACTTCTCCAGCGGCGTCGAAGATATACTGTGGGAACGAGATGAAGATCTTATTAAGTTCCAGAGTATGGATGGGCGCGTTCGTTCATGTTGTGGTGAGCTTGGAATGTCGTATGCTACCGAGGATGAGTGGGTTACCGCTCTCTATAATTTATACCGCGATCGGCTCCGCCAAGCAGCAAAAGAACGCGAAGCAGAGGTGGAGGATTCAATGTTTCTCTTGTCTGTTTAATGGTGTCATCTTGATGACGGAATGATTGCTTAGCCTAGATGGCGTATTAGTTACCAACAAGCACTGGGATACACCACTTGCGCGTAGAGTTGGGGCAGATTGAGTTATTGAAATGTGCAATTGTGGTCTATCTTTCTTCAAAACACGTCTCGATCATTTTGCTATACGTCAACCTGCATAGTGAAATTTCACGAAATTCATCTTTTTCTGTTTGTTCTCTTTCTTTCCTTCCCCTCCTCATCTCTCCTCTACCACATTCACTATATCAATACAATCCTCGCTCTTCTATAAGCACACAAATTTAATTGTCATAGTCATCAAATCCAAATCATAGTAACCAGAGAGCAAAGTGACTTGATAAAGAAGAGGTCTATATCCCTTCAGACATTCTAACAACCATTATCTGACATCTCAAATTCAACTCCAACAAGAGATTAATCCAAAAATCTGTGAGCTTTTCTCCATTATTACCAACTAGATCTCATCCCAGGTAATTCTCTCAGTCGATAACCTTACAGGGAAATTACAAGACCAGAAAGAAGTTCAATTGTACAATTACAAGTACGTGCTTCAAAGCTACTACATTCCTTTACATCTCCCATCATGAAGAACCTCAATAACACTACCGCCAGTGAGTAGGTAGATACATGAACTAACAATATACCACTCATCTCAGTTACCCAAATTTCCAACATTATCAATCTTCAATGACTCAATCTCAGAATCTACTACTGCATTATTCAATCTATCTCTATAATACATTACCACAACCCCAAGACGTCCAAACCAATATTCCAAAACAAACTTCGAATTATAACTCTATTTCTGCCCTATCCCATCAGTCCGTCCGTCCGTCCGTCCGTACTACGTACACTCACTGATATACCTACTTTACATATCATACCAAAGAGGATTAATCATAAAGATCAAATATCAAACATTACACCAATAATCGCATCAAAAAATCTCTCATCTCAACTCAACCAATCGATCCCAGATTTTCCTATGTTTCTTCAAAATCATCCGTCCGTTTCCCACACATAACACACGCACCCATTAATTCTACATCTCCATCCATCCATCCATCCATCCATCCATCCATCCAAACCCCACCGCAAAGCCCAAGCAAAACATTGGATACCCACATCCACTTCCCACATCCTTTCCTCCCGCACCCCTCGGACACCCCTCGGTACAACATCCCAACACCCCGTCCCGTCAAAGATCCAAAGATCCAAACATCCAAGCATTCAAACATTGAAACACCCAAACACCCAAACACCCATTCCATCCAAATCTAAATTCCAGACCCCAACTCATTTTTTCTAATTCTATTTCTCACTCAGCACTGTGCAGTGACATACCATACATCTCCCCTCTCATCAATGAACCGACCGAGCCGATCTCCTAGTATCTACCCACCTAGTACTTCGTATGCTGTATCTCAACCAACCAAGTGGATAAACAACAATGTATTCATATTTATTCATATTTATTAACCAATAATATCACATCTACATTCTCCCTCGTACACCCCTCGTATCTCTCGTATCTCCTCGTACTAAATCAGTTACCTAGACAATCACCTACTCGTATATACTAGGTAATTACTCAATACCATTCCATAACTTTGCGATTACTTAATCACCTAATCACCTAGGTAATCACGTAACCTCCCCCTCCGTCCAAAAAAAAAAAAGACACCATAAAAACCCATAAAATATAAATGTAAAAAACGCAAACAAACAAACCAACCATCTCATCTCATCAAATCGATCAAATCAGAGGAGCGGGATGAAAACCAATCCGATCCAATCCAATGCAATGCAATTCAATCCAATGCAATGCAATTCAATCCAATCCACTCCACTCCACTCCAAACCAAGAATTCACAACTTAAGAATGATTCATGATTCATCAAAGCATCTTCCCTGTATTCTTTTCTTTCCCATTCCATCTGCATCCCACTTTTCGCGTTTGGGAATTTAGAACTGGTGGGGTAAATTGGGTTGGGTCCGACCGAGTCGAGTTGCAACTGCGATTTCGAACTTCGACTTCTGATGAAATGAGATGAGATAATCAAATGAAGTGGAGGGAAGGGAAAACTATGATTTGGATTTCACATTTCACATCACACGCACAAGAAGCACATATGCACAGAAAAATTCATATGGTCAAAAGAATGAATAGTTAATCTAATTGTATCCAGATGCAAGAAGTGGATAGCAAGAAAGAAAAAAGTAAGAGGTAAAAATCATAACTTTTAAAGTCGTGAGTGATACCTAGGTATATAAAGCAAAAAGTCTATAAAAAAAAAACGAGTGAATCGAATCGAAACGCAAGCTTCCAGTTCCCCCCCAAAAAAAGGAAGGAAGAAAAAAATAGGGTTCCCAAAGTGAAAAAAAAGGGTAATCCCACGCCAATACACCACAACCCAATCCTAAAGCCGTCCGTCCCACCGATTCAATCAGGAGGTCCGTTCCGTCCTGTCCGTCCGCCCGTGTATCCTTTTATATATCCTCATGATAGAACCATCATAAACTTCGTATGCCACATCGCAGCACGCTTTGCGGCGCTGACGTACATTGTTTCTTTTCTTTTCGTATGTATTTATGTAATGTATGTATGTGTTGGTGTGAGACCGGTCGGTATGTACATCTTGTTGCACCTTCTCGACTACCGAGACAAAGAATGAACTTCACCGCGAGGAATCTAAGCAGATCCACCGCCGGTGACGAACTCTTTGCCGACCTTGGCTCTGGTCTCACGCTTGGAAGTGGCGAGGTTACCGAGGAGGCAGACAAGTTCGTCGGAATCGGTAGCTTGGGTTTGGATGTCGTCTGGAAGGTTGTAGGCGTTATCGCAAGGGAAGGTTTGGCAGCCAGACATAGGAGTACCGGTGTTCAATGGGAACATCTCCTTAACACCATGGACATCATCTGGGTTGACGATAGCGGAAACATCGAAGTAGGTCATGCCTCCCCAGGAATCGAAGCAGACTTCACCAAGCATACCGGAGGTGTTGTCGGCGCCTTCAGAGACAGAGTACCAGTTGCCAATCCAGCCGGTAGGGAAGGTTTGGTTGGCAGTAGAATCGCCTGAAACGGTAAGGGAAGCGATTTCAGCACAGCCAGAGGTAGGAGTGAAGACCAAGGTACGGGTGGTACTGTCTTGGTTGACGAAGTGCACGCTGCCGGCAGAAACAATGGTAGCGAGAGCTGCGGAAACAGCAAGGATGGAAGTAGCGAATTGCATTTTGAGTGAAGTGTTTGTGTAAACTTTTAACTTGGTAAGGATTGGTTGGGGCAAAGTAAGACTGGGCTTTACTTTAAGTTGGTCAATTTAAACTGGTTGCTTCTTTGGGCAATGAGAGTTTTGGATCGAATATATGAGCTGATATTGTCAAAGTCGTCAAGACTGAAAAGTTCTGGTGTCGTAGAGACAAGTTTTGCTGTTGAGCTGACTGTAGAAGCTGTGAAGTGACTGTAAAGTCAAGTGCGATCTCAGATCGAAATGTTTGAGTAACTTAAAGGAATGAGTGAACTCTTGTTGACAACGTCGTGGATGAGGAAAAGAAAGAAACACAAATGGAGGTACAGCGGATTATATAGACAGACAACTGAGTGTGAATTCAGGGGACACGACTAAAGTACCATGATTCAATCAGGAAAAACGCCAGCGCGGACATTTACGCTTTAGCTCAGGCTTGCTCAGCCCAAGCTACGGCAATTGTGGAGTCATGTCAGCCGGAAGTAGGTCAATCGGAACCGAATAAACAAAATGCATCCAGAACGTTTGCTTCTTCTCAGGGTGCAGACTCCGTACACTTTCCACATTCCGCTATTGGAGGCGGCCACGCCAGACAAAATTCGTAAACACGCCACCAAACCCTATGGGGAAGCTACTGGCATCTGAGACTCGGGAGTACTAGCCTTGGCGAGATTGAGAATTTTCCTTTGGTGGGAAGAATGGAGTCAATGGATTGATGCGACTACGCTTTGATTGGATCGTTGGGGATTGTTCCTGAATCTTAACGGCAGCCGATGCGTAGGGCACGCGGAGCGGAAACTCGAAAGTTTATTTGGTAGTCGTCTCTATGTGGAGGATGTCTTTGTAATCCAAGTAGCCAATGAACTTTACGATATTTGTTTCCATGATTCATATCTGTAATAGCAACTCTTGATGCCAGTGTTTTCCTCTTTCAGGAAGATGATAGGTTAAGTAAGGTATTCTAGACCCCAATTTCTTGGAACTTGAGTCATTTGTCAAATTATCCGTGTTTGTGCTTGGAAAATTGATTCCGTGAAAGGGTTTTCCTGCAGTGACCATTCATGATATGAATGGCTGACTGATGTAAGTACCTGTCGATATATTACTTCTTTGGAGTGTGACCTCGCAATCAGAAAACTCAACATATCGGAGCATTCGACCAAAGAAGTGTCGTAATACAATGGCAATGGGTAAATCGCGGAATCGATATTTGTTCAAACACCTCGGAGTCGTGGGAGAATTGGGAGTGGGTAACCACTGTCACACGAAGAATAAACTATTTTCCCAATTGTTCTCGACCTTTGTAACCTTGCAACTTTGAAAGTTCTTTCTGGACAACATCATTACAAGGTCTGCCTATATGTTGCAAAAGGGGGGGCAATTCGATAGCGGGGACGATATTCGCCGGATATTATCTAGGATGGCAGCGGAAGTGTGCGGTTAGCAAGGATGAGCCGTATCGAAAAGTCTGTTCACTGTTTCAATTATTATGGATGACTTTGAGTAGATTGGCTGATGAGAAGAGCTGCTGTAACTTACATATGTGTACAGTACTGCAGTCTGCAGTACCTGCACATGTCGTGTAATATTCAGAATTTTAGTCGACTTCATGTGAGTTGCGAGTTCCTGACAACCTGTACTCCAATTATTAATTACATCGAATAATTCATATAAATCCCGCAAAAACTCTTTACACATTACGCCATAGGACAGCAAATCCTTCTGGAATAAACACATGTGAGTATCCATAAGGGCTCGCTTGCCCTTGCAGTAGTCCCAGGAACCCGCAAGGAATCCGACGCCCATGCATTTAGGCCTGCATTTAGAGCCTGCACCAGGGGCTGAGAAAAAATTCTAAAAATTCGAGAAATCTCTTTTGTCTAATTGACAATCCATCTTCACGAGTTACCAACTGCCACGAATCTATTGTGCAACCTGTAAAACTCAATTCTGTATTATCCATAAGGCACGAAGATTATTCAATCTTTCCCACGTGTATCGATTGTAATTCCACGCATCAACTCAATCATTACGTCGATCACAACATACGCACCTCTTCACTGACCTGATTTCCTGACTCCATTTGATACAATGCCAACCCCACATGTTTCTCTCATAAGCGTGCAATACTGAGTAGACAGATTAGAGTAAAGCAGAATTCCCAATTAATGCTCAATCTCTCAGAAACATTCTGTATGGCAACCTCAGGATTCCGAAATCATAAACAACCATGAAGAGATCAACAACTAAACTCTTCTCAAAGTCTCAAACCAGAGCACCGGCGTGATAGCGGGGCTCGACATGTGGTAAATTAAGCGATGAAACCATGAACTGCCTATCGTAATTTCCGATTGCTGAGTAAGGTTTTCTACAGAAACAGCCACTCGGATTGAGTTACTGTGGGATCCCCGGGGAGAGTAGCGATTCATGATCTAGATTTTACTATGCTGCCCTGCTGCGGTCTGGACGTGTTCTTGAACAGAGGTCCTTCCCGCACACTTGGGTTAATTGTGAAGGGATACACCGCTTTTGGGCATCCGTTTTTCCTTTTTGCAAACTGGCATGTGAAGGAGATAGGGTTGGTAACTTTGGTTGTGACAGATTGAAGCATATGGGTAATGGCCGGATATGATTCGCTTGCCTGTGTGGCCTTAGGTGGCTAAATCACGGAGACGTGGATGTACGTGGATGTAGACCTGCTTTCATTTCGCTCATGTGAATATACGATAGTCTAATACGGACTGAGGAACTGATTTGGGAACTCGGTGAAGACTCTATCCCAGACATATCAGAGTCTCGTATAGATATTCTGGATTCATTTATCCTCCATCGACTGCTATAGAATCTAGATGAAAAAATGTGCAAAGATCTTCTCGTCCTCACGCCCCAGTATACGTCACATAATGCGGACCTGCGTGAGGAAAAAATCCTACAACGAGAAAAGTGTGAGACGGATTTATGTTTGACCTAAAAGCTTGTTGACGAGCTTATTAAACAGATGGAAGATTCCGAGTGAGTCTCCATGACAATGGGACTACCACGAATTTAGAAGGTTGAAAAGAAAACTCTAAGTAGAAAACTTTTCAAGGTCTCTCCTTTATCCCCAACGAGGCGAGGAGGATGAATAAAAGTGGAGACGTTTGTGCTGATAATTTATGTTAAGCCGACGAGGTGCATAAATCGAGTAATGCAAATCGGGATCGACAATTACAAACACCGTTCTTGTATTTGCAGGCCGTGCTGAGAGTTCATGGCTGAGCCCACAGAGAGTCTGGGCTCTGGGCTCTGGATTGTTGAGAATTCGATACAATACCGGTAGTTGTAGGCTTGTAGCATTAGGAATGTAATCAGAATTGTCATCATATAGGCCTGGAAAGCGTTGAAGAAGAAGCAATAGTGTGTTTTGAAAGATTGATATGTTTCAGCGCCTGCGAGAAAATCATTATGCCGAGGTTGTGACAGGAAGTTTGTGTGCAGCGTAAAGAGTAGAGGTGATGCTTTCTGCGAACTGTGCTATGTTAGCAAAGATCAAATCTGTGATAGTATCAGACAATAACATAGGTTGCGTGGCTGCATGTGAAGTTTAAAGTGTGGACAAATGTCATGCTCGTGTGAACGCGTAATGCAGGGTCAACGGCGTTGTACTTGAGTGTATAAGAAGGGCTCGAAGTCCTTGAAAGAGAAAGCTTCAGATACCGACGGAAATATGTAATACTTAACCGATCTCACGGCTCGAATTTCTCCAAATGTCGAGATTGGATCATGGGTGTTATAGATGTCAGTTCGTATACCGGAGTGGGCAGCGAAGGTATTGCCTATTCAACCTCGTGCTTTGTACTTGAAGACATTCGATGACATGTGAAGACATATTATGCATTCCTTTGGATCGACGATGCAACCATTGAACTGATAGATTTTTCGTTTTCAAAAGATAGGACCACAGAAAATGATTATATCCGCTGTCCGTTGACGGCTTGCCACATATGTTCTTGTATGGCATGATCGTGTCGTATTTCTACTTACTAACACCTACAGCAGGCTGATTATCAAGCCAAAATATTACAAAAATAGATGTCCGCGCCCTGATGTGGGCTGTTCCCGATGAAAAACGATAGTTTGTTGCTTTCCTATGAGCGAGTCGACTTGGCAATCAATCCCGATGGCGGAAGATTCTTGGACCAATTTTTGAACGTCGTCCGAGAGCACTCTGGGCTTTTTCCACTCGCTGTAGTCATTCGTCCTGATCTTCGTGTTATGTCGGGCCGAAATCAATCAGAATGGAAGTGTCCACCAAAAAAATAGATACTTGACGTCAGCATCAAAATCTTGCGGTGTTGAGGTTCCAATCCATGTAAAGAGTGTGATCTAGGTTCGGGTACTTGGAAAGATCTTCACTCTTTCTAAAAGCCGAATTTGTGGTCTAGAAGCAGTGGGAAGTGTCGTTGAAATCCCTTCAATACTCTAAATAAACGCTTTGCTAAATGTTTGAGAGCAAGTTTTGCTCTCCAGACTCCTCCAGCCCTACGTGATCTTTCCATCTTGTGTTCCCCATATCACCAAACCCACTTCATGTCTCCATCTTTATGGCGAGTGCATCTATCGATAACATTGCATTAGCAAGCCAACGACCATGATGACACACTGTGTTGACATTTCTTCTCGCATGAAGCTTGACATGGGAAGAATCGTATGATGAACTCAGCGTTTTCCTGATTCGTTGGGATTGATGCTATTCCACTATCTCCTCGTATTCTCACATCCACGATTTCTTAGCAGATAAGATGCTTGGCAAACGGATGATTGCATACCTACACTACAGTACATACTTATTTTAGTTTTCACATGGATGGAGAAAGCCATATATTCAATCACTCAAATAGATTCACACAATGAAAATATTGATATTTTATTTCCTCACCATGATCTCAATTTACATGAAATTAGAGGAACACGTATCGTTGAATACATTGAAAGCTTTACATTCATAGACAAATCATATTTTTGTATCGAATAAAATGATTGTCTGAATTGATATCGAATTTTGAAAAGAGTGTATATTTTTTGGCATCCCGGGGTTCCCGACCTAGAGAGATAATACCTTATCGGAGTGTTGATTCTAGCAAACGGGTACCACGAGTCTACGTACGACACAAAAAAAGAGACGAGCTTTTCCGCTAATCGTTACCGGGGGTGGATAACGATCTAACAAGATTTTCATCTGCTCTCGTTCCGATTGTTCAAGTTCGTGACATCCCAGAGTTCTAACCATCCACTTATCGTTCTTGTGACTTAGGTCAAGCATACATCTGGTCTCTTCGCATTGACTGCTATCACCTACCTAGGGCAATCAGAGATTTGGGACCTGGAGTCTAAGAAGAAGGGAACAGGACGCGACCTAAGAACTGCCCAATCAAGTCATGGCCGAAAAAGTTTAACCACCTTTCAACGTGTAAAGGCCCGCATCAAGCTCACACTATTGCCATCAAAACATTGTCCGCCTTTTCAGTAGTGATGACGGTCGCAAGTAATCAGGCACATGTGAAGGCATTGAGTAAGAATCATCACAACGATTGGCCAAAAGATGATGGAAAGTACGAGAAATGTTCAGGTACTAAGCTGTCAACGAATGAAAAGGGTGTAAATTTCGGGATAACTCCTAAAGTAAGAATTAGGACGTGGAAGTTGTTACTTCCTCTAACTAGATAACCATAGGCGTAAAAGGTGTCAAGTAGCTAGGTAAATGAATTTCTTTTCTCCCAATGCTTGGGAGTCGAAAGTTTCTCGTGTTGGACTGAACCTTGGGATCAAAATAGATATTCTATCAATCAAGCTCACCAATGACGCAGATCTGAGCGTACAAGTGGATTCTCAAGTGCGGGAAAATTGACTTTGGAAGTTGGGGGAAAAGTGGAAAGAACAACCAATGAAGAGTAGTGGGCGAGCAAAAAGTCGAATGAGACATGGTTCGGAATCCGGAAGAAAGATTTCAGTCTTTCTTTTTCCCTGGGGTTCTTTTTTACACTATCCCGGCTAACATCATCATCATCATCATCATCGTATCAACCCATCGCATCGTATTCCGGACCTGTAGTGCTTTCTTTTCTTGTCTTGAATATCGAATGAATGATAATCAAAGCCACATTGTTATCTAGTTGGCGTAGTTAGTCATCCGTTGATATCTTATTGGGGCGTATGTACGAAGTTTCCACACATCTCACCATACTGAGAATCAAAAGTATTCCGATTTTCATCTCGATTTCCTGACCATTTCACCCTCCTCCTTCTCATTATCATTCAGGATCCAAGTACAGCCACTTGTAGATGCATACCAAGCCAGTAGGCACATGCAGCATGTGCAGTAGCTACTTCTTCATTTGTGGAGGATCGAAGCTCGTAAAGATTAGATCCAAACTTAAAACTTGAAACTTATTCTCAAGTGGTGAGTGGTGAGTGATGAGTGGTGAGTGGTGAGTGGTGGAGGGAAAGGTCTGAAGATTGATACGTTGCAACGTTGATAGCACAACATAGTAGTATGTAGTATCACACAGCAAAAGCTTCGATTGGATCATTTTTGAAAGGTGGCGGCGGGACTTTGCCAGCGACTCTGAATCTGAATGAGGCGCAAATACGAAAAACTATAGTAGGCAAAGAAAGGCAAGGCAAGGCGAATAGTCGTTCTTTCTCCATTCACACATGCATACTAGATACTTAGTAGTGCTTGCCCAGTACCTACCTAGTATTATCTACCTAGTAGTATTATCTACACTACTCCACGCCTCCGATACTACCTAGGTAGGTAACTTTTTCTTCGTACCGACCTTCGTACCTGCCGACTTAGTACCAGACTTCACCTTTGACATAATCTTGACCCGAGTGACTAAATGTCAAAGTGAAGGATGTAAACAGAAGATGGAAAAAGAAAACAAGACTAATGCATGTATGCAGCTCGTACCTGCCTGCTCGCATAGATGTTCACCAACTACTTAATGAACTCAACATCCCATCTTCATCTATTCTTTTTCTTCTTCCCTCAAATCACACATCAACAATAACCACACTCGTTCAGGTTTTGTTACATCAATCTCATCTTTCAACCTCCCCCTCCATCAACATAATATCTTAATACCATCCCACTTTCGTTATTGTCACCATACAATCACAGTCGTTGAAGAGAAAATAAGAAAATATGAAGACATTCCAATCGTTTCTCACAGCCTTCGGGCTTCTTGCCGTAGTCAACGGTCAAAAGTACTCCAATGGTACCAATATTGCGTATACGGTTAGTCTTCTCTGATGCTTCATTGATATCGGTCGATGTTTCTGCCCCACCAGATTGCATGTGCTGACACCCCTTCTCTTCCAGACCATCACTACTGATATCTATACAACTGTCTGCCCACATCCCACCACTTTCTCCATGGGAACAAATACTTATACCGTCACTGCTTCTACTACCTTGACCATCACTGACTGGTATGTTCTCCTGATCCATCAAGTGGAGAAAGCCTCGATCAAAACACTGACGTAACAATCCAGCCCTTGCACATACTCTACCACCATTGATAAGACTGTTCCAACTGTTCCAGCATCCTCCTCAACCAAGCCAAGTAACTCTGTTCCATCTGTTCCAGCTTCATCGAGTGTTGCCAGCAGCGCTTCCTCGGTCACCATCAGTCATCCAACTGTTCCTCTGAGCACTGGACCAACCACAAAGCCCGTCAAGCCAACAGAGACCGAGCACACAACATGGACCACATACACCACCGACATTCTTACAACCGTTTGCCCCACTCCAACTACATTAACTTTTGGAACCCAGACATACACTGTCACTAAGTCAACCACTTTGGTCATTACCGACTGTCCTTGCACTGTGAGCAAGCCACATCCATCAAGCACCTCGGTCCCAACCAAACCATCTTCAAGCGAGAGTAGTGTCAAGTCCAGTGCTACACCAGAGACCACCGTCATTGTTCCTCCTCATGGCAATGTGACTTCTTCTACTTCTTCCGCACCACCAAAGACCACTGTTGTTGTTCCTCCTCACGGAAACTACACGTCTTCTACTTCTTTAGCGCCGCCAAAGACTACCGTTGTTGTCCCTCCTCATAGCAACGAGACATCTTCCATCCCTTCAGCGCCTCCAAAGACTACTGTTGTTGTTCCTCCTCATGGAAACTACACATTTTCTACTTCTTCAACCCCTCCAAAGACTACACCAGTCGTCTGGACCACTACAGTTGTCAGCAGCTACACTACTTATTGCCCATCTCCCACCACTGTTGCCATTGGAAACTTGACTTACACCGTCTCATCAGCCACAACCTTGACTGTTACAAAGTGGTATGTTCTTTTCTCTCTCATTTGATGTATTTGAACCTTACTAACTCTATCTCAACAGCCCTTGCACAGTTAGTTACACCTCAAGTGTTCCAACTGCCAAGCCAACCACTAGTACCACTGTATCCTACTTGACTACATACGTCCCCAGACCCACCACAATCACTATCAGCTCCGTCCCTCACACGATTACTGCCCCAGGAACCGTCACTTTCCCAGTTGTTTCTATTCCTTCTGTCAAGCCAACTCCAAGTACTATTACCGTGTCTTACTTGACTACATACTGCCCTGCACCAACCACAATCACTATTAGTTCTGTTCCTCACACGATTACTGCCCCAGGAACCGTCACAATTCCAGTTGTCACAGTTTCAGTTGGAACTCCTGTGTATCTTACACCTGTTTCCTCTGTCAAGCCAACTCCGAGTAGTATCACTGTTTCTTACTTGACTACGTACTGCCCTGAACCAACTACAATCATTGTCAGCTCAGTTCCTCACACAATCACTGCTCCGGGAACTGTCACTATCCCGATTGTCACTGTTTCCGTTGGCACTCCAGTTCACGAGACCCCAGTTGCCAGTGTCCCAGCTCATGAGACACCAGTTACTAGCTCTCCAGTTGCTACTATCCCAGTCCATGAGACCCCAGTCACTAGTGTTCCCGTTGTTACTGTCCCAGTTCACGAGACACCAGTCACTAGTGTTCCCGTTGCTACTGCCCCAGTTCACGAGACTCCTGTCGCTAGTGTTCCAGTTCAAGAGACACCAGTTGCTAGCGTTCCAGTTGCTAGCGTTCCAGTTACTACTGTTCCAGCTGCAACACCTTCTCAAGCTACTACCTTGGCATCCACACCTGCTACTGTTGGCACTGCTATCACAACCGGTCCAGCTCAATTTACTGGTGCTGCCATGAAGGTTGACGCTAGTTTCGGTGCTCTTGCCGTTGCTGGTATCGCAGCCTTCTTGTTGTAAGCTTCATGATCATGACTATTTCTTATGTCTCGGAAAATTTTAACGATAACGAGATCACTGGTATCTAGATAGGGTATCTAGAAGGAGGGCGGAGGAGTAAAGGACACAATCATTTTCACGGGTATGGCTAGCACGCTTCCCATTTCCCTTTTCTTTTTCTAGCTATCGGCGGATCGGATCTTTTTGGAACTCAAAACCAAGTTGCTCATATTGCTCATGTCACGTCCTCGATAATACAAAATTCAATTCTCAGGTACATATACTATAGACGTTCGGATACAATGGATCTTTACTTTATACCAAAAAATAATACAAATGAAATTTCGAACTTCACACATAATATATGCTTCTTGACATTGTGATTGGACCCATTTTATTCATAATAAGACATGGTGATTAACATGTTGACGATTAGTTTGCTGTCGCTGTACGGTAGGTATCCAGTGAGAAACTCATATCAAGGAGTTCGCATGTGGCACGCTTATACCTAATAAGAGGCTTGGGGGTAAGATTGAGATTCTTTAGGATAAAGATGGGCGAAGTAAGATAGTCTATGGACTTTGTGTTCGACTGTCAAGGCGATGAACGGAGCCCAATTGAGTATACATTCAGAATGATAACAGATGAGCAAGGTATAAGCGAGGTGTAAATGATGAGGAGATACGATAGCAGTGTAGTGTAGTATAGTTAGGCAGTTTCAGTAGTAAGTATTATCATTAATGAATTTGCGTGTTTTGGTGAAGGGAAAATTTTGTTTTGGTTGGAAGGGGATGAATGGGGGAGATATGGATAGATGGATATATGGATAGATGGATGGATGGATGGATGGATGGGTAGGTGGATGGGTGGATAGGTGGATAGATTCACTGTGGTGTAGGTAGGGATTCTCTCATTTGATATAAGTAAAGAATTTATTGATCTGATGTATACCAGGTGGTATTTTTTTGTTGAAAACTCTTGCGGGCAATAATTCATGAATGGCAAGGTATATAAACTCAGATTACGGGGTACTTGGTGTTGATATTGATATAATTACTAGCGATTACCTAGGTATATAGGTAGATAGGTATGGCGCTAGAGACGACCCTTCGCATCCAATGCGTTCGTTAAATAACATGATATTCTTTCTTTCTTTCCTTCTTTCTTTCTTTCGTCCAAACGCTAAACGCAAAGTTATTCATTCATATAGATATCAAATATCACGCGCACAAGGTTACTCCTAAGCGCCGCTTCTATAAACCTGACTACCTTGTCCTCTAATGGCAATGGTATCTCTTCTCTGCAGCACGACCAATGCCCTCTCTAGACTCATCTCGCTAAAGCCTCTGCCCTCGCACATTTCGCGCTTGAGCGTTGCGAGAGAAGTGCTCCAGCCGACGGGCAACCGCTTCTTTAATTCTTCTTCCAATCGCGCGACTTCGTCTTGGAGCTCGCGACTTCCTTGTTGCGCGACTCCTTGTTGGACGGCGTCCATGGTGGATGCGAGGAAGAGACGGATGGCTTCGTCGACATGGTGTTCGTGCGCGATGGGAGAGAGGGATATTTTGGCGAGGGATTCGGTGATACGGATGATGGCTTCGAGTTGACGGACGGTGATGGGGATGGATGAGCGTTCGTTGGTGGTCATTTCGGTGGCGTGGACTTGTTTGCGGATGGAGACGAAGTGGGAAGAGAGCTTCTCCGAGGCTTCTGGTGAGAGACGTGGGGCGCAACGACTGTGGGTTGTTAGTTTTGTATGTTCTAGTTATGTAGGGGACCAGTTCCTAGGAAAAATACGTACGATTTACAGTAGCTGATGTATCTCTTCATCTTTTCAACTGGAATCTCAGATTCGGCTTGTTCTTCTCTTCCTCTACCACCCATGTGAACATTCATAACGTGCCTTGCCATTTTTTCATCTTTGCCTCTTTCGTGCTCATCCTTGACAATAAAAATCATATCGAAACGCGACAAAATTGTGGTTTGGAAATCGATGTTCTCGCCCGGTGATTTGAGATCATCGTAACGTCCGAAAATAGGATTGGCTGCAGCGAGAACCGAAGTTCGTGCATTGAGAATTGTAGTGATACCCGCCTTAGCTATCGAAATAGTTTGTTGTTCCATAGCTTCGTGAATGGCTACTCGATCTTCGTCACGCATTTTATCGAACTCATCAATACATACTACACCTCCATCTGCAAGGACCATAGCTCCTCCTTCGAGGTAGAATTCTCGGGTTGAGTGATCACGTTGAACGGAGGCGGTAAGACCAGCGGCTGAGGAACCTTTTCCAGAAGTATAAATAGCGATTGGAGCGACCTTTTCGACGAATTTTAAGAGTTGAGATTTGGCAGTTCCAGGGTCACCAAGAAGAAGAACGTTAATATCACCACGAAGTTTCATACCGTCGGGAAGAATCTTTTTGGATCCACCTAACAGGAGACATGCTATCGCTTTTTTGATATCGTGATTACCGTAAATAGATGGGGCAATGCAGGAAGCAAAAACACTGTAAAGATCAGGCCTGCGTGACATTTCGAGAAATTCTTGTTCTTCCTCTTCCGAGAATACTGCATTTCCTTTTGCAGTGTGATCTACATCGCTGTGAATACCGACTGCCCTCAAGTATGGAGTTCGAATGGCAACGGCCGAGGTTGTAGAAGAGCCTTTCGTGTTCTTGTTTTGATAAATGGAAAAAATCCCGGTGATCATACATCTCGTACCAGGTACCACTCTATTTGTCAAATATCTATCGGTTGAAATGAGAACGTGTCGTGGCAGTTCTCCCACAGGGACCTGATCTGGAGCTTCCTGAAGCTTAATAATTTGTTGATCAACGAATTGGGAAGATTCATGAACAACCACATACGGATCCATGGGACAAGGTGGATCTCCAGGCATCTTTTGTCTATCGCATATTCTGGGTAATGAAACACCAGAAAACCCGCCATTCACCGGTAATATTTTTGTCGAGCGACAATTCCGACATTGTATATTTAGTGCTGTTGCTTTTGAGGACAGTACCGATGCCCCAATAACGATACCTGGTACTCGTACAAGTCGGGATATGGCGAGGGCATCCAAGTCTCGAATCGAAATCTCCGAAGCTGTAGAGTGAAGGAGGAGTTGATGTTCGGGAAGGACAATATCTCTATCCGACGGGTATACGATTCGATGTGTACATTTCTTCAATGCGCTTTCGAACTGTGTATGAATTAGACATAGCTTGCAAATACATTGGAGGGGTTTATTACAAGGGGTATAATCTCTGCAGGTTCTGTCGCAAGTCGGTGTGCAAGCTCTTCATTAAAGGATATCAAATGCCCAACATCGACGTCGCAAAAATATTGTTTTAACAGAACATTTTCTCGAATTTGATCTCTATGTGAAACTATTAGCAGGATATCGCATACAATGAATCACTTCCTACCTGTAGATGAAGGCATTATCAATGCGGAACTGAAGAATAAATTGTTCTAGTTGAGATTGCACTTGACCTCTTGTATCTTCATTGTCGCCATACTCAGGCGGTAAAACACTCAGAGAAAACACAGATTGACGATCCATCTTATTGTCGGTATATTTTTGTGGTGTTGAATATGAAATTGCGGGGCTATTGGCAGTGTTGATATTTGATCTGTTGTCCTGCTGTTGCTAAGTGGGCAGATCCTGAGGTTTTTGATAAGACGCGTTTCTCCTTTTTTGAACGCGACCGATTCGTGTAAAGTGGTTGCATGGAATTGCTCACCAGCCACAGCTTAAACCTCACCAGCTCTAGCCTCGAGACTCAGCCTCATCATCCCGACAGACCAATCAAATGATAACAATGAATATCGTTGTATCAACGGAAGGCTGAAAGAACGGAAGCATCAATGAACCTTCGTACAAATGGTGAATTAATGAATATGCAACCTGTACGCTTCTACGATATGACAATTTTGATACAGTCTTTCTCTCAGCTTCCTCTTTACCAGCAATGATACCCCCATAACGATTGGTTTGTCAACAAATTCGTGTTGACTACTAAATAGCTTACGAATGCGCCTCCGTGGCCTGTATTAAATAGTTTGAAGGAAGGCTTTCTCTTGGCTACTTTTCAATTCGCTTCTCTGCTGTTGTCGGTTATAGATTGGGATTGCGCGGCTGTGGGGGAGGTTGAGGCTCGTTGTATGGTGATCAATACATAATTAGAATCATGGATCATTCCCCGGCATCGCGGTTTTCTGTGGAGAATCTTTCCCCTACTTCTCCTGGAGGTCGGAATGAATATCCTTTCCCAAGGTTTGTTGCGCAACCCGGAATCAAGTGAGATCAAAATGCTGATGACAGGCAGACCAGGTTCCTCCAATAGCAGACTTTATCCGAGGCGCGGGTCAACAGCTAGCTCGATACATTCGATAGGGGGGACATTGGATTCGGTCTCACAATGGCACGGGTTCCATGAATCTGGGCAGAACGGTATGTTTTGAGAACGGACGGAGAAACTAAAAAACTAACAAGTGCAAGCTATATCTACTTTACTCCAACCACCGATCGTTCGAACTGGTCTCATTCCCCACACTTCTGCCCCCGCATCGAGTGCACATAAACCTCCGACGGCTCGAGATATACCGCCAGTAACTCTCACAAACATACCCCATGTCGACCCTTCGGAATTTAAGTCGTATTTAACCCAGGTGGGGGCAACTTATGATGCATTACAAAGAGCGAAAGAGAATGAGGAAGAGGGGGGAACTCAATTGCTACGGAAAGGCAACAAGGCGGACGATTTTGCGGATATCCTAGACTTTGATGTGCGGACACCAAAACTTTCTAGGAAATCTTCTCTGGCTTCTCTTGCATCGCTGGACACTCCCTCGGGATCAACTCGGAAAAAATCGAGTAGTGGAAGAAGAGCTCTACATGCGCCGACTCCCATTTCCACAGTTCCCAGCGTGTATTTCGAGGAGGACTTCCATTTGGAAAACCCTAGAACTTTTGATGTTGTCAGCGAACGCTCAGAGGTTATCCGGCCGACTACAGGCTCTCCGGATGAACGCCGAGCAAGCAATGGCTCCATAATGAACCCCAGAAAGGCACTAGCTACGAATGCTATTCTACAAGAGAAGTTATCATGGTATATGGACACTATTGAGGTGCATCTAATATCTTCAATATCTACAGCCTCAACTTCTTTTTTCGCGGCATTGGGATCTTTGAGGGAACTTCATTCTGAAGCAGCAGTTTCCGTAGAGAGGATCAAAACACTGAGAAAGGAATTGGAAGAGTTAGATGAAGAAATGGCTGTGGGTGGATTAAAGATTGTAAATCTGCAAAGAAGGAGAGAGAATCTGAAGCAATTGAACGATGGAGTTCAGCAACTGAAACAAATAGTAAATGCCGTTGCGAGTTGTGAATCAATGGTGGAGAATGGTGATGTGGAGCAGGCATTAGATGCCATCGACGCGCTAGAAAAACTCATCGCAGGTGAGGAGATGCTGAGCAAACCAGGCCAACATAAGATACAACTCCGAGACTTAAGAGGTGCCATTGCTTTGCAAGGAGTGAATAACGATTTGGATGTTTTGCGCTACCGGATTGGAAAAAGCTTCGAGTCTAGGTTTCTTCAAGCATTACTTGGCGATCTTAGACGACATGTTGATACGGTGTCTGCCGAGGATACACTACAGCGTTGGAGCAATGCATCTTTGAGAGCAAGGGGCAATCACAGTCGCGAAACATCGTCGCAACAGCCCACATATCTTACAGTTCCTGACCAATTTCGGACAGAATTGTTATCGAACCTAGGCGGCTTGTATAGGGCAAAAAGTACTTCAGTTGCGACTTCTGCGTTTAGAGAGGCCGTGTTGCGAGAGGTGCGAAATATCATTCGACGCTTCCTCCCTAGTTCTAACGATGACGATACCGATTCTATGATGTCGGCGTCCACGGTTGGAGGTGCTAGGCAGAAGAACCAACAAGAGAAGTCTATGATATTAGCTCGCAATTTGCGTTCATTAGACCCAGATGATGCTGAAGAGCTCCTAAAGAAAACCTATATCCAAGTTGGCGAGACTTTAAGAAGGCTGGGAACTCAAGTAAAGGTGCTTTTAGATGTCACTAGTACTCTTGGCGACCCCGACACTCCCGGGGGAGTAAAGTCACCACCAAGAAGCCCAATTATAGGGTCAATAAATGCTAGGATGAGCCCCAGCCTAAGGGGCAATTCTGGTAGAGAGTTGCAAGAAGAAATGCACCAGACTCTAGATATGTCTAATCTTCTTGGGCAAGCCGTCGATATTGCTCAAGACAAAATAGTGAAGGTTCTGAGAGTCCGGACAGAACAAAGCACTCATCTCTCGGTTGAAAGATTTTTAAGATATTTCACACTGAACTTACTTTTCGCAAATGAATGCGAAGCTGTCTCAGGTAGAAGTGGAACTTCACTAAAAAATGTGGTCAACGGCCACATCAAAGATTATGTCCAACAACTAGGCGAATCGGAGCGGCAAAGTCTTGCCACAGGCATGGAAGCAGACCCTTGGAATGCCAAAGATTTCACTGATGAGGATAAGGAACTTTTGTCTAGAATACTTTCCGCAAGCACGCAAGATGTCGAAGCCTGGAGCTCTGGTAGCAAAGTATGGCAGCCTTGTACTGATTCACCCCTCGGAACTCAAACTTTCCTCACACCCCCATCGAATGGCAACCCAAAGAATGGAACATCGACACCCAATTCTACCTCTACACCTAGTAAAGCTCAAACTCGTTCAGCAGTCGTTGATGATCAATCATACATCCTCCCCATATCTGCAATTCTTTGTCTCCACGGTCTCGCCACCCTTCTCCACCTTAATACTGGCATTCCATCCATGACCTCCGAAATCGCTACATCGATACTTTCCTACCTGACCCTATTCAATTCCCGCGTACAGCAACTGATTCTTGGTGCTGGGGCTACCACCACCGCAGGTCTTAAGAACATAACTACCAAACATCTCGCTCTCGCCGCTCAGGCCACTTCTTTTATTTCTGTTCTCATTCCATACATACGTGAATACGTTCGACGTAATGCCGGAACGGGCTCTTCAGTTTCTGTTCTCATGGGCGAGTTTGACAAGATTCGTCGCGCGTATCTTGAACATCAACAGTTGATCTACGATAAATTCCTCAACATCATGTCTGGAAGAGCAACTGCCCATATCAAAAGCATGAAAATGATTAATTGGGACGACGAGACTCGAGATGCTCCTATCAATACATATATGGAAACGATGACGAAAGAGACGCTTACATTGCATAAAGTCTTGAACAAGCATCTCCCTGATATGACCGTGAACATGATTATGGAACTGGTGTTCAAAAGTTTCAGAGAGCAATTGGGGAAGGCCTTCGGGGATGTGGTTTTAGGAAGTGAAGATGCCAAGGCACGGTATGTCAATTTCCTTTCTTGCTCTGTTATTCAAACGACTAATGACGAAATAGGATGCTTCGCGATGCACAATACTTCAAGACGCGTATAGGAAGTCTTGCTGGCGCAAATGATGCAGGTGATTATATCATTGAAGTCGTACAAGATAAGAATGTTCCAAGGAACTCAATTTCGCCTTCCCCGGCGACTGCATCACCTCCTGATACCCAGGCTACTGCTCCGACCGAAGCAACGCAACCGGTTGCAGAAAATGGGAATGAAAACGGGAACAATAGCGGAAATGGGAATAGCTGAAAGTCAAATCCCTTGGTTTTGTTCGAACGAGAAAGCTCTTGCTACACAATTGCCTTGTAATTCATCCTTTTCTTATTTAACGATGGAAGGGGTAAAATGAAGCAATGAGCAAGTTAAGAGAGGAGTAACGGAATTGTAGATACCTCGGTCTCCTTGATATGATCGAGGATGTGTTGTATATTAGCGATTGTTATGGATTAGCCAGCCGATCGTATGAGTGTACAGTGGCTTTAAATAAACGATGACCTATTTTCACTAGTGGTTAAGATGGTTTCTGTTAAGTTCCGAATTCAACTTCATTACCGTGTCAGCACTGTTTCACGATTGACTACTATATCTCACTACGGGGAACAAGAAGAGAAGAAACCCTTTAAGCATTCACGCCATCTGGCTTGCAATGTATGGTAGATTTTAGAGTTTTAATTCTCGCTATCTAACCTTTTTTCTCTCAATTTAATATCATTCACTCCCCTTCCATACCACCGACTCGTATCCTCCCCAAAACACACCAAAGAATAATTGGTTGTTACTGCGCGCTCGTCGCATTTGAAGTTCATTGACCATCTTCTATGTCTGATATATCCGATCAAAGCACGATGCATAGTGATAATACAAGCAAAACATAAACATCCCACTCGTGAAATCGTTAATTTGGTCTCGTAAAAACACCAACCAAAAAATAGACCACTTGTTTCCGTTTTTCCCGATATATTATGGCATGTAACATCGTGAAAATCCTATGCCATCCAGTATCGCCATGCTTTTCCAGAATTACTAATAAAGAAAAAGTCAAGAACCAAAATATTGCAACTCTAAGCTTGTGGAGGATGTGGATTACCACCTCGACCTCTCGAAGCACCGCGGCCTCTGCCACCTCGGCCTCTACCTCTACCTCGTGAATCTAACGTAGATGGAGGAGGAACATTGTTGTATGCTACGTTGCCGGCTGCAGGGTTACCACCTCTAGCTGCTGCAAACGCATTTCCGCGACCTCGTGTGCCATTGGCATTTCCGGCCGTATTCACGGGTGTCGTGTCTCGAATGACCATGCTGCTATGAATAGCTGGCGTCGCATTGTCACCAGAATTTCCGTTTGTGTTTCCATTAGCGAATCCACCACGTCCACGTCCACCACGGGGTGTGGAATTTCCACGTTGGCCTGAAACAGCACCACGAAAAGAGCCTCGAAGTGGAGGGGGTGGTCCAGATTCTCTATATTGTTGACCTCGTCCATAACCATAGCCACCATTGGCTGTCAAAGGCATGCTAGTTGGAGCGGGTCGTTTCTCGGCAGCAGCTCTAGAACCTGCAATCAATTGCTTATTGGTAAGATTTAGTACACTAGCAATTGGTACGGTGGAGCCACGGAATGGGGAACATCGCTCTCCAAGAGTTGTACCACTCATGAAAGTGACATCGAATAAAACATCAAGTAGAGTGGTGCGTGGAGTGCGGGAGATTCCTACAACGGTACCACGTGTTGCAATTGGAACACGACCCGAATCTGCGACATAAACAACACGATCACCCAAAGCAAATTTCTGATTGCCGCAACGATGTTCAGCATCAGACGGCTTTAAGAGGGCACCTCGTGGAACAGCCTTCAAGGTTGTTCGTTGAGGTTGAGGGCCGTTTACCAAAGCATGTTGGGCCGCTTGTTCGATCGCCATTACGGTATCAGAGTCAAGCTGCTCAGCATCTAGAGGCACCTTTTCAAAGTTCTTAGATTCGATGGTTTTGAGCCATGCCACAATCTCCTTGATACTAGCACCAGGGAAGTCGGATTCCTCATAATCATTTCCTTGAGGCTTTCTTTGTATACCGGCAAAGAAATGAGGAAATTTAGTCATGTACGTGCTGATAAGTTCGATAGCTTTATTGCTAAACTCCCAGCCATTATCAGCTCGTCGAGAATAACCCAGAACTTTGAGTTTCTTGCCCTCAAATTTAAGGTTCAACCCCAAATTGACGCGGAGTTGACCCACGGCAGAGACTTGGAACGATGAGGTAATCTTGCTGAGTACCAAAGGGTGCAACCCTAGCATTTTAGCCACCGCAAAGGATGGTGTATACTGAGTAGTGTTCTTGGAATCGTGAACAATGTTTCTACCAAATTCCACTTCTTTCCCCTTGATCGTTGACAATGATATTTGAAGTTTGTGGTCTGTATGACCTTCAACCAGCCCTGGTCGGCCATAGTTGAAATCTCCAAGGAAAAATATTCTGTCATCAACAGGAAACTCCTCTTCTACAGGCAAAGCCGCTTTCTCTAAGAATCGCTGATCTTCGCTGATCACTTCATCCACTACAACTTGCGAAGCATAGTCTGTGTCCTGGCCAGGTATAACAGCATATTCTTTGATGGTCGCACCGTCATCCATCTTTTTCAAGCCTTTCAACATCTCCACATGAGTTAGAGACTCTACTGGTCCAATAATTATACCAAAACGCTTGCTGTAGGTGCTTTCAATTCTCTCCGCTTTCTTGCGGAAGTCATCGATCTCGCGAGGTCCGTGGGGTCTAGTAATAGGTTGACCACTAGCATCTTCGGAAGGTAGATAATCAAACAATTCGTCAGAAACTTTGACAACTTTACCTTCTTGTAAGAAAGGATAGCCAACAAATACTCTTTTACCGAGTTTCTGTTGCGCTGTCTTGACATTGGTCCGAGTCTCACTATCTTCAATCGTGACAACCATACTTTCATTGCGGCTGTCTGACTGGAAAACGTTGACCCCATGGAAGCCCAACGTTGCATTGTATGGAAGGTAGCCTAAACTTGGGAATCCAGCTAGAGATGCTGACCCAAGCTTGGCTCCATCCATAAGACCATGGTAGAAATCCAAACCCTCAATTGTTGGCAAGTCGAAAATATTCTCAACGCAGTGGCAATGGGGAATATCCGGAAATATGCCCACCAATGAAGATGGATAAGTAAAATCGACATCTGGATCATAAGTGAACTTCAAGGAGACTCCGAACTCATTCCTAAACTTCTCGGCATCACTCAATGAATTGTTCTTCGTAGCCATAGCATCCAACAATCTCTTTTCGTCGATGAATGGAATTTTGACCACGGCTTCCCACTCCATCTTCTTTCCGTTCATATCTAGCTCAAAGTCTCGAGGGTAGAAGTCGATAATAGGAGAATCGGGATTTGTCATGAGATCATGATACACTGTTGGTACAATCTTCTTACTACGATCCGGTAATACACCCATAAGTTGCTCAAATGGATGGAATGGTTGACCGAGCTTGAAATTGATATCAGCTTTGAGTCCTTTTATGACATCTGATGAGATTGTTAGCTTAGCAATAGAAAATTCGAGGAAGAATACTTACCAGAAATCATCGGCGAGTAGTGATATTGATAATACCACGGCCACGATACGACACCACGATAGTAGTAGTAAAGAACCCATTGTAAACCCTGTACGTAATTTTCGCATAGTTTCGTCAACTCAGTTTCGTTCTTTCGGTCCCAATCAAATTTGCCCTCATAGTATTTGTCCTTCCACTCTTGGAACTTCTCTTCATATTTGCGATCCATCTCGGCTTGTGCCTGTTCTTTAGAAACGTCAAGAACTTCTGCTTTGTCATATTGTTTGACAATTCGCATGATGGCAAGTTGAGATTCTTCCTCTTCATCATCATCATCTTCTTCTTCATCGGCACCGAGCTTAGCAGGGAACGAGAGTTGCATGTGACGTTCGCCAGCATCATTCTGTACCGTCTTCCATTCCAGGTGTAGACTCTCTGCTAAGTCCTGTGCAAATTTTCTATCTGCTGCGGGAAGCTTGTCGGATAAATCCAGTGCTTCTGAACCTCTCTTTTGAACATAGGATTTGACTTCTTTCCATATTTGCTGCTGTGCCGTGGTCATAACAAGCTTGCCCTTGTTTTTACCTTTTACCATGACGTCCTCCTTTGACATCTGTTTAGCCTTGAACCATGATGAATCCGAACTCTCAGATTCGAAAAATCTGTACTCCACGTGAGATAGCTCCTCAAGCAAGATTGCCAGTCGGCCCATATTAATGGCTCCCCCCTCATTAATATATCCACCACCCTTAGGCAAAACAGTCTTGTATACCTTGAACATCAACGCCAATGCTCCCTCGTTAATGTGTAAATTCGGAAGATTCGGTAGGAAATCGTTGCCAACAAAGAACGCCATGAGGATAAAATCGTCAATGACGCGCTCAAGATCGAATGGAAACCCTAGAACACCCTCCCCCTTCAACTCCTGAAACTCCAATTCCAAGTATTCTCTAACAATGCACAGATGCATCAAATAGAAATTTTGATGCTCCAACTCCTTCGACTTGGCTTTGCTCTGCCTACCAAAAGTAACTTCTTCACGTAGGAGGCAGAAATGAGGGTCGTGACTTAGCAATCCTAACATAATCAAATCCGCATCCAAACCATAAAGACAATGGCGTCTATTAGGATCGTAATCCGGCTGTGCTTTCTTGTGGCGAATATACTCCATAACTTTGTGCTCTCCTTCTCCTGGAACCTCATGCCCTGAGAGCACAATCTCGGTTCCTTGCCAATCCACATCCTCTGAGATCTTCTTTGCGATAAAATATTTCAGTTGTTGGGTCAACTTTTGCATAAACTCCGTGCCTAAACCATTAGCTTTGTAACATTAAAGTTCCCAAACAGCTTACCTGGCGTAATTGAATTGCTGTCAAATGCCTCTTCTTTCGGCATTTCCTTTCCTTCTCGAACTGCCTTTTCTCTGGCATTCTCGACATCTAATGCTGTTCTGAATCTCCGAGCTCGCTGTTGATTCATCTTTGCGCGAGGAGCCACTCCATCCACAGCCATGAAGAACAGCTGCTTTGGCTTGATTTTCCCGTAAAGATGCTCAATATAATTGAAAATTGCAATAAACATCTGCTCCTCCGTCATACGAAAGGTTGCATCATCTGAGTCTTTGTGGGTACAGTTATGAATGATACCATTCATATCCAGATACAGACAGTCGAACTCTGGGATTCTATTCTCCGCAATCAACTGCGAGATCGAGGGATACCTCTCGCTCATCCATCTGAAGAACTTTGGGACACCCATGATGTAAAAACGATACGCAGGATGCGCGGGATGATTGAATGTTGTAAATAGTTTGCGATTTGAAGTTAATATTTGTTGAAGTGGCGCACTTTTCTTCAACGAGAAAGTGAAAACGAGAGGCGCAAAACAGCTGCAGACAAGGCTGTTGTAGGGTGAAGGTTTGGTTCTTCTTTTTCTATCGACTGCCACGGATGGCTTTGTGGGGGTGGTAAAATAATGAGAATTAATCTCTTCATGGAATCAAGGAAAGAATCAATTCAACTCCGTTCGAGGACATCAACAACAAGCTCTCCCACTACTCACATTAACGTCACGATTAACGCTAGCGGCCGACTAGGCCGATCCGAAGCTATAAACGACCCACCTAATGCGCGTTTTTGGAGCGCGTCTTCCCAGTAAATTTAGTGCGATATACGGTACCAGGAGGTATTCGCAGAGATACGATTTCTAACAATTTGATATTTTTGAGCGCTTTTGTCGATACGAAGTGAAATTTTACAACATACCTCAAAGGTTCTCGAGCAGGAAAAAATCGCCAATATGGCCCCTCAATCAGAAGATCCTGATGTGAACAGTAAGTTTTGCTTTTGCGGTGCAGCGCATTCCATTCTGTAAGCTCAATCTTGTAAAGACTTGCTAATGGATGTGAAAGTGAATCAATCAGTAGATGATAATGAAGATATGGAACAAAAGATTATCAATGAAGGTACTAATCTGATCTTGCCCCAAGAAATGTGGGATCATAACTAAATTTACGATCAGAGTACAAAACATGGAAGAAGAACAGCCCTTTCCTCTATGATATGATTTTAAGGTAAATCTATCATACGACTCTTCAAGCCAGATCTTAGCTAATAGCCTAATAGCACTGCGCTCGAATGGCCTACCTTGACAACTCAATGGTTTCCTGATGTTAAAGAGTATGTCCAATCGAGTTGTTTCGGTTGTGAACGCTACTAATAAATCCAAGACCAGCAGGAAAGAACTATACCGTCCACAGACTTCTTATTGGCACTCATACCTCGAACGGCGCACAGAACTATTTACAAATTGCCAATGTCGAGTTGCCAAAAAATGTCACCCCAAACCATGTGGATTACGATGAGGATCGAGAGGAGATTGGAGGTTATGGAAAACCATCATCTGGGGAACAGGCAGCCATCAAAATGACCATCGAGCAGAAGATTGATCATCCGGGAGAGGTTAACAAAGCTAGATACCAGCCACAAAACCCAAATATTATAGCTACTATGTGTGTCGATGGCAGAGTTTTGATCTTCGATCGTACCAAGCACAGCAGCCTTCCTAAAGGTGTTGTCAGCCCACAAATTGAGCTTATAGGACACAAGAAGGAAGGATTTGGTCTAGGCTGGAATCCACACGTTGCTGGCGAACTTGCGACTGGTAGCGAAGACAAAACAGTCCGATTATGGTAGGTCAAGCAGGCTTCGAGATCTAAATCTCTACTGATTTGGTAATAGGGATCTCAATACTTTACAGGCGAACGACAACAAATTGAAGTCGAGTAAAATTTACACTCACCACACTTCCATCGTTAACGATGTCCAATATCACCCCTCCCACAAATCTCTGATTGGAACAGTCTCAGATGATTTGACTCTACAAATCCTCGATATCAGACAACCAGATACAGATAAATCAGTTAGCACAGGCAAAGGTCACACTGATGCCATCAACGCACTCGCTTTCAACCCTGCATCAGAATTTGTCCTAGCTACCGCATCAGCAGACAAGACCATTGGTCTTTGGGATTTGAGAAATCTCAAAGAGAGGCTTCATACACTGGAAGGCCACATGGATGCTGTTACTTCGCTTGCTTGGCACCCAACTGAAGAGGCTGTATTGGGAAGTGGCAGTTATGATCGCAGAGTTATTTTCTGGGATCTTAGCAGAGTTGGCATGGAGCAATTACCAGATGATCAGGATGATGGACCACCTGAGCTGTAAGTACTCCATTCCCGTATATTGGAGTAGTGAAAGATACTAATCCGCTTTAGATTATTTATGCACGGAGGTCATACGAATCATCTTGCTGACTTTAGCTGGAACCAAAATGAACCATGGGTAGTTTGTAGCGCAGCAGAAGATAATCTAATTCAAATTTGGAAGGTCTCGGAAGGAATTGTAGGAAAGGATATTGAGGAAATTCCTATGGATGAATTGGAGCACTAAATTTGAATGTGGAGATTGAGGCAATGGAAAATGGGATAGCCCGGATGGGAAGAAAATATTGAAATACCCGAGCGTTGTCAAATGTATGAATGAATGGTAGGGGAACGAAATGAAAGGGAGTTTACGCGTTTTTTTACGATCGGTCGCGGCGTTGACTTGACGTAGGTTAGTTGGCTAGTTAGTAGATGAGCTGATAATGATAAACATATCTCAATATAATCTAATGGCATAGCTCAAAAGGGGCAGGATGTGACTCGGTGATAGGAATGGCTTGAATACTGATGGCTTTTATCCACGTTGCTTCATCTACATACATGTCCAAACTCGAACCTGAGAGCTACTGGATAAGAATGGTATCTGCGGATCAGGATGTATAGTATTAATATGGATACTAGCGTCATTCGGAGGCTCCTGCTTTACTCTACATATTTTTCAAAGGAGTGTAATTAGAGCACTAAGGTGCGAATTGTTACTTTGGAAACCTTACCGGGGATGGGAGAGATGATGATAATGCCTCTACGAAGGAATACATTACAATGATGAGGATAGAATTGGCAGCAATGGGACTATCATGCTCCAAGTAATAGGAGATTTTATGCTTCTAGGTAAATACTCACTTTACTGGTTGAATTTTTTAATCCCCTATACAAGATTGTAAATCGATGGATGCGAGAGGATGAAGTAGTCCACTCGACTATATTACGCTAGGGGGTACGTGGTCCTCCGTCGAAGAATTTCATGGATCAAACGACAATACTTCCTATCTAAACTTGGTTGTAGGTATCGGACCTGAAAAGATGTTGATAGAGCGAGATCGTGGACCGAGAAACATATTCTGAAGATCTGAATCTCAGAAGATGACGACAGACCAAAGATTTGGAGATGGTAAAATTAGACATTCAACAACAACAGAACTCACATATCTCACCCCACGCAATATGAGGACAGAATATCTAGTCTATTTGTCCAACAGTATATATAGCCTAAGCACATATTGACCATTTCCAAAGGATTAGACTACCTACGCTGGCTTGCTGGCTGGCTTTACAAATCTTCACATTCCGTAGATCTCGTAATCCCTTGTTTTTCTTTTCCTTGTTCTAAATAAGTGTCTCCATCCACCATGAATAGTCGCAACCATAACACTTATAAACAGATTCACTCACCATCGACACACTTATTCACTCCTCCCCCACCATCCCCTCTTATCTCGCACTGATTCTTCAAGCTCAAAGTTCATGTTTCAATTGTCGAGTATGATTAAACATATCTACAAGCGCAGCTAGCAATACCCAGCTATCGACCCACCATCCCACGAAGTACCAAAGATGAAATAGCATTTTCCCACAGAAATAGGTACGAGAGTATGAATATCCCGCGAATATTAACCCTCGAACTATCATCGAAGAAAGAAGAAACGAGTCCCGCAGACTCGGACTCCAAAGCTCCGAGGAAAAAGCGAATCAGTATCGATATCAATATGACGGCAATAAACCAAAATACAACAAAATGATCGTAAGAAAGCACACGTGCTCCATGAGGAATGTAAAGAGCAGTAGAAATTCAATTTGAGACAATGATAAACAAAAATCGAAAGTGCTATTCTAATTTTCCCACCAATCCAATCCGTCTTTCTTTCATTGTTCATCCCTACTTCCCCACCTGCGATTCACTCCCCTTAAATCCCACTCGCTTCGGACGCTCATCCCACCCCACTGGCACCATCCCATCTCATCTCTCCAAAATCCCACTTACTATTCACTCATCCCCTCCACAGAAGATCCCCAAATCCCCAAATCCCCAAACCAAAACAAAAAAAGAGTTCGAACGTCTCGCTAAGCCATCCCCCCCTCCCCCAAAAACCACACTACCAAAGCGTCCAAGCCCATAAGAGTAGGCCGAAGCAGCTACACCATGACTCTCTTCTTCTTAGCGATGTTTGTTGCCGTTTTGTCGCATATGTGTGAGGAGCCTTGGGGTTGGGGTGCCGCTTTCCTATTACTATGTATCTAGCTATGTAGGTATTATTGTTATTATTATTATTATGTCATTATCATAATAATAATATAGAACACCGGCACATATACAGGTAGGTACCTAAATATTTAAAATCCCACAGATATGATAGATAGATCAATAATCATACCCGCCAATTTACCTCACATAACATAAGAACAATTTGACTGAACTCTATCATCAAGAACCCAGATAATGATATAATAACACCTAGACATACTACTTAAAATCTTCATCGTGTGATAATCTTTTGTCTGTTAACACATCAAAAGTACCTAGTTTTCCAAATCCCAATATATACTTAAACAATCTTAAGATTAACACGTGCACATCAATCACTCAATCACTCAATCACTTACACCCAGTACCACATCCATCCATCCAATCCAGCCCATCATCAAAACAATCTCCAGCCTCCAGCCTCCAAGATCCAATCCCCCAAATTTTCAACTCCCTAAATTTACAAGGAGAGTGTTCCACCTTCCAATTTCCAGAATAAGACGAGCAAAATTGCATAGCTCATCATCCATAAGGATGAAAACATTTCCAGCACATCTCAAGTAGGCATTCGAAAGCCTGTCTACACGGCCCAGCCTTGCGTTGATTACATCTCATATCAGAGTATATCATGATATGATAGCATAGTATAGAGCAGATGCAATAAAATACACGACCGCTAATCATACACCCCAGCATATCAAATCAATCACCATGTAACTAAATCGTATTGAAGATATAAATCAGTGGACTTTTATTTTTAATGTCGAGAGGGGTTTTTATCCGATTACATTGCAACTCCCAAATCCCAAAAGGCCAAATGTCGAATCCGCATGGTATCATTCAATAACATTCACTGCTCCATTTGTTCCCCAACCCACACATTGTCATGTACTATCATATAACATCATCTTGTTCAACATTCATCTACCAGGAGTATTTGCGCCCATGAAAGGACCACCAAATGGATTCAACGGGTCATTTTGTTGTCCTTGTTCTTGATCCCCACCAGGTGGTGAAGGTTCTAAATTTGTTGGGTAGAACTGAAACGCGGGATCGATTGTATTTGAGCTTCCTATGTAATGATCCCATTGTTCCTATTTTTCAATCAGCATTTTACCTCAATTTAAGATTTGGACAAAGGGGTCTGAGAACAAGAACTTACCCAGTCGAGATTCGCTGGGAGATCCATCATTCCAGGAGCATTACCAGTATTTCCAAACATGGAGAAGGGAGATGCACCAGCGTTCATGGTGGCAAAAGGGTTCAAATTGTTGTCGAGCGGGTAAGGGGTGAGACCGCTTCCACCTGATTCACCCATATTCAAATCCATGTTTGTGTATCCAGAAGATTGGCCCATACTATTGAGCACCGCTGCCGAATTTGGCGACAAACCACTAGAAAGCATACCGAGAGTCATGGCTGCCGACTGTTCAGGCCTGAGGTTCTCATCATCGAATTGTGAGAAAGCGTCGGCTGTACTCATAGGTGTGGCAGAAGTATTGGCGGCCGGGCACCTGGAAGCTTTCAATTTCTCAAGAATGATATTTAGGGTTTTGGATGCTTTGAATGACTCCATCGATTCTTCCACTGTTTCACTCCAGATACTTTGGGAAGTTTCAACTGCTTTGAGCATATTGGCAAGCTGTTCTGTTGTCCAGAAATGTTTATCCGACGGACAAACAGTTTCATAATGTAGATCCAAGCATACTATCATGCCGGCCAGTAGATAATCGTGTTTGGTGAGAGTTGAGATCGCCCATCTCATTGATCGCAATCGTCCTCCAGGTTTAGATTCAAGGTGAAGTATATGTTGATGTCGAAGAATTTCCATCGCAGCATTGACACAGGCTCGACGGGAATGATCATAGCGAGAATTTTGTCTCGCTCGTGCAAGATATTTGCGATGAAGAACACACATAGTCTTCTGCCATAAAATATCTACATTGAACCTATGCATCAAAAGCGTCGCAGGATCATGCATACACTGTTCCAAGGGCCTGAGTTGAAGATGGGGAGCAAGATTGCGTTTTAATTCCCATAATTTATTGTCGCGGGCAAGGACATCATCATATGTAATGCTCTTAGGATTAACGCTTTGTATTTCCTCCAATATGCAATTGAATTCATTGGCTATGCTGATCTTGGCGAGCATGTAAGAAACAGGTGTAGGTTCAGTATTCGGTCTCGCGGGTGGTAATGTTTTCGAATCCGGACCAAACTCATCCTCAAATATGTTGCGAGGAAGTTTCGTATCACAGTCGCTATCACGGATCATACTTGGGAGTGCCAATTGAAAGGAGAACATTGTATCCATGGCGCGCACAAACCCCCATAGTCGACGACGCATCTCCCCATGGAAGACGGTGATACCAGGAAAGTTGCTTGGATCCCGATGATATCCCATGCGCATCGATAGTCGAGTTATCATGCCGATTATGACCCAAAGTCCTACTTCGGCATCCCAACGGCTCGCATACTCGCCGTGTACGTATAATATTAGCGTTTCAATCGTATAGAATGATGACTTTGTATAATCGGAATTGACAAGACACTGGACCGTGCGTTGTCTGAATTCACTAGCTATGTCGAGAGTACGACCTAAACAAGATTTTAGCACGGTGAAAAGAGGTCGATGTGAACAGAACAAGAAAAGCCGATCAAAGAAAAAGTAAATGTGGGCTCTACCTTTCCATTCCGGTGGTTCATCCCCAATTTTTTGGTATGACTGCATGGCTAAACAGAGGATCGAATATAATAAGCCTAGCCATACTATCGAGGTTTTTGTGGGATCTTGCCAATGGGTTTGCAGTTCCTTGTGGAAAGTTGGGGAGTGTATGATATGTATAGCTGGGTCGTATGTGTTGAAATATCTAATAGACAATTAGTTAACCTTTCCTTCTATCGTTAAGGCTATGAACAGACCTGGTGATAAGTTTATCGACTTCCGGTTTGGCAGGAACTGCCTCTCGAAGTTCTTCATCTGTAGCCGGTGTATGGGCACCAAATAGAAAGGCCGGACCATCACTGGCAGGCGGCTTTTGAGATTTGATTTTTTCGTAGTTATTTTCGAGTTCCTTTTTATGATTATTGAAATAAGTTTTGACTTCTGCAATCTTTTCGATAAATTAGTAATTAATTTTAATCCATACCAGATCTGCGAAGAGCATGAACGAAAGACACGCGTTGAAAAAACTGCTCGACATTGCCATATACCTAAAGTCATCTTGTCCGAGTATGTAACTCGAGCGACTTGCATCTTTGCAGATTTGCACTGATCCAAAGAGTTCGTGGTGGAAGCAGGTATTGAAAAAAAGAAATGAAGGCCACAACATACATCCTTTAAGACTAAATGCCAATGCGATTCTCCTATATATGTTGTTTTTCCTTTATCGGGATCAACTTTCATAATACCTAGTGAATTAGCAACACCATCCACATCACTATCTCCGTCACCCTCTTCTTTAATCATATCATCATCGTCTTGGTCTAGATCGGGTGGAAAGGATGAACCAGCACTATCGCTTTGAGAACGGTTGATGGCGGCGGCGGCGGCGGCTGGACCTGCAGATGAAGCACCATTTGTCATCAGTGATAAAACTAAACCTTCTAAACGGTCAATACGATTTTGCATATCATCAGGACTGGTTGAGCCTTGACTTTGATTCTTCTTTCGTGTTCCTGGTGCAGCATATGAGCACGATGAGGCGTCACCTCTCCTCGTACAATTCTCACATGGATGCGACCTATTACATTTCAACCTGTTTTGTAAGAGCGATTAGTATATATGTGCTAGGGGGCCTGTATTTTGATGGAATAGAACGTATTAGACTCACTTTCTGTGCCGACAAGGCCCACATGACAAAGGAACCCTATTTCTCTTTCTTACCACGCGGTATTGCTCTTCTGGAGAGTGAGCTCCGGCGCTTGAAGAGGTAGTAGAAGGGGGCGTGGGAGTCATGATGATAAATTATTATTGATTTGTGAGGAGAAATCGAAGAAGCAAGCCCGGGCCAAGGTTATATTTTACTCATAAGCTCACAGGAATGGGCCCTGTCCGAATAAAGTTTATTTTCTTTTACCAGTATCTCACCACCAGAGAGTCGGTGTAAGCCGGCCTTCTTGATGCAAACAGCCAATGAAAAAGGACAGCACGAGGCGATTTGTCTTGCGCCGAGACGATCAGCTCCTAATCTGATAGGTGAAGTAGCCCGTTAGCTCGTTGGAGAAGGGAACAAGCGGACCCTATTGGCAACGAGTGGGGGAGATAGAGGTATAGATGCAGGTGACAAATAGCTTTATGTCCACTCGGCAGTGTTTGACTGCACTAGGATCTCACATATAAATTGGTGCCCCCTTTTCAAGAGTCTACCTTTGGCGCTTGATGGCTTACAATGACAGGGCAAAGTGACTCGAACTTCCCTTCTCGTCAAAGTGTAGGATGGCAAATTCGAAAGTATGATCTTCCTTGGACCAGGTCTCCACCAATATCCTTTTCCTGCCAATGATTTACCAGACCCTATACAGTGTTCACAGTTGCTCCCGAGTTCTCACGCACTTTCCCCGAAAACAGAGATTACCCACTCAAAATACAAACAGTAACCATTCGGTCCAGATCCAACAACGACTATTATTGATGTGCTCGAGGATGACAAACGATTGGTAGCGCGAAAGTCGAATAATCAAGAATAGCTCCAATGATGTTGTCCCTCTACCTTAGCCTTTGCCAACGACTGGAACGTTAACTAATATCCGATATGTTTAATCAAAAACGCCGGCCGGTTTGGCTTATGAGTGATTTAGTATCGTCTTTCGGGGAGGCCGACGACCGAAAGATCGTATATTGTACCGTGATTTGTGGAGAGAATGATTCGGAGAGTTCAGGAAGGATATATTATACCACACACAGTATATGATATCAACTTAGCAATCGCATATTCTGCAAGAATAGTCAGTCGTTGCGCCAAAACATATGCGGGAACTTTGCACTGTCAAGCTACTCACAAGAGGTAAACTCTGCCCTGCGGTCCAGATCTTTGGATACAGGCGCAAATCAGTACCGAAGCTTGAAAATGATCGCCACCAAGGCTTTGATTTGATTTCAAACAATTAGAATATTAAATTTAGTAATCTTTCCATCAATGGAAATCAATAGAAATCTCTGCAAAATGTTTGCGACAGGAGAGATTGTAAATACGGATTGAGGTTGTTGATAAGTGGACTGTCAAATGATAAATGATAAATGATAGCCTTAAGCTAAATAATATTCACTGAATAAGGCTGGGCTGGCTGGCACTTGAGACTTGGCCACCCCCGCCAAAGAGGGTCTGGGCTTAAATAGGCTAGCGGGATATGCCGAAGAGTTTAGCCAGACGAATACGTCGACCGTAAGAGGTATAATATCGGTCGTCACTGGGGAGATATCGATATTAATATCGATGATAGTAATAAACTGCACATCGACGTGAACAGTAAGGGTACGTAATCTTTCATGAATATCTGGCAGTGCAGTCCTTTTGACCTGATGAATCTACTAGGTGACTTATTACTCTTGCTATACTATTTTCCCCTTCATTTGAACCAACCATTCAAATCTTCTATATGCTTTCATCGCCGCCTCCGAAATAAAACATACTAGGCCAGGAGAGGATTCGCGATAGATGAGAGGGAATTACCATCCCACGTGCTTTCAAGGCATCAATTTGGCGTGCGCGTTGCTTATTGAATTTGATTCAAGCCATTCATTCCATGGGTTACTAATAACCGCCGATGACTCATACCTCTCTGTTCGGTTCAATTTAATATGCTGACTACTACATGCGTCAACTTACCTTACGTGCCATCGAACTTCAGAGAAAGTTGACGACGACGACGACGTCATGCATCCATCATTCTGAAGATATTGACTTTTTTTCGATATCCACAAATTGGCCTTGAGATCGGTATCTCCGTTGGCAGAAACTACATAAGGGGCCCCAACGCCAGAATGGTCCATTTATTCTACCCCGATTTTCATCGGGCATAATACAAGAGATGTTCGTACATCGTCAGTTTCATCTACTGCTATCTATTCATTCACTCAATGGATTCCCAAAATTCCAATGCGAAAAGGGAAACAAAATATCGCAAAGCAAGATAAGGTGTGTGAATGCAATAAGGAATTTCATGGCGAACACTCAAGCCAAGGCAAGCTACTGGAGTATTTCACCAATTCAAGTGCGCACGAATATGACCTCACCTTGAAGAGACAAAGTTGAGTAACGTGGGGGGAAATACTACCACTGCCTACCCACTCATCTATATTTTGTCGGTTGCTCCCGGTGAGGACTTGCTACACCCGCTCCTAATGACTAGTTTTGATTCCTCTTTCCGGTGGGGTCTCTCTGCCAAGCAAAGCAAGGATCAAAACATCATCAAATGTATCGCTCTGAATTGCTTTGCCCAATTAAACGCCTCGAATCGATTTCCTCGTCAAGAAGTCAATCTACCCCGATGAAACATCTGCTTCTCAAAGAGTCTCAGTGAAAGAGCAATTACTGAAATATGATTTTGGGCTTGTGTCTGTTAACTATCTAGTAGCTTGAGCATTCAAGGGCCAATTTTACAAGAGCAACCTCAACAATTCACAAGCACAGAGAGTCCTACGTGATATGCATGTTCTTGGAGTACCTGAGGATGGAGAAAGATATCCCGGCCAAGAAACTACACGCTTTTCGATTCTTGCTTGTTAGCAGGGTTCAGTGGATCAGGCCTGCTTGTTGGGATTCTTCTCAAAGCCATTGATTTTAAGCAAAATATCTTACTTGTTTACTCTCGAACCAGCCCCCCTCATCCCAAGACTCAATGTCTTGTTATCTCGCTATCAATATAATGCTTTAATCGCATTGGAAACGATATGGATAGGCATTTTGAAACGCCAGGGTTATTATCTTGCATCGAATTTTAAAGGCACGCAGCGAACGAATTAAGATATCAGTTGCTTCAAAGCAGCTTCACGTACCTAGCGGTAGCAATATATTTTTCGGTTTCAATATCTCCTCAAGTGTCTCCCTCTAGGACTTTCAAAAAGATATATCTTCGGCCCAAGTTTGCATCGTGGTCAGGACAAAACAAAAAGTCGCACAATGGCAAAATACTCTAGCACCAAATATTGTCGAACGACTTTCACGCCAACCATCGGATAATGAGTATGGAGTGGGTGAGCGAAGATAGTGTATTAGCCATTATCTTTGCACAACTAGCAAGCATCATTGACGGTCTGGCTTGGTTGCTAGTGGAACAGCTCGGTAGTCTCGGTAGATATGGAGCTAATCCTGAGCTTTTGGCTTATGCTGGCACAAACAAAGTAAGCTACTCAGCTCTAGTTGCTCCAGCTATAGTGGCTAAATGGTTCGTATGATCATTTGCTATTTTCTACTCCACCTCACAATAGTCCAGCCGCACACTGTGCCTTGTTTGATTACCTGCAATTTCAGACTTTGATTGCTTGAAATACCATCCCATCCGACTCCCTGCCAATGTTATCCTTGATGCTGTAAACTCATTGCGTCACTTCACGGTGCCACCGGAAGCTCTACTCACTACCTACTGTGACCGAAACGAAACCGTACCACTACCCAACAAACCAGCCGAACATACTAGTCAAGCATCGAAACCCATCAATGTTCTTCTCACCGGATCTATAGGTACTACAGGTTTGTATTTATTGCATTCCTTAATCAACCGTGATGAGATTGCACATGTTTTCTGCTTGAGCTGTGGAGAAGATGGTGAAAAGGCCAAGCAACACAAGATATTTACAGCATCCGGATTTGCTTCGACTAAGCTAGACAATCACGTACCTTCATCAAAGCAAATATTGAATTACCATCACTTGGTATGAATGAACATACATACATGTCACTCAGTGCAAACGTTGATCTCATTATCCATACTGCCTGGCCCGTGAGTTTTAACCTCGAACTTTTGGCATTTCATCCTCAATTCGCGGGGATTGTCAATTTCTTAAGCCTAGCTGCCTCTACTACTTCTACAGTACACTTCGAATTCATCGCTCCCGTTGCAGTAGTAGAAGGACACACAGCAGTTCTTGCCTCGCAAGAAGTACGACCTGATCCTAGCACACCAGCACCAGCCCCATCTAGCTGCGCACGCGTCGAATTCCTCTCTGAATTACTCGTCAACGCCGCAGATTAACATCTAGACGAGACGAAACAGTCCCAAGAACCATCCTCCGCATTGGGCAAATTGCCATATTAGTCATAAACTCAGATTTGTGGAATTTGAAAATACGGGCTCCTGGTCTACAGTAATACTCGGTTCGATTTATGTAGGTCGGATCCCTGATAATCAAGGTTTGCGGTTTGATGTTGTGGATTTTGGACTTGTCATCTGTGCATTTTCTGGCTGGCTGGTATATTTGTGGCTTTGATGAGTGAGAAGAGGATGAAGAGAGCAGATGAGTGGGTCTTGAATTTTCGGGATGCGTATTAGGTGGTTTGGAGCATGCTTTATGTGCTATTGCCGAGAGGAGATCGCTGGAGATGGTAGAGCTGAAGGTTGGCTGGTTGGTTTGAGAATGAGAAGTGAGGGAGTAGATAGGGATGTGGGAAATAATCTAGTTGTGAAATTAGTTGGCTCCTTAAATAGGTTGTGGAGGGGTGGGGATTTAGCTGAAGAGGGATGCGTGGGATAAGTTATACGGATTAGCGGGCTTTAGATGCGACTTCGAGGATGAGGGGTTGGAGAATGTGAGGGAGAAATAATTGAGGAAATGGATGAAGAAACGGATGGAGTTTGTGGGGGAGGAAGAGGAGGGGAGCTAGAGGTGTCGATTTCATATAAAAGTGAGGGGATAATGGTTTTTCAAGGAATATGTGGTGATCATTGCGTTAGTTATTGAAAACCGCATATTCTGTTCCATTTAACTCACATTGTGGTATCACTTTACCCGCGGGGATTCTATTTCGATAGACATATACATACGGGAAAGTAATTCATATAATCATATATATACGTACTGCACTTACAAGCAAGATCACATTCATAAATTTTCCAGCTAGGACGATTCAGTTAAATAAAGCCGAAACCCAGATATCAAATTCACAATGCTTGGATATCGACACTGATTGGATTTCAAGCTGAGAGTGGAATGAATGGTGAATAAATTGACAGGTGTCTACATGGGTCGGGAACAAGTAGATTTGTATCATCAGATCTGATGCGTCGAGTCACGGAAGATGGGAGTTGGTAGTTGGTTAGAGGGAATTAGGCTGGGTTTTGTGATATGAAGTCTTTGTAATATGTAGGTGCTTGTGTTGAGACATTTACTGCATGTCGTGAAATTTTTCGGGATGGATAGATGCTGAATAGGGAGAGAATATTCTTGGGCTGAAAGTAGTCAAGTCGATAAGTAGATTTGACTCAATTGAGTTGGTGTGAGATATTAGATACAAGTATGGAATTATTTGTTTTGTGTTTATCGTGTGTTTATTTCCGATCTTTCATTATGCTGTATGGCTGTATGGTTGATATGTTGTGTACAGGGACAGGGGCTAAGCGAGTGAAGGGGCGGGAGTCTCAAGATTCATTTTTGTAACGGCGCATAATAATGTGATTTGGTATTATACTTTGAAAATTTATATGATGGAACTATTTGTGGGAGATAGTGTTTTGTTCGTCTATGATAATATAGGATTGTGTTTTTTTAAAAAATTTGATATCTGTATCACGACGGAGTATTTAATACTTTGAGTCTGACTTCGATGTAAATTTTTTTTTTTGAAAAACCTTGTGATATCTGTGGATGTGTAATGGGCTTTTGTGCTTTGTGATTCATTGAATAAAGTTGTCATGAAAAAAACTCTATTAGAGCGTGGCGTCTTTGAGTGAGCGAATTCTTCTGTTGCGTCTATAAACCGCGCCCTCAGAGAAGATAGGGCAGTTGAAGGTCATTGGAATTTGAGAAATAATGATGGTGCCAGCTTAACGAGAACCCTTTTTTGACTTGCCTTTATTCTATGTATATATACAGAACCAGAATTTCTTCATCAACTTAGTACACCAATAGCCAACAACTTAAATATTAATTCGATGGGCATAAGGATTTAAGAAATCACGTTCAAGATTCTGCTTATGATGGGCTCCAATATGTAACTTTTGTAAATGGTTCAGCATAAAGATTCATAATCATGCAAACGGTCTAATCCAGTGAAATGCTGGAGGTGATCTCTTTAGGTGATTGTAACTTTTTTGTGTACTGGGAAACATTTCATGATTCTGATCTCTTACATAGCTGAGGTTCATGAAAAATAGAAGCTCTTCGTTTTAGAAAAAAACGCACATTGACATTAGCGATATCTGTCCATTTGAATTCTAAGAGAAGCCAAGCTTCATGGATTCGCTTAACATTGAATTCTCTTATACATCACTCCCACGGGAAAGCCCCATTCCTTCACCACTCTACCAGAATTCTCTAACCACCCTCCCATCATCCCCATTTCCCTCAAAAGCTACCCCAAAAAAGAGCCACTCTTCTCAAAACTCTTCTTCAGATAAAAAGATAGATAGAACATGCAAAAAAAAAAGTATCGGATCCAGGATTCGAGCCTGGGGCTACTCGAACTGATTGGGACAATTAAATTTTAAATATGAACTTTCGTCTATATTTGGACCATTTATTTACCTCAATCATGGAATCGAGTTATGTTACCACTACACTAATCCGACAATGTGTTGTTGTTTTATTGAGATATATATACCTGACCGGAGGGAATCAGCGAGTTTTGGGTGGGTTGAAAGTCTAGTGCTAGCGCTGATGTCCTAAGGCAGTGTTTCTTCGTCACGAGACTGGTTAACCACTGAAGTGGACTTTGTAATGATGAAGGATATTCTTCGTTAAGGTATATTGAAGAGAGGACACATGTAAATTCCAAAATAGTTATATCACGAATGTAGATTACTTCAACTCCTTACCGAGACTTGAACAGAATGGATGGGCAACTATCATCATGGCAAACATAGAGAATCATAACACGAACAGCGATACTGTACCTTATTGAGATACTTTGGAATACATAAGGGTGATAAAAAGAGAAGGGATGTTACAGATTATTGGCTGAAGCGGATGGTACCTTCTCTCTGTAAAAAAATTGATCATTCTGAAAGTTACTCAACGAAGAAATCTATTCTGCTACAAATAATACCGACCATTTTTTGACAGTCAACACTCTCATATTAAGTATAGTATCATTAACATAACATTCTATCCCCCATGAAGTACCAAGAGCTCGTAGACACCCAGTTACAAAGCTGGTGAAGGCATAGGACTCCACCAGACTACCCACATAGTGGCAGATCACCTTGGCACCTTCAAAAACTCCAAAAAAAGAAGAGTTGTTTCAACTCCGTGTTTGAAGAGAGCCCAGGCTAGCCAATTCGGCCAGCACTCCACCACCTTATCTCTTGTTTGTTGATGGGGGTGTGTTATTGAGATATATAACTTTTCCATTAGACTACATTGCAAAACAGTAGATTTTCTTGGCACCCAAAAAAATGCCAAAAAAGAAGAGTCTTTAAAACTCCGAAATTGAAGAGAGCCCAGGCTAACCATTTCGGCCAGCACTCCACCACCTTATCTCTTGTTTGTTGAGGGATGTATCTTATTCAGGTAAATAACTCTTTCACTGACTAGTTTACAGCACAAAAAAGCCAAAAAATAAGAGTCTTTACAACTCCGAATTTGAAGAGAGCCCAGACTAACCATTTCGGCCAGCACTCCACCACCTTATCTCTTGTTTGTTGAGGGGAGTATGGTATTCAGATACATAACCTATAACTTGATGCTTTACCCTGTGACTTCCTTGTCTATTTTGTCTTTTTCTTCTGAATAGATAACTGCATGTAATTATATCGATTATACCACCAGAATGTACGAGTAGACGCACAAAATTCTGGTTTGCGTTGTACTGTTTTGAAAATAAATAGCACTGGAGCCTTCATCGCAGGTTGAGTTAATATATGTCATAACAATATACGAAATCGGAAGGTACATATCGAGGTGAAATGCAAGCAGCACACGGGAACATATAGAAGGCAGTCACATATCAATCATGAGTAAACAAATTTCTACGAAAAAGTACTAGAATAATCGCATTGTAACTATTTTGTATATTTTACACACGAATACTTCAATGAGTAACACCAGTACACTAGCTGAACACTCATCTTCCGTTCCTTGAGTTGCAAAAAATTTGCTTCCAGGTAGGACAGGAATTGTTTGAACAAGATGAACAAAATGAACAAAATGAAAAAACTGGAAAGGAAACAGAGGAGTAGATGGTTCTTGGGTGGATTGTCAAAAAAATTAACAAGAGTAAATCCCTTTCGGTCAATCTAACCTTAATTTAGTAAGACAAGCGGAAATACATAACCGAGAAAAACCAGTGCTGGGACCTTATACTTCATTTCTAAAAACATACCTCGATATTGTAAAGGCCATCTCATCAAGTGCTATGAACAATCGCAATCACCTTAATAACAAACATATAAGCCCTACAAAAGTTATCAATAATTGAGAGTAATAGAGCAAAATCAATATTGCTCTGGTATGGAAGGCAAACTACACGTACAAAAAGTTTCAAACTCCTAATCAAATTATTCAATCATAGACTGTTCAATCATTTCACGAAGTACTTAAAATGTCAAATCAATTGACGCCAAGGAGTATAGCGCTAATAGGGGGCTCGGCAAAAAATTCCGACAGGGATTTAACTATTTTAGACGAGAAATCTGGGGTAGCACACCTAGCAACTATCGAGCTCGAACAGCTCGAACAAGTCCAACGAGAGATTTGAGATTTGAGAAAGAAGGGGGAATGTGGGTTTATTGTGAAGGTTTGTAGTATACAGTTTTTCTTTCAACTTGTGTAATTTATTGTGAAGATGTTCAGGTTTCTCGTATGTGATTGACGATTTCGAAAAGAACGCAAGGGGATGGGTGGATGGATGTGTACAAGAGAAAAAATGTATGTCATTCTTTACACAGAGATTATTATCAGTTCAATGAGAAAAAGAGTAGAAACAAAAGACAATATAAGCTTCCAGCTCCAGGACTCGTACCGGAAGTCACCTGAATACACCCTTTGTACAACGTTACTGAGAATCCCATCAACGATCATCTTACCGAGACGAATTATCTTACCACTACACCAATTCTGAGAATGTTTGATGTGATTTATGTATATCATACCGCAGGGTCGTAAGGAGATTCTCGAAGAAAAGAATAGTATGATAATCTTATATCCGGAACTTCCGAACCGGGCTAATGTATTTCAATAGGGTTGCCTCGGCGGCATTTAGACTTCCGAATGAAATATAGATGTACAACAATTCTTCTTTTTGTTCTCTAATATGCAAGAAATATATACCTTTCAAATAGTCTACCCATTCAAGAGAAGATTTCTTACCATCTATGAACCTTAATCTCGAAGGAGGAAGTCGTATACGAATTACCCTTCGAATCTCTTCATGACGAACGAAACCATAGATTGATTCATGGCAGTAAACTTATATATGTACAGTAATGACACGAAAAGCTCGTATCAAGAATGAGATTCTTTGTGTTTATTTTTCGTACGAGAAACTTATATAGCTTGTCGAATTTCACAAAATGTAGCTACGACCGGTCAACCATCCTCTAGGTCGAGAACGTGATAATTTTCGCATACACGTGGGCATTCAACATATTCAGATCGGAAAGGATCTTCACCGGTGAGTAAGACAGTGAGTGGGAGAGTTTCAAACATTGAATTCACATGACTTGTGATATGGTTTCATAGTCAGTGGCTAGATTAATACTAGACTGGGCATAAACATATTTCTCGCCACTCATTCATTCATTCATTCATCCCCTATTCAACATCTTCAGTACCTCCCAACACAAGAACTGAAAGAACCATCTCATCCTCCCAACTCCCAATCTCAACCAAATTTCCCTACGTGATCCAGATCTGTTTTCCGGTAAGGAGAAATAGATAACTTCATCTTCACCAAGTGTCCTGACAATTTTCTCCCACTGAAGAGTACAAATCCTCGAGAAGAATCTTTCGATGTTCGAGGAAGATTGTTACTACGCATGCGAGCCACAATACAGCTACAATGTAAACATACACAAACTGCGACAGCGGGCTACTATGCATACGTATTGGAAAAGGTTCGAACTTTGGCATCAGGCATAAAAACAGTAAGGAAGACTTCGCGATTGGTTTCAGCTCATATTATCGAGCATCTGATGCCAAATCTCAGCTACAAGGTTCTGAGAGGTATGTGGTGAATAGAGATGATGAGGATGAGGATACAAAATACCAGAGACCCAAAACATCAACCCAAACACAAATTAAAGATAACACCTACACGCAATAATAATCATCATCACAAAAGCTACAACTCTCTACACACACTCTACAAATCCATTGATCCAATCCTCTCGACCTCACAACCCGCACAAAATTCTCCAGTCTCCCCAAAACAGAGCATCACCAGCTATGATCTTTCCCACCTCCTAGACGATACACGAATGCGATACATACAGCATTATCAACCTCGAATCCACACAGCCGAAAGCACAGCTATACTATAATATATCCTCAAATCCACCCAAGAATCCAAAAACTTTTGATTCGATTCCCAAAATCCATTCCACCTTCTTTGCACATACGACGGGAATGAAATATTCTCTATTCGAATCCGAGTATCGAATCCTCAAACTCCCATCCATGGAGATATTGCGAATCCATCGATCTTGTAGCATAATAACTAACAACGCAGCATAAATTTCATTCACAATATGTCACTCGACATGGTATGTATGAGCGGACGTACACATACATATCTGGTAGGTAATACCTTGCAACTTCCAAATCCCTATTACAAACATCAAACATCAAATATTAAATATCAGACATCAAACAGCAGGAAATAAAAATACATGGAGCATGGGAGCAAGGGGTTTATTTGACGTGGAAATCATCTCTCGTTACTTACTTATCTTCTGTCGAAGAAATTCCATCCATCGATGTGTATCCTTGGAATCACTCTATGATAGTACACCGTATGTTTCGCCGCCTCTCTTCTGTGGTGCTTTCTCCCCGTCTTCAGTGCTCTGCCCCAATACCTTCTCCGTCAACTCTCTTCAGTCTCTCCCCCAAATCGCTCCTCTTCACTCCTCCACAACACTCTTGATAAGAACGTGTTCAGCAATTCCACAACAAATCAAAATCATGTCATCACTGCCCACAGGCTATATTAAAAAGATCATTTTATTCCACTATCTAAGATGCCGTCAAATCCTCAATCATTTGACCCGCGAACAACCCCCAAAAATTCGGCTATCAATCGTCCCCAGATATCCTATCACCATTCTCCATTCATAACCATAAGAGCCTTCAGGGTATTAAACATAAAACGCTCCACACACGCAAGGTAAGGCAAAAAAGGCTGTATAATAGAACCAACGTAAATATCCATGGTATACTCCATAAATCCTCATTGCGTTAAATATGTCTCTCTGTGAGATTATCTGTCTCACATGATCGTAGAAGAAAAAAATACCCCAAAAGAAAAGGGTGCGACCGGACCAGACTTTTCCATATATTAAGAAAATCAATATAAAGTCGATAGAATGACCCAAAATGCAAAACATCCAAAGTGGGATCGGGTCCAACAATATGTCTGTACAATCATCGCCATAAATCTTGGCTGCTGTTTTTCCTGGAATGTCTTTTCTTTTCACCAGCTGAGCTGCTAGGTCTAGGAGGATCATCTGCAGGCACGGCGAGGAAGCCACCAAATCCATTTCCGACAATAACACTTCTTCTTGCTCCATGACCTGGAGCCCATGCTTTACCCATACTATCACCTAGTCCGTAACTGCTAATCGGTCTTGCTGTCGTTGCCGAACCTCTTCTGCCGGGTGCAGTTGGCGGTTGGACTTTGGCAAAATTCCATTCCATCTCATCAAGACCTTTACTATAAACCTCTAATTCTTGTTTAAGTCCCATTCCAGTAGGCATCGCCGGAGACAGGCTTGCTTGAGCTGCAAAAGGATTGTTGGAACTGAATCGATTGTTAGGCATGCCAGAAGGCGCATTCGACGAACGTTCGAAAGTATTAGGTGGTACAAAATTATCTGGATCGGATGCATATGCGGGAGCAGGAGGTGCGAGGCCGATCAAAGATTCGGGGAACTCGGAATCGCGAACGTAGAGAGCTCGAAGCGCGGGAAGTCTATTGGCGATCAAGGAGGTGGTGAGGTATGAGTAATGACTTTGTACGACGCTCTTGAATGTATTTGTAGATGATGTGGAGGTAATTTCGTAGTGCAATGTTTGTAGTGAAGTTGAGGAAAGTGGTGGAATGTTTTGAAGAGCCGGAAAGGATGCATGTACTGATTCAACAATTGACAAAAAGGTCAATCTAGGAGCATTATCTGTGATTTTATGCAAAGCAGAAGGATGGATACCCGTTTCTGTCAATGAAAGACTTGTGAGTTTCTCTTGTGTGTCTGAACGGAATAAATACGCTTCCAAGCCGATCGCTGTAACGTTGGGTGTATTTTCGAAAACCAATTCGGTGAAAGCTGGAAATGGCGGAAGATAATCACTGTGTTGGAATACTTCATCATTGAAAGTCTTTGTATCTGTAACTTTCAAAGCCCGAAGCCCAGTTAATGAGCCCAAGGCACGTCGAATGATTGTGGGGTCCATATTGAGTCTTGTAAATTCCAATACCTCCAGGTTCCTCCAAATCTTGCCGCCTGCCAATTGTTCAAGGCTTCTCTCTGAGCCGGTCATGTATGTCATCTTTCGTAAATCTGGACATCGCGCTTGAATTTCGAGTTTAAGTGTGTGGCAGGAAGGATCATCTGAAAATATACCCTCGGGAAGATCGAGATATCGCATATTGGGACAAACTGCCACGCTGCGTGCAAGATCGGCTTTGCAAGCTCCTCTGGTCATATATGGTGTTTTGAGAAATTCCACCAATTCTCCCAGCATTCTATTATCGCGAATCGTTCTACAAAGTAATTGCAACCTCACGTTGGGGGTTTCCTCTGGTTCTGCATTGCGATTGAATCGACCTTTATGTTTCCTCTTCTCTGATAATATTTCTTCGAGTTCGCAGAAATGAACTGCATCAATCCGAACACTATGATACCTGCGTAATAATTGAGTTAGCTTAACTGAACACTTTGCACAAATGGTTGGACTACGAACAAAACCCCAATAGCTACATTCCTCCATTTTCTCGAGACTTGCGCACAGTGAGCCAAATCTCTTGTATCGCATAATGGACAGCAGTCATCCAGAGAAGATTGTTCGCATGTCTCATAAGTTTCGTCTTGCGAATGAGGGCATACAAGTATGAAGATGCGTTCGAGAACTTTATCGGGAAGCTTGTTTATGATAGATCCACGCGGGGTTGCATATGCTGCATGATGCCTTCGATCTGCTCGATTTGTATAACTGCGTACGAGAGTTGGTTTATCTGATAGCTCCTTTCCTGGCTTCTTCTTTCTTCGGAACCACTTCATGATGAATTTTGCCAGTTTGATAAATGGAGCAACAAATCACCCCTATGGAAAGAGGTGATTATTTAAGAGAAGGGAACGATTTCGGTATTTGGAGGTTATTAATCTTTTTGGTGGAGGAGTTGCAAATCGACAGGGATTTTGTGTGGATTGGGGGATTGGTGGATTCCTCCACGAGCTCTTCTTGGGGTTATGGCTAAGCCTGAGGAAGCAAATCAAAGGGCGACAAAGCCTGGAAAGATTTGATTTGATGGGTTTCGTTGGTCGTTGGAGCACTGAAGTTTTGGGTGAAGAACCTATGAATTCCCTCTGAATTGCCTAGGTATTACCTGTCTCCCTGTTGCCCAGTATATGCCTGATACCCAGAATCTAGTATCGAGTAGCACGGAGTATGTGGGGAAGGGAACCTCTTTATTAATAACTTCAAACACAATTTCGCTCTTCTTCTCCCTTGCTCTTATTTGGTGGAGAATCAATCTCGCTCGGGATACATAAAAGAGGTGTGTGAGCGTGAGGGTAAGTGTAAATGTGAGTGTGGGTGTGAGTAAAAGTTCGATGAATAAATCTTGAAAGAAAGCCTTCAACAGACAAGGAAAAACGGTTTTCTTAAAACCACCACCTAGGTATGATTTACTTCGATTCACTTGATCACATACCTAGTCCTCTTCAGAAATAGGGGAATTCACTATCGTTACATCCTTGGCATCACAGGTACAAATCCAGGTCAGATACAGGTCAGGTACAGGTACAGGTACGAATGTAACCAAGATCTACCCATCTACCCATCTCCAACCGTTGGATGGTAGCTTGTTCTCCAGCCATCACCTATGAGCCTTCACACAAGACTCACACGACGACGGCTAAATTTGAATGGGAATTTCATCCTGTTAATCACATTGTTTGCTAATTCTTGACAGGGTCTGTGAATGTTTCATATCCAACCGATCAACCGTCTGAACTTCCTTTGATTCCTTGAGATCCACCTTTTTGGCTGCAATGGCACTTGTGGAAGCGATGAAGTGCATTGCATTCCGACCCCAATTCTTCATTTGATCCCTGAAAGATACCGGAATCAAGCTCCTGTTGCTAATTCGGGACATCCATAGGACTTGTCAATGTGGCTGTGATTTGTTTGATTTGTTTGTTTGTTTGCTGGTTTGCTGCAAGGGACGATATCTCAACAACAAGAAAGGAGTCAGCCTTGTTCTCTCCCCCACTTGTGAAGTCGCATCTTTCATATTTGAAGTCTGGGGTTCAGATACTCAGAGCAATTGGGAATTGTTCATGAAAGCGCTTCTAGACTTCTGATCAATTTCCTTTGTTCCTACTAGGTAGTAGTCATACATCTGTTTGGTCACAGAACGCGAGTTCAAACAAGGCTTCCTGATAATTATCCGATGTGCCGAAGTTCCTTTCTTTGTTCTCGCATCTATTTTGGCTCCAAGATATAGGAATCTCATCATGAAGTCAGCAAACAGACACAGGGAAAATATCCTAAACCTGCTCTTGCATTTCTATTTTCGCATCCATCAGATAATGCCTGCTACTCTCAGTGTTGGCGAGAGGCACAGGGACAGGGAGGGAGGGAGTACATATGCCTGGATTACTCAAAACTATCACACAATCCTTGGTACTTTTGATAATTCACCGTCAGCCTTTCGTCACCAATTCATCGTGATTTTTTAATGCGCTTTCACAAAAAACTTCACACATATGAGTCAAATCCAAATAGATATGTCTAAAAATCTACAAATTTGAGGTTCCAGTGACCACTTTCAATGATTCACTTGCTTTACGCTTCATGCTTTGTTGAATAATTTTCAATTCAAAGAAAAATCAAGACACCATGCCGTCCACGAGACGCACATCCGTACACCTCTTATTGAACTGATGGTGATCGTTGCAAAGCGAAATCAGGCACTTTACAAAGAAACACAATGGGGTTCAAATGCTTCTTATCAGCGATGTAAGGCGAAACAAGTTATAACGGTGCTTATATCGGCGCAGTTTCCTGATGAAGAAAAGAATCGAATTTATCAGCAAAGCAGATCAACACACTGGATCATCAATTATGGATTGTGTAAAATTTATGTTTCACGACTTTCCCCGCCCTATTATGAAGCTTAATTAAAAAGTTTGTCTCGGGACATGTCCGTGCATCAGATGTTTTTGACTTTATCAATGACTTGGTTCAATTATTTTCTCCTGAAAATCTTGCTACATCTTCATTTATTTATGTTTTTTAGTCACAACATTCACACATTTAATCTCGTCGCATTTGGGGATTTGATACAGTTTTTGATTCGGTTCTGATTACTTACAATTTTTATTTATTGATCACAGGCTAGGTCCTGCCTGCCGTCATACTCACACTTTACTTGTGTGAAAATAACGCCAATTATGGATATCAAGCATTTTTTGTAGGGTTTTTGTTTTTTCCTTTTGTTTTTTTTTTGTTTTTTTTTTGTTTTTCTTGGGTGTTTTGAATATGAAAATCACTCAACCAACTCCAAAATACTAAATGATTGGTATTTATACAATTTCGGTGTGTGTGTCTTCGTCCTCCTCGCGACCCCAAGCTCAGTATCGCACCAAGCATCCCCATTTGATCTCAGGTAACTGCCAGTCTGGCGCCATGTCCCTGCGCTTCGAAATGACGAGGTTGTTAAAGAAATTGACATCGAATCCGAAGAGGTCCAACTCCGCTCGTGAAAGTGGGTTATCTTGGATCTTGATTCTGATGTCGTTAGTACGGGGGTAAAGATGTCTGTTGAGCATAAGATTTTTATGGGAAATCGGTTCTTGCGCCGGATCGTCTCGAAGAAGTACTGCGGTCTTCACGCCCCTATAAATCATCATGTATCTCGACTGCCATCTGAATTGACGAATCACTACTCTGGGATCCAGCACGAAAGCTGGAATTGCGATGGTTTTGACTGCGTCTCTGAAAGTATCGTTGAAAGCAAGTGATTGTAGTATACGCTCGTCTGCCCCGAGAACAAAGACATCTGTCTCCAAACTGTACCACTCCCGCGGGCTGCGCCGAACATACCCTCCTCGCTCTTCTAGACTGAGGCCTATTTGATCTAAATGTGCTGGGTCTTCGAGCAAGTAGTTTTGAAGAACGCTTCTCAAACCTGTTTGAGCCATGGCCTCTTCACGAGCTTCGTGGCTAGTGTTGACAACTGCGATGGTTCTCCGCGGTCCGTGGTGCCCTGCGATGATGGCTCGAGGAGGGTTCAAGGCGTTCCTTGCCGCCAATCCCCAGATTTGGAATCTGATTTCTGCGGGAAGATTTGCGAAGCCGGAAAGATTTGGGGAAGACATGATTTCTGTTGTGCTGGTATCTGATAGCTTCTTGAGTGTGTTTACTTTAGTTATCTCTAGTCTACTGTTATCTTCTTATACAAGAGTATTGAGAATGATGAATTGAATTATATAATCGATAATCATTTCTTATATAGTTCAAAAAAAGACATTGTTTTATCTGAGGAATAACTCTTAAACTACAATCCAACAACCAAGTATCAAGTACAAACCCCCTAAACAACAACTAAACAGGCGAGTTGCTGAACAAAGTCACATGATGTGAAGTTAAGTCCCTACTATATCACTTCCCACCAACACGTCAATCAGATTCACCTAGTCATACTCACTCCAAGACCTCGTTATACATTACCAAGACCCCTATAAATCACTGAGATAATACTTATATGCGCTAGCAGACACAAAGTCTACGCTAAAATGTCATTATTTTTCTTCATTCTCGAATAAGGAATATCCTCTTTGTGGGATGTGGGATTCAACATTGTACGGTTCTACACTCTGAATCTTTCCGTGCGAGATTCGCCGGGAAAACTGTGAGTTTGAGTTTGAGTTTGAGAGGGTGAGGATGGGGTTGGGATGTGGTAGGTAGTAGGTGGTAGGTGATAGGTGGTAGGTAGTATACTTAAGTATACTTATTCATTACTGAGTAACTGAAGTTGCTGCTTGCGAAAACAGGATGAGGTATTGGTTTAGCCCTCAGTACTTTTACATTGCAGATGATTAACCTTCGTCAGCCAGCCGTTATTTTCGTTGTATTATTTCTTTATATATATGTATAAAAAAACGAAGTCAAACTTGTAGTGGCGATACACCATGAAGAAACTTTTAATATCTCATATATATATATATATATAGACCTACAAGGCGGTTCTTGAGAAGCTGCAAGTGTGCTAAGAATCACGAGAGCATGGATAAACTGATGGGACGTCCGTGTGGACTTTCTTAGGCGGGTCAGATAGTAAATTATTCCGATTGGAGAAGATTTTGATGGTGTTGAGGACGTGATGTAGCTGTTTAAGTTGTGGGGTTCGACGTTTTCGTTTTCGTTGTTGTCGTTGTTGTCGTTGTTGGCTCTTTTGTCGAGTTAGTGTGATTGCTACCTTTACACCGTCGTCCTGGGTACGATAATTTAGGATGACATTGCGCTTTTGTTCTTACGTAGCTGATTTCTTGTTGAGATCTCTTATTTTCAATATTCACGAATTGCGAGTGTGATCAGAGGTGAGATTATCTTGGTTTGGTATTTGCTGTCACATAGGATTTCATCAAGGTCTTGATCTACAGATAACAATATTCACTACATTTTGATAGAAATCTGATAATGGGCGAGTCTACATAACAAAAATTATATTTTACGAGCGATTCATTCTATTTGCTTCGATATGACAAGTGAATATATTCGCCCCCCAAAAAGCATAAGCCATGATACGAATTTGATTCTTTCGACTGACCTGGGTATTTAAGACACCTAACACCTTTCAATAAACGGACACGCTTTCAATCAGCCAGAAAGAAAAGTCTAATGTGCCCTTGACTCTGCGATACTCTCTACTCGCTGAATAGGTCAGCTCTTTCTATAAGTATACTCAGTCGCGCTATATAAGATTTCTCTTCCCTATTTCCGCATAGCGAGTTTTTCTTCATTTTAGAGATAGTGAAGTATCATCAAATTGAAATTATCATTGTCACTATCGTTGCGTGAGGATTTACTCATCATCACTCTCTGATTATCGATTAGACCAAATTTTCCCATCACAAAATCAAAAAGATTCAAAAGTGTAGAATCACAAGCTAAGAACTAAGCAAGTAAACATCTAGTCAAATGGAAACATCTGGGCGGAACTGCAGACACCTTCTCATTAGCCTGGATAAAGGCATTCGGCTTGTAGTTCAGGATCTCTGAATCCTGTATTCTTTGATCTTTAAATACCTCGATGTTCTCATTTTTGACTGTTCGATTGGCTTTCTGGGGAATAGTTGATGGCTAGATTCATCAACGTTGATGAATTGATGGGGGTATAGTGAATTTTTACATACGTATCCGAGGGTTTTTTATGGTGTCGCTGCAATATTCCCTTATTTAAACGAAGCCTCCTATCAAACCAATAAATTCAAACTCACACTCAACTATCCGAAGACAGAAACAAGATGGTGCATGTGACTTACTCAGTTTGAGGATCTTCATATTTCAGCTACCTACTGTGTAGAAACGCGATCTTAGATGTTTCAACTATACTATGTTTTAGCACCCTGACTTTCCGAGACGTTCCCCACGATTTTCACTGTCGAGGTTTTAGGTTGTAGTAATCATTATCATCGAATTCCTGTTCATCGTCAACTCAAAGAGAAGTTTATCGAGATATTTTATATCACACGGATAAAATATCGCTCGTCTTCCAACTTGTCCGAGTGTCTTCTCCCTCTAGCTTTATTTGATTCTCATTGGGACCCTTTACGCAAGAGTCCAGATTCGAGACATTTTCCTACCTTCGTTGATGTCGATTGTGGTCTTGACTCTTGTAAAAATCATACTGTGAGTATTTATATACATTGAAAATAGATTACTGGTTATCAGGTACTCTATCTTGCAACAAAAGATCTAGCAAGTGATTCACTTTCTTGGCCTTGGTCAGAGAACTGGTAGGTATATAAATGTGTCTAGGATCTATTTGAAGCTCCGATAAACATGAAGCCGCTACGACAAAAAACCATTACAATGAACAGAAAATCCTCTCGCTCAACATACGCTAGATGATTTCCAGGAGTCTTGCCCTTTTTCTCTTCTCCAAAATATGCTAGAAGGGACTCACAGTACCTGCTTTTTCAATTATCACTATCAATTGCAGTGAGCTATCGCCTCTTAGTAGCGTGATTTCCGCTGTGATCGGTGGTAAATTTGATAGTCATCCCTTTTGAATACTGATCTAATTCAAACGACAACACTCTTCAAAACGAGCACTGGCTTAACTAGTTCCAAGCTCGCAGAAGTATCAAAATGTGGGCGTTTGGAATACAGATAAGGCAATTTTGTAGCCATGGAAACACATTCTGAACACCTAACGACCAACTCTACCGGCCTATCATCTGTTTTTGAATATCATTCTCTCTGCCTTGATCGATACTTTTATAGTCGAGATACTCAGTGATAGAGCAGATGATCTAGTGAACAAATGATGATTTGCAGCTTGATATCGTACCATCTAGTCATGCCATGGATAAGGAGTAAATGCTTAATGAAGAGACACACTTGAAGCAGAGATGTATCAGAAACCAACCTGTACTGGACTTTCCGCTGAAGGGACTAACGTCACCTATAAAGTCTATAGCTACGGCAACAACCTAAAACCTCCACTACAATACTCACGAGTATTCAAGGACAGAACTTATTGGCGGAGTCTATCTGGTAATTTTCTCAGCATCTTTCCTTTTCACAGAAATGATAGATACATAATTGACAATGACAATAAAAACGGTGACGATAATCTCCGATTAAACACGTCATTTCGACAACTACCATGGACCACTATCAAGAATTTGGTCTTTCTGTCTTTACGGCCACATTGGTATATAAAGAAAATCTAGCTGCAGATAGCATTCTTAAGAACATGGGGTGCAGATGGGGAACATGGATAACTCGTATTTAGTTTGGATAGAGAGCTGGCTCTTAAAAAGAGAGGAAAACGGTAACTCTTCTTTGCATGCTGAAGCGTATACTATCAGTGTAATTTTATAGAAGTATGCTGTAAAATACTGGTCTGTCTATGAAAAAAGTAGAATCCGATCAACCTTTTTGAGCGAATCAGAAGACGAATCCATATATAAGAAGAAGCTAGATTCAAGCGCTGTTTCCACCAACGAGATGAGCCCGGCTTATTAACCTGGCGGATTCATCAAGGTGCTTGATAAAAAAAAGACCGTCTCCCATCAAATAAACTTTCTGTAATCATCAACGTCAGAAACAAACTTCACTTCCAACCAAGTCCTCGCTTACATAATCTCACAACTTCACAAGAAATTTTTACCCCACCAAACCTCACGATCCGATCCGCCACCCGAACCTCGGCAAAAACGTCGCGTCTACTGCTCGATCTTGGTTGCCATTCAAGCTATAGCTAGGGACAAGATTGTCGTGGAGCTTCAACATTTTATATTTCACCCAATTTACAATCATCTCATGCGATTGACCGGTTATTTATCTGCAAAAGAGTAATTCGGGTAGGATAGAAGAAAAAGAGGGGTCTTTGGTGCAAGATGTCGAAGTCACGAGAGCAGGCTATGAAGGGTGTCGAGGCGATCTTTGAGAGGTATACATTCTTTGATTTTTTATGTATTTGTGTTAGAATTTATAAGTGTATATGCGCCAAGTGGGAATATATGATACATAATTTCAAGATACCTGTACAGTGGTAGTATTATATCGTTGGCCGCCTTTTGTGCAATGAAGGACTTATTCTTCCTGGGTGGTTAGTAGTACTATACCACAACTTCTAGAAGTCCTTGAACATCAATTATATTTCTCTCTGTGCCAGTTGCCCTGCCTATACTCAATCTTCTACACCAGCTCTTCACTTCACTTCATATCCCTCCCCGCCTCTCCCCCTTAAGTGCTACATCCTCTTCTCCCACCTTCTAACAAAGCCCAGATACCGACTAATCGCCCAAGCCCAAAATTTCAAAGGCTTCGACTCTCACCTCATGGAAAACATTAAAATTATCGATGCCACCTCCTCAGGAACCGTAACATTCGAATTCCTAATCGATGAACAATATAGCAATATCAACAATGTGATGCATGGAGGAGCCGGTGGTGTCATATTTGATATGTGTACTACGTTTGCTTTAGGACCTGTTGCTAAACCTGGATCTTGGGAGTAAGTTCTCTTTCCTTCTGGAACCTAGGAGTAAGTTTGAGAAATATGCTAATGCTAACGGGGAGTAGTTTTCTGGGTGGTGTAACGAGGACACTCAATTTGAGTTACTTAAGGGCTGTTCCTGTCGGTACGTATATTTCCATTCGATGATGTGCTGAGAATACTGCTTTTCGAGGATAAACAATATTAACAATCCCAGGCACGACTGTCCGTATATATACCGAAGTAGTACAATATGGCAAAACGATGGCGATGCTTCGTGGTACCATGACTAGTCAAGATGGATCAATCATTTATTGCACGTGTGAACATCATAAAGTGCGTGTGCCAACCCGGAAAGAACATTTAGAGCATAAGGTAGAATGGGATGGCCTGTGGAGTAAAGACTCTGATGGAAAATCGAAATTATGATATCTATAGACCTCGCTTAGAGTAGCGTAGCATTGTCCAAAGGGCACTACGGATGATTCAGGTAAATGTATAAAAGACCTGTCTTCTCTTTTGGGCCGCCTCGAAGAAAGGAAGTCTCGTTGTCCAACAGCAATCTTTTGAAAATAGAGTATACATAGATGATGGAAGGAAGATAATTTCAAGACCATGTAATTCACGTTTTCTCGAGCAATATCTCAATCAGCTTTAGAAGCTATACTCTGTTAAGGCACCGTCTAAGATGCTTGCATGCAAAGTCCAAGTGCCCAGTGGGTTTCGGCATTTCCTCAATACAAAAAAAAGCATCACTCGCTCCTAGTAGATATTCCGCAATACACTGAATTCAGTCCAGGTTCATTATCCCAATAATGAGGGCATCAATTCATAGATTCGTTAATCCAACACACTAGGCCAAACCGAACTCCAAGGACAATATTCCAAGCCTTTACTCATATACACCTCAGCCCTACATACCCATCTCAATATCTCCATCATCATCCAAGAGACTTTCAACCAGACTATCCTGCAATTGTTGTTCTAACAACGATTCCTCCTCCTCGGGAGGAACAATGGTCTTTTCTTGCTCAGCAATGATCGTTCCTTCGCTTTCATCGACATCTTCTTCCTCCGCGTTTTCTTCTTCATCTTCTTCTACGCTTTCCATTTTGATTTGGCTGTCCATTATCACTTCCGGGCCTCTGCTCTTTTTCGACTCCACACTTCCAGCCCTGCTTCTGTTGCTGTCACCAATTGGGACGCTTTCGCCCCTTACACTGTCTCTCATCACACTTCCTCCTCTCAAAACACTTTCCTCTCTCGTATCTTTTTCGGCGAGAGAATTTACAATCTTGCCAAGAGTAACGTGTATCTTGAACAAAGCATTTCTACCAGTAGCATCGAGGCCCAACTTTTTGTTCTCGACGGCCTCAGTCACCTCCTCATATGTGGCGCGAAGCTTATCCTCGGACGAGGCTGGTGAGATATGAAGTTTGGCGAGGAGCGGTGTGAGAGTTTTCTTTTCTTCCACTATTTGAACTGTTAGACTGGGTTTCGTAGCACTAAGAATAAAATTTCAACTTACGTCTCATAGAAGAGTTTAACCTCTCTAGAATATCCATAGCAAAGTCAAGATGGACATCTCCATTGACTACCTTCTTAGCTGCATCATCGGACAACGTGAGTTGATTTCCAGGAACATAGCATTTTCTAGGGTCTGTCCAATCTACCAAATGAGCACCAATCGTCCCAAGACCAACCATTTCAGCCTCAGCATCCTCATCGTCATCTTGGGTTTCAAAAAGTTTGTGCATGGCATCTAATGCCACTCCACGCATCCTATCTTGATTTTCTGCTCTGCTATAACAGTAGACCGGTAGGAAATAGGTAAGTGTTTGACGAACACCTTGATTGTGAGCTGTGCTGGGATCAAAGTAAAGGACAACCAATGTCTTCAATAGATCATCGATAGCAGACGAAGCATCCGTAATTACACGTCCCAGCAAGAGCTTAGCAACAGCAACGGTAGCTGCTGCCTGGACTTCAGGGTCTTTGGCGCCGGATTTCAAAGCCTTCAAATAGACCTTGGTCAAAATTGTAGGATTCGACTCTAGAAGTTGGGCACCGTGTTGGTTGAGCATGTCGGTCAAGATCTGCAAAGCAGTGATCTGAAGGGCAGAGTGGCCTTTGCTAAAGAAATGTATGAAAAGAGCCAGATTCTCCTCAGCCAAAGATTTGTCAAGAAGAGAACACAGGCCAATACAGAGAAGACCACGTTCTCGCACAGGTGCTTCGTGGCTACGCACAGCTGGCACAACAAGGTTGTTGAGCATGGCTACAAGATCCGGATTCTCCTTAAGACTTCCTTCAACATTTTCAAGCATACATTGCACAATATGCAAGCATTTCATATTAACCATAATTTCACGGACCGCTTTCTCTTGCTCCTCTTCCTCTGTCATTGGAGGCTTTTTCTTGCCTCTAGTGGGCTTCTCGTCATCACTGACGTCAGATCTTGCAGAATGGAAGCTCTCTTCCGCATCCTCGAAGTCTTGTTCATCCGTAACCGTATCATGAACATCTGCAACAGCTTCCAGGACTACACTACAAAATTCCCTTTCACCAGCAGGGGTTGCGGCACAAATTCCTCTGAGGACTTCAACGGTTAGTTTGGTAACTTCCTCAGGCAGCTCCGGAATCGCCAAGTGCTGTCTCAGAAGCGTAAACATCTTCCGTCGTCCAACTTCATCTGAGTAGTCCAGAGTTCGAGCAATGTGGAGTAGTTGCTCGACAATGAATTCTTGCTCTACTGTATCTTCTTCTTCCGCTACATCCTCGGTGATCTCCTCCTGTGTTGCAATCCTCTTGAGAGTCTCTACCAAAACGGCGGTGTACCTGTGGAGGTAAAATGCCAGCTTCGTGACTTCGGGCATTTTCTCTTCAATCAAAGCCTCATACTTGCTATTTCCATCATTCCGACAGAAATCATTGAAACTCCTTGCCATGAATACAGCTTCCGCCGATAAAGTGTCCCAGAAGTGATCATCGAATGTAACGGCGTCTCGAAAATCGGGTCGCCCCTCCCAAAAACCCTTCATCGCCTCTAGCGCAACCCCATTTTCAACCCCAGAATTAACAACATCAATTCTTTCGAGAAGCTCTAATAGCGCGTCCATGTTCGGCGCTCTATTTTCTTCGGCTACCTCACCTTCCACAGATTCTGCTGCAGCTGATGCCAAACAATCTTCAATCCAACGTTCTCTGAAGAGTCTCCCTGCCGCTTTGCGAACGTTTTCATCTCGGTCGCGAAGACCCCATCGTAATAACTTTTCACGCATCGAAAGTGATAAATGACGGAAATCCCCGAGAGCTGGCAGAAGTCGAGAATACAGTGCCCGACGAGTTGCAGGGTCCTGATCTCTGGCCCTTTCTAGCAAGTATGGTAGCGTATTTGGTAATATTGGTAAATTGATCAAAAGAGACCTTCGAACATCGGCACTAGGATCATTTTGCAAAACCGCCAATAGTTTTACAAGCAAACCCCCGGAGGATTCGTCATCGCTTTCATCTGCCTCCCCTTCTGCTTCGTTTCCAGCCAATCTGCCAAGACCTAGCACAGCTTGCACTCTCACCATCGCTTCTTTATCATGAATTCTGCGCAGAAGCCCATGTCGGAGTTGTTGAAAGAGATCGTCATCAATCGAATCGAGAGAATTAATAATATGCGAAATCAGCTGCGTGGATCTGAATCGCACAAATTTCTCTTTGGCCGTCAGAAGAGGCAATATAGTCGTCATGAGGTGACTTGTGAGTCTAGTACTCGGCGTCTCAACCAAGACTCCATCCTCCTCTTCATTTGCTGGGGTCACTTCGTTGTCCTTCTCATTAGCATGTCTCAAGAACAGCCCGATAAAACGAATCGCCTTTTCTCCAACACTCTCACTCTTCTTGATCGGCATCACTCTTAGAACACATCTTGTGAACTCGTATGTAAATTCCTCCTCATCAAAATCTTCCGCACCAGTTTTATTTTTCTTGCTAGTTGGCTCATAGCAGCAGGCCTCTTGTATTTTACGCAAGTTGACGACCAGTTTTCTATGCGATGCAGTGTTTCTTTGGGAATCTCGAAATATAGATGAAATTTGCGCGCGCAACTCATTGTCGGGTGTCTCTTCTGGAATCTCAACGTATGGCGCTGAGGATTTGGATGTAGCAGATCTGCGACTACCTGGTTCCACCGTAGATGATTTGCGGGATCCAGAGACGGATGTCCTCGAGCTCCTGCTAGGGACTTTTCCTGGCATCTTGTTTCCTTGGGTTTGGGTGTGAAATGAAAAATTGCGTTTATCGTGGATTGTTTCGTTTGGTGGTCGTATATTCGTTGCACGTGGAACACGCAACTGCGTTATCTGTAGAGGAGACTATAGTGAGAGTCGGAATAGTATTTTCGCAAGCTGCATGGACGCGTTAGATGATCAATAACTTTTTCATTTCAAACTTGATGTTTGCTGTTTGTTGACATTGATTTGTTTACTTTCCTACCCTTGCTTAGTCATGACCCGTTGTCAGCGATAAGCGATAAGACCCGCCTGCGGGACAAAACGGGCCAGTGCGAAGCATTTAGAATCGCATAAAGAATCTCGGGAAGTGTCAAAGTTGAGTGCAAAAGCTTGCTTCAATTGGGTTCTCAATTCATTTTGAAGATGTTTCGATATGGTGTTCGTCGCTTCGCGACCACAGCTGTAAGAGCTGCGGAAAATGTTGCTCAAATGGAAGCTCCAAATCAATATGGAATTGGAGTTTCTAAAGCTCAGGGTGTGGTAAAGGGTTTAACTGGAGGTTCGTCGAATCTTGGTATTTTATGGCGCATTATGAAGCATTGACTAAAGGATCATAGCAATCGGAAACACTCCACTCATTCGATTAAATCACATCTCTGATTCAACTGGTTGTGAAGTACTGGGAAAGGCAGAGTTTATGAACCCTGGAGGATCAATCAAGGACCGAGCAGCTCTATATGTTGTGAAAGATGCCGAAGAGAGGGGATTATTGAAGCCAGGAGGAACTGTTGTCGAAGGAACCGCTGGAAATACAGGCATTGGTCTCGCACACGTTTGCAGGTCTAAAGGTTACAAGCTCGTCATCTACATGCCCAATACACAATCTCAAGGAAAAATTGACCTTCTGAGATTATTGGGTGCCGAAGTGTATCCAGTACCAGCAGTAGCTTTCGACAATCCACAAAATTACAACCATCAAGCAAAGCGACATGCGGATAAATTAGAGAACGCGGTTTGGACAAATCAATTTGATAACATTGCGAATAGACAAGCCCACATCGAGACTACCGGGCCAGAGATTTGGAATCAGACCAATGGCAAGGTGGATGCCTTCACCTGTGCCACGGGAACCGCAGGTACTTTGGCCGGTATCACTCGATACCTGAAGACAAAGTCCGACGGGAGGGTCAAATGTTACCTTGCGGATCCTCCAGGAAGCGTTTTGCATTCATACATTCAGTCAGGTGGAAAGCTGGTGGATAGAACTGGCTCCAGTATTACAGAGGGAATCGGTCAAGGCAGAGTTACAGACAACTTAAAACCAGACATTGATTTATTAGACGGCTCAATGCACATTAGTGATGAGAAGAGTATCGAGATGGTCTACCGTTGTTTAGATGAGGAAGGGTTGTACCTTGGAGCGAGCTCTTGTTTGAATGTCGCTGCTGCAAAGGAACTAGCCGAAACACTCGGAAAAGGCCACACTGTTGTGACAATACTATGCGATGGCGCATACAGATATGCGGATCGATTGTTTTCCAAGAAGTGGTTGTCGGAAAAGAAACTTCTAGGAGCAATTCCAAAGCATTTAGAGAAGTATATTGTGCTTCCTTAGATTATTGTACAAGTATATACAAATACAAAAGTTTTCATCCGATCATTAAAAGAGAAATGTGACTCATGCTGAGCCAAATAAATTGGTATATGTTCTATAACCCAGGTTTCCCGCAGCGATTCCCTTTAAGTCGGATGCGTACCTATTAACACGTTTCTCTAAACGAGGTATGTTCTCCTTCAACTTCGATGAAGCTACCGTTGACGGGTCGAAAACATGTAATGCTGTTTTCATCCCATGTAGCACTGGTACTGCAGCTACAAGCCAATGGTTCTTAGCCCGGATAGTCTTTTTCTGTATTTCCTCCGCAGAATATTCTCCACCATCCATTTTAGTTTGACTGGCTATATCCGAGTCGACGGCGCCGGATTTCGAGTACACCCGTACCTCTGGCCTCTTAAGATTGAGCAAAGAAGTGCTCAAGTCGTATGGTGTTCCAAGTAGCCTTGTAGCATAAGTTGCGACTTTTCCATCCAAATCTTTCCCATCCGTATGTTTTACAGCGCGAACTGCAGCCAACTGCAATAATATACCAATAACTTCCGGAAGAGCCCGTACGTCATTCGCGCCCTCTGCAAGTAATGGGCCCTTATCTCCAGCATGCCTTGGATCCTCAAGCAAATCTGCCACGACTTCTGCCCATGCAAGCGCCTGTTTTGTTTCGTGCTCTTCAAAACCACTGACCTGTGCCTTGTAGTAGATCCAGTACATCATTTGCAGGACAACTTCTTCGTCGTTCAAGCGAAATCCTGTGTAGCGAACTCTTCTTGCCGCCTCAATAACAGCATCCATTCGTCCTACTAGACCGGCCCGTCGAATCATCTGACAATATAGGGCATGGGCTAGAGGCCGTCTACAATCGCGATGTCCCTCAAGGAACTGTGGTAGGTTGTCCCAGTCCTTCTTTTCCATCATGAGGTTTAGAACTTGTCTAAATCCCCTCGTGGTGCCTGGTAGATCTCTCAATTGGTTTATGTGCTCTAAGACAAATTCTTCTCCACCAATCTGGACCTTGACGGGATCAGTCTTGAGTGATTCTGCATGTCTAGTGCCGTATACTAGCTCCTGGTCGTATTCTGAAAGATGTGCAGGTAGGAAAAGGTTCTTTCGGTATTTCAACAGTAAGGCGTCAAGCTCTGCGGAGGAGGTTGGAGAGAAAGATGGAACTTGGCCTACTCTGAAGTCAACACACGGAATACAATTTGGCCATTTCAATCACATACCAACTTTTTGGCATACTGGAGAACTTGTGAAAGATCGTTGTTGTCTGGTCAAACTTAGTGGCGCATGTTTGAACAAGCATTCGCTGCCACGAATGACCTTGGAAAGACCTTTACCACTCATAATGACCTGGTGGTAAATTCAGGTAGCTTTGTAAGAGTGTACAGTTACAATTTGGAGGGGTGAGGTCGATTGTTATCATCAAGGGTTTGGAGTTCTGATTTAAATATTTAGGCGGTGACCCCAAAAGCGGCAGAATTTTTCGGATTGGTCGCATTCAACATCACTTCAATACAAAATCTAGACCACAACAACCATGGCAACCATGACACCCACATTGCGGCCATTGAGCTGTTGGAAATCCCTTTTGAGGCAATCGAGACAACAGAAGACCATTTCCAGATCTTTGACTACATATCATCACTCGAAACCGGCGTCGCAGACTCCTCTTCAGACTCAAGGTCGGCACTCCACCAATTTGAACTCCTCTTTATACTAATACCCTAAATAGCTGTCCGAAAAATCAAAACCTATCCTCCACCCTCATCACCGGCTCAAATCTTCAAGGAACCAATAAAAAACATTCACGCAGAGCAAATTGCCGTCCTCGATCCCACTGGTGCCCGTACCAATCTATTCTCTAAAACAAACCCAGAAGCCGCTAGAGTTGGCGATATTCTTCTCGTACGACTCAAAACCGGCGATCCATTTGCCGGAGTATGCATCAACATTCGACGACGTGGTGTGGAGACGGGTATCTTACTGAGAAATGAGTTGACGAGAGTGGGTGTCGAGATGTGGTATAAGATATACAGTCCCAACGTGGAAGGTATCGAGGTGGTACAGAGAAAGGCCAAGAGAGCCAGAAGAGCCAGATTGACATATATGAGGAAGCCTAAGCATGATATGGGTAGTGTGCAGAATATCGTCTTGCAATACCAAAGAACGAGAGGTGTATTGGGGAGACCTGATGGTGAGAGGAGGCAAACTAGCAAGAAGAAGACAAAGGGAAAGAAATAAACGGCGCCATAGTGGTGAAATATCATGCATTGACTTCATGAAACAAGATAGCGCTTGTAAATTATTGTCATATTACCAAAACACAGGAAGTTTCTATCGTTTCCCTTTGATTTGAATTTCCCGGATTCCGAATGGAGGATGGGCATCCATCTGAATATCAAAGGCAAATGGCACGTTTTTAGCTGGTAGGCATTGCACTTCAATGGATCAGTCAGTTGAGCAAGAAATTACAGCAAGCGCTTGTTTCATTAATGAAACAGATAAGAAAGTCGCAAAGACTACAATGATTGAACGAGGAGGTTGAGCGAAGACTCTACAATTTTTTTGCAATTCATAAATCCCAATTTGATTGACGGGATCATAACGACCTGTATGGAAAGTGACTTTGGCTCTCTATGAACGAAGATCAATGTCTCTAACTATTGCTTCTAACAAATTACCCCATATTTCTCAGACGCATTGAAAGGTCAAGATGCATGTGCCATCCCGTTTCCAACAGCTCCGTCACAAAATCTTCCCTTTCCCAAAAGATTCTCTTCTCTTCCCCATCCTTCCATCTCGCATCCTTCAAAATCATGTAATTCGTGAACGATATCATTTTCATATTTCTCCATAACTCATCAGTCTTCCTGTCGACAAGATCCGGCATGTTGTCGCAGAGAAGAGATCCGGCAGCGACAAAGGCAGGTCTCCTCTCTAGTACGTCTGTGTTGGAGTTGAACAAGGGAGGTGAAGGAAGATATGCGACGTTACGGAATTTCTCGGCGGCTAGGCGTTCCAGCATTTCGATCTTGTATTTGCGGGAGAAAATATACAGTTCCGTGTTGAAAACCAATCGTGAGTCGTCAAGATTTTGAGCAGGTGCAAAGGAATGCGGGGGCTGATGGGGTAGGGGGAGTATGCGAGGAAGCATGTTCAAGTTTGAAGAGGTGCCAGAAGGGTCATCATTGTATCCAGAAGTATAGATGTACGAAAGTGCTGCGTTAACGATGAATGAATGCTGATCTGACATATCAAACCGTCTTAGATTCGTTTCGGTGACGCTCCATCTCTCATCTTCTCTATTGGCGAGGACCGCGGAGCGAGGTAGCAGTATTGCACTATGTGCAAAGATAATGCTGTCCTTGCACTTCAATTCGATATCGTGGTAATCTTTCGATTGGTAAATCCTTACAGGTCAGTTAAGGAAGACAAAAACAGACGGCTTGACTTACGCACGCTGAGCTTCAGCATTTGCTATCTGGTGTTGATTCATAATTGCTTGTAGTGAAGAAATATTGCACCAATATTTTATGGGGATGCGAAATCATGTTTATATTTACAGCGATAGATTTATTCGATGCTTCCAGAGCTTATTCTTTATATGTTTTATCAAAGCTGGCGATATGTCTCAAGCAAGTACTTAACTTTGTGTTGGGTTCAGCAATTGATATCCGTAATGAGTGCACAAACTGACGAAAGGTCTTCACCCTCGATTTCAAAGTTTACAATGATTTGATTCTAGAACCAATATGGCACAGTCTTGTTGTCTACTCTACATTGTATTATCTGATTATTCTTCAAGATAAATGAGTCAGTATTGAAGAGATCTTTCTACATTCAACTTTAGAAGTCTTTTCATAAGATTATACACCCTTTATTGGACATTAGAAATCTGTAAACTGTAAACTGTTCTATAATCCATGAGAGGTATAATTTTAAATGAAAGTATTTGCCTTTTCTTCGAAAAACATAATTTTATTCATTTGCATGTATACCATCATTAGAAAAAAAAAGAATTCGTATCCTTAATAACTGCCAGAACATTCGCCCGCTCAGAACTCCATCCGTCTACAATATCATAAAATCATGCCACACAGCACCCTTAAGAATCCTTACATTGACCACGAGCACCACTGAAGAATTGCGAAACCGATATCACCTCTCTCCTGGCACATTTGAGCGAAATCTTCCCTCGCAAGAAGTCGTTTCATATACCTACTAGCAACTTCCAGAACAGCCTTTCGAAGATCATCACCTTCGGAGATATCAGGTGTACCATCGAAAATGAGTTCGATACTTTGAACAAAGCAACAAGAGTTCCAGTAATTATCTGCGACAAAGGAGTATCTTTGACGAGCAAGTCTCTTCAATGGCTGGATATCATATTTTTCTGCCATGATATAAAGCTTTGCATGCTTGATCAAATCCTTCGCTTGAAGCTCGATGTTTTCGGAAGATTGACCATAAGTTGCGCTGCTGCCAAAGAGACTACCGCGACCTGACCAATTGAATTTGCCTTGAGATAATTGGATTGGAGTCTTCGCTGAGTCAATAGTATTGCCCGAGGTGTTATCTGTGGGTCTACCAAATAGGTTCTGTATTGGAGATGCGGTCGCAGTGGTAGGATGATTGGCAGAAACATTGGGACCAAACAAGTTTGATGTCAACCTACTTGGAGAAACAGAGCGAAACAAGTTTTGACTTGCGGGTGTAGGACTAGCATGAGGAGAAACGTCGCGATAAAGGCTGAATAACGATGGTCTCTCTCCAGATTGGGGTACATAGCTGAACATGTTGCGTCCACTATCTCTTGGTGCTTGTGGAGGTCCGAAAATGGATGCGCCGTTTGAGCTTGGAAACAACTTTTGCGTAGCCGGACTAGCTGATCCAAAGAGTTTCTCAAGTCCACTTGTGGCACTGTTCGCTGGAGCGCGGGAGGATCGCGCAGTAAAGTAAAAACCCGCGTCTGATCCCGATGCTGATTCTCCAGTGAGAGATGTTCCATCTGGCATGACAGAAGTTGCGTTTCCTCCCCACGTCGCAGTATCAGGGTGCTTCTGTTGTTTGGATACAGAGTATAGACCATCGTAAAGATACCTAATCATGTACTCCACAATTTCTGGTTCGTCTTCCTCGAAATCGAAGACACCATCAGTAGCTTCCTGAACCTTGGTGTCAGCAAAAACAAGCCACTCATTATCATGTTGTAACTAAATCACCTTGAATCCATGATCTATAGCCGCAGCAAGAGGCTTTGATTGAGAACAAATAATTGCTCGATGGACTTTGAATTCTTTGCCTTGGCATCTGATAACAAGGTCTGTGTATTTTCCAGTAGTGTACAACCTGTGAATGATCAATATTGTTATGTTGAATGAGGTTGCATATCAAACTTACTGGGAGATAAAATGTGGGTTAGGTTGCTTGATTATAGTATTCAAGAATATTGACTCGGAGGAGGATAGATTCTCGGCCGAGGATTGGTTTGTTGTTTTTGGAAGGTCCATAATGGTTTGTAGAGACTTGATTTGTTTCTCGTATTTGTTTTTGAATACAAAATCTAGTAAACATTAGAACTTAATTAATCTTGCTTGGAAAGGAGTTTTCCTGAACTTTTTCTTCGAGGCTGTAGTTGTGGTTTGGTTATGGTTTCCTGTATGAGCAGAGCTTCTTCAGTTTGTTGTGAGCTCGAGCAGAAAGATACTGACAACATAGCCTCTACACGTGATTGTCTTGAATTCACCTCATTGATTCACTTGTCACATTTCAGGTTTTAGTCTGCATTGCAATGAACAAACACAATGATTATGTGGAAATAAATCATGCAAACATAGAATATGTTACTTGTTCTTTCTTCAACACGTGCGGCATCTGGGTACCTACGTGCTGGCAAACTTCAACATATCCACATGAAAACTATATGTCCAAGACACTTTCACAATGATTGATTCTTGGCCTTGATTCTTAGCATATAGTAGATAGTAAATAGAGCATATCATTCTTGAGTGAGAAGGTGAATACAAAATATAGTACCCACCAAAAAATGAAGATCCAAAAATTGAAGTGAACACTTGACTGCCAATGAACTCCAATGAAACCTTTCCGCCTTCTTCGAAATGATAATAAAATATATTCACTTGCTAATGCTTACCCACCATTACTAGGCCCCATAGAAACGGATCTCAAAATGGCAAAACTCTAGGCCCGGACGCCTAGAATCCCAATGAACCAAATCGTTTTACCCTATCTGAAAGTTCAGATAGGTCTTATATACGTTGTCACTGACGAAGCCCTGCCAATGCAAGTAGAGAGGCGGACAACATTGCTCGGGAATGATGAACTCTACCGCTGCGCCATACGACACGTGGGGGTGCTTGAATGTTTGTCGCCATATTTAGAATTATATCTATGGGATCGGCTAATCTCTGATGCCGGCTCGTACCGCTTTCTATCATTATCACCCTGGAGCCGGTCACATGCCATATATTTGGTAGGTATCAAAGATACTCGATTTTGGACACATCACTAAAGGTTCAAGGCTCAACCCGCATTCGGATTTTACCATGCTATTGGCAGGCAGATACCCTTTGTATCCTTCTTTTAACGCGAGCCTCAAGCAATCATATGAATTGTAACATGATATGCATTCATGGTGGCTTTACCACTTGATGCTCTTCGTAATCGGGTACCATCTTTCGGATGGGTTACTAATATTCCTAAAGCATTTCACTGTTCCAATCCGCTTTTGTAGATCGAATCGCATAGAGGTCTGATACACTCTCTTACTCTCAGGTATGAAGCCAGCTTTTCGACCTTCCTCTTCCAAGCTCACGACTGCTTTGGCAATATTGCCAGCAACAGCACTATCCCACACCCCCTCGCGCCATGACTTCTTCGACAACAACAATGAGATAGCTTCCGATCGAATTGGAAAATTTCGACATTTAAGTGCAACGACATATATCTGACTGATGATTCCAGAATCAAATGTGAAGCTGCCTGTCCATGCTGGATGAGACATTAAGCTTTTTGCTGAATGGAGCACTTCGCGGAAATCTTCCAAGTACTGATCAAGAGCGACTTGCGATGGGATCAATGCGGAGTTTATGGCAATGCGACATAGAATCCAACGTATTTTTAGGATTGTGGCACCTGCGAAGTCTCTACTACTCGGGCAGAGACGGCATTTTTGCAAGACTGGTGCGAATGCCTCGTGCCAAGAAATTAATTCGGCAAGATATCTCTCCTATTCTTCGATCACAGCTGAAGAAGGTTTCGTAATGATGGCTGTCTCATTATCATCCTCATAGCCGCGCATTGTTGCTTGTGCGGTATTCAGCGTGGGCAAAAGATGCAAAAGACGACGCATGATGAGATCCCAATAGGCTTTTGCTTCCGGGAGAGATACAAAACGCGAAGGCATGTTCTTTACACACGAGGATCCGGAATCCTTAGCTAACATATGATAGGCCATGCCCCGACCGTCTAAATTGAAGCTCAAGGAAGCGATTTCTAGTAAGCCGAAGGCCTGGTAGATTTCATCTTCTACATCACTTGGCACTGGAGAAGCCATGCCAAAAGTGACCGGATCGGTCGAAGCATTGGACTCCTCTGCTTTTTGCAGAGGAGACTTATCACTTCTGGATGTATGATCGTGATGATATGCTTCTATGAGACGAATTCCAGCTATGATGTGTACAGTCGCGGATTGTTGTGTCCCATAAAGATTCTCGAAGCATACAATGAGCAAACAAAACAGTAAAGCTGTTCTTAATGAATGGCCTCGTTCAGCGATATCTGTCTTCATCAATCTCACAGCTTTTTCATACTGTTTAATAGCGAAAATATGATGCTCCTCTATAGTTGACCTTGTAACTAATGAGTGTGGCTTTTGCTCTTTCGTATGCAATATTAAATCAAGAGCCCCTATAGCGCTCATAGCATGCCGAATTGGCCGTTCCTGTTCTCCAGCTTGCAACATTAGATGACTCCATAGTTTTGATTCGAAGAATCCGCATAACCGTCGTGTAGTATTTTCCGTGAAGAAACACAAGTACCGGTATTCTTGTTCGGTTTCAACGATGGGAGTCCTTGGTCGCAGGACTCGTATGTTTATACGAGCTGTTTTGGAAGCTGCTTTAGCGTTAGCTACTATTTGAATGGCTTTACAACAAGCAATAGCTAGTAATCGCCCTTAAAAGTATCAGACCTTTTGAGGGTAGTATAGCACGATTAGTTACACTAGATTTTCTCTTTGGCTGCGGTTTCTGAACAACACTCGCGCGCTTATGAGCCTGGGAAAATGCATCTACAGAGTATCCATCGCATTTGAAACCCGAAGCCTTACATCTAGCACAATGCGGCTTTTCTTCGTCACATTTGACTCGTCGTTTTCTGAAATTGTGGCCAATTTTGTCAATTCACGTGACTTTGGTGGTGAAAATAAGGTTTCGGAAATTTAGCACGAACCTGCAAGTCCAACAACCAGTTCTTGTCTAGAAGTGTCATAATGTCAATGTAAAGTTACGTTGAGGAGTTGATGGTAATTGACCTTGGGGAAATATGCTCGCGTTCGCTTGTCCTTTCGTTTCAAGGGAATACTTGTCATTCCACTACTCTTGCTCGCGCCTCGTGGCATATTGGCTCAAGTCACACAAATGATACAAACGCACGATCCGCCTGGAAAGATTCTTTGACACAGGTCTAGGAAATGCTCATAGATGTAATATTTATTCACAGGGAGTTCTATCGGTTTGTTGATTCTTGGATAGGAGTATTCCCATGATACAGCTGAGCTGTGCCTCTACCATGCACGTGCAGTGATCAACGCGCTGACGCCTAGAACCCCTGTCGCGACCCCGTTGGCCAATCCTATTGCCTGCATCTTCACTCATCACTTTCCATAGAACCGCGGCTAAATTCCAGGCCTGATCTTGGCTCTCAAGTTCATAGGTGCTTTTTGAATGACCGTTATCACCGGGAACTTGTCGAAATCCACCTCGTCCTCCGCATCAACTGAAAATTCAAACGTCCATAAAAGTCTAGTGACTGCTAGACGAATTTCTGCCCATGCAAGAGGTTTGCCGAGACAGCTATGGAACCCAACACTGAAAGGTTTGCTAGCCGACAATTGATCATCAGTCCTCGGACACGAGCATGGAACTTGAAGTCTGTCGTAGTGATGAGATTATCGGCTTGATTATTTGGTGCTGAGATGATTAGCAATCAATTTCAAATATACTTCTCCAATTTATATACTAACCAATATACCAAACCTTGTCTCTCAAAGCACGCTTGTGTCCGCGACGAAAAGTGTATATATCGTTCCAAGCTTGCTCGCTCGCAAATGATACTTCATCTGGTGCAAGACGGTAGAATTCTCCTTAGAAGTCGTGGAATTCTTTCACTTTCTTCACGAGCTGTCCTGTGAGAAGGTAGTATATGAAGGGGAGTCGCGAAGCGGTCCAAAGTTTGGGACCTGGAAATTTTGCAAGAGGGTGGAAGTAAATATTGTAGATAGCACTTGATATAGGATACTTTTATTTATGAGCTGTTGCAGTCCTTCAGATATTGGGGGAATGTTACTACTATTAGAGCAAGGAATGCTACTATGATCTTGTTTTCTTCAAGAATAGTTGCTATCGTAGCTGTGACTCCCATGTCGGTGAAATGTTCACGAATATTTTCAGAAATGAATAATTCAAAAGTTGCTAGAGATATTGAGTCACTTAAATATCGATGGGAGGTAAGGTTTGAGCTAAGGTTTGAGGAGAGGGCAAGTCTCCTTTTCTGGATGATGCTGAACGTACACTCCTCCATATCCAACTGTTGCCAATATAAAATGCAGTCATGTTGACACCAACTTACAGTCGATTACAACAAATCAGTTCCCGCAGCGATCTTACTGACCAACCCCAGTGCATGTTTTCCCATTCCAACAATTTATTTCGCCATTCGAATTCTACCATCTAATCAAAGGGTTACTTGAATTTTTCGGATCCGTGAATTTCCAAATAAAGCAATAAAGACATCCTATGAGCTCATTGTTCAAAACAATTATAGTTAAAATCATATTCATTAAACTCATTAGTGATCTATTTATCACCATTACCAAAGATCGAGTCCATAGACTCATTCCCCCAAGATACGATTTTCCCGTTCCCCTATTCTCCCATTTCCATTTCCATTTCCATTTCCCATTTCTATTCGTATCTAGGTGGCGGCAATGCCGTATACGCTCTCTGTCTTCTCTCATGCAACATGACTTCTATCGCCATCGTTGCATTCTCTGCTGTACAAACCAACTCTCCTTCTGCCGCCATCTCCAAAAATACAGTTCTACAAATCGCTTTTGCTAATGTCTCTACATCTCTCGCATTACCCCAGCTATGCGTTGCTGTTAAGAATGTCATCACTCGCAATAATTGTTCATATTCTCTCTGTTCGGTTTGCTTCAGTATCGGAATCGTAATCCCCGCAAGCCCTAATTTGATTTCCAAGATCTGCAAACAATGCAAGGGCGTTAAAGCTGGGAAGTTCATTTCATCTGGGAATCGTGATGCCAGGCCTGGATTTGCTGATAATAAGGAGTTGATTTCGTCCTCGTAACCAGCGAGGATCACAATTAAGTTTCCATGGAACTTCGGCTTTGTGAGCAGATCAACGAGTTCTGAGACAACTTCGGATGTGAAACTGTGGCTTTCGGTATGAGGTGCTAGACGATACGCTTCATCGATAAATAAAACTTTTCCAAGAGCCTTCTCTAGAACTTTCGCGGTTTTAGGCCCTGAATGTCCAACGTATTTGCCAATAAGGTCGCTGGCCGAGCACTCGATGACCGTTTCGTCTGAGATAAATCCCATGTCATAATATACTTTTGCAAACTTGCGTGCTGTGGTTGTCTTGCCAGTTCCTAGAACACAGTTGTCAATACCAGTTATTCCATGAGAAGACGAAAAGTATATATCTTACCTGGTGGTCCCTTGAAGACAAAATTCGTCGGGATGTACTGTCTTGGATTGATGTTTCTTGCCTTCATAGCTTTACAAACATTTTGGTATTGTCCCAACTGTTTAACTATATTCTCACACCCAATGACATCGGCAAAAAGCTTTCGAAGGTTCTCATTTGCCGAACTGCCTCTATCATATTCAGGATCAAAATCCTCCGGTTGGAATATCCATATGCCAGGTCTTTCCTCTACTGGTATTTTCGATATTCTCAATTGGTAGTTGGTTCTCGCAGTCGCAATGAGGTTCTCTACTTCTCCACCATTACCAAAGTTTAATCTGGTCCGAGTTTTCTGAAGTACATCCATAGCAACCTTGATGGCTTCTTCTGTAGCTTCAAGAACATGGAATTCTAATTTCGAGCGCAGGATTTTCTCAAGTTCATCAACCGAAAAGTTCTCAAAGCAAAATGCGCTTTCGATGGGAAATCGTCGACTCAGTCCGGGGTTCGAGTGATTCAGCATCTCCAGCATTGGCTCTTTGTATCCCAGTAAGAGAACGCAAAGATCATCGCCAGGATTTCCTTGCACTTCTGCAACTAGCGTGTCGATGACTCCTTGCCTAAATGAGTCGCTCTCGTTTCCAGTGCCGTCGGAATTCCCACTGTACATCATATATGCTTCATCGATGACCAACACATTACCTCGCGCGGCATTAAGCGCAGCTTTGGTATTGGCTTCAGAATCTCCAATATATTGTCCGATCAAATCACTTGGGTTACGGAAGATTACTTCGCCCTTTGAGAGAACACCGATCTCTGCAAGAATCTTAGCATACAACTTCGCAACCACTGTTTTGCCAGTTCCCGCTGGACCCAGGAATAAGCGATTTAGAGTAAATTGATGCAGAGGCTTTTCTTCCAGCTCTCGCTGATAGTTTGACTTCACGAGCTCAAGGAGTGTAAGCAGAGAAGTCTTAACCTTTTCCAGACCAATAAGCTTTTGAAGTTCCTGCCAAGCCTCGCTATTTAGTATTGCAGAAGAAGGATCTGGACCGAGAATGTCTTCTTTTGTGAATAGGAGGTCCTCTGGATCAATTGCTGGGGTTTCTTCAGTATCCGATGCCGAATCTGAGTCTTCTTCGGTCGACTCTTGTGCTTCATCAGCCAATTTGCTATCTTTGGAGGATTTGTCCTCCTCAACTTTGTTTTCATTACTAGCCTCGACTTCTGAAGGGTCTTCATCTTTTGTTTCTAATTCTTTGGCGATCTCTACTTCCGTTGGGGCTGTTTTTCTCGATGATGCCTGCTCATTCACCACCACCTCGTCATTTGTAGACGAGGGTGTCTCTTCGTCTAATTTTGGCTCTCCTGGTTTGACCTCTTCTATGAAACTTTCATCTATGGGCTTTGTCACTTCTGCTGGTTCCGAGACCACCACAACAACAGGCTCTTCTTTTGATTTTGTCTCGCTCCCAAGATTGTTGCTGGCTGGAATCTCCAATATCTCTGCTTTGGTGTATCTTTCGCGCAGCGATTTTCCTGTGTCTTCCTTTGTCTCCTCGCTCTTGATTCTTTTGTCGTCTTTCCATACATCGGCGAGTTCCTTCGCAACAACAATGTTTGGACCGGTATCTCCTTCTACCTTGTCTCTCTGACTTGCTTCTTGGCATGCATTCTCTCTGGTGTCAGATTTATGTTCTGTCCCACAGTTTGTTTCTATTAAAGGCTCATCTTGCGGCTTGCCTTCGGCTGTCTGTTCGCCAGTAGTACCCTCCTCGATCGTCTTCTCTTCAACTGTCTTCTCTCCCCCTGAATCCTCTACATCTGGCTTCTCGTCACCGGTCTTCTCCTCATCTTCTTTCTTCTTCGCAGCCTCTTCTTCCACAGCCTTAGCAGCTCTCTCTTGTCGAATTTTAGACAACCTAGCAGACTGCCTCTCCCAGATTTGAGCGACAAGATTTTCAACAGCTCTAGCATTACCGAATTGAGAGCCTCCTCTCGTTCTACTAACTCTCCTCGCCGCAATCCGCATATAAAGTCCATCATTACCCCCCTCAACCTCCATTTTCCCATCAAACTTCTTCTTGATACACGAATTGAGAATCTCAAGTAACTCAGGCTCTGTAAAATCGTCGAATGTGAGGACATTCGGAAGCAGACTGGCAACGCTCTTTGTGCCATGGCCTAAAAGTTTACGCATTCCTTTTTCGTGTCCAGCGAGAATGAAAACCGCAGATCCTTTCTTCTGATCGATTTCCTGGAAGAGAAAATCGAGAATCTTGGGGCCGTTGCTATAATCATCTAAAGTCATTGCATCGTCGATGAACATTACACCGCCATTAGCTATTTTATCAACATATCGTTTTGTTCTTTCAATACCCCCATCGGAAAGATATGTACCCGTTGTCATGACAATATCATCGCTTTGAATGGCTCCCACCGAATACAGATATTTGGCATAAATCCTGGCCATGGTGGTTTTTCCAGTCCCTGAATTGCCTATAAAGACTGCGCCAAATCTCTCTTCCTCCAAATCGATTTTCTGCCGAATCGAACTCTCAACTTTGGCTTTGAGTTTCCTCACATGCTCTTTTACTTTCCTTAACCCGGTCATAGCCATGATTTCTTCCCAGGCCTTTTCTCCTTCTTCCGCTCTTTCCTTTTTATGTCGTTCGTTCCTCTCGGCAATTTGTTCGTCCGTATCTGAGTCTGAATCTGATCCAGCATCAGATGCACTATCGTCTTGCCTAGAATATTCAGGAGGTGGTGCTGGCCCACCTTTTCTGCAACTAGGCCCCCGAAGAGTAATCCATCGATGGGTCCTGTAATCCCATACATAATTCTTTGATGGCCAATCCAAATCCACAGGCATATTTTTCGGACACCAACGATCATTTGAATGTATCAAAGTATTCTCATCAGGCTCCTCAGGTATACATATGCATTTCGATCGTTGATTGGGTCCCCAGAATGATGTGATCGTCCATACCTCTTTCCGTTGTCTTTGATAATCGGGATTCCAGATACAACTTGTTGTTGATAATCTCTCTAGTCCAAAGGCTGTCTCGAACTCAGAAAGCTGACATACCATCGATGGTGGAATACCTATAGAATCGTCTTTTGATTCAAAAAATTCTTCTAACCATAGACGAATAGCTTTAAGCAGGTAAGGAATTTCAGGAGTGAGATGAGTCGGCACAGGTGTTAGTTCCATACACCCTTCTATCTCAATCTCCTTTTGCTCACAGTCCTCTTCTGGGATAGCCATAACATCATCATCCAAAAGAACCTCCCCAAGAAACCCTGGACTCCTAACATCGACCGCCGAATCCATAAACGGAACCTTGACATCAGAAAATTCAGCATCGAGTTTCAAAATTGGAAAATTGATTCCGCTCTCTCCCTTCACTATTCCCTCCATTTCACCACCCTTCTTCGTCTTCTCATCAAGCACCCCAAAAAGAGGCAGATTTCCCAACCCCTCACTCTTATCTTCCCCCACCAACTTACTCAATATTTCTCTCCCCTCATCCTCAGCAATATCAACCTTATACAGTCTCTGTAACGCTCTTCTCAACTGTCCCTCCACTGCATACACATCGTACCCCAACGCATGTCTGGCCTGAGATTTCCTCACAAAAGGGACTAATTTCCGATAAACTTCCGATGCATTCTCCAGAGCAAGTATGACTTGCATTAACACGTTCTGACAATCTTTTGTTGTGTTGGTGCAAGAGATGCATGTACTTTTCGATTCTGGCGGCATCTTCGGGGTTGTGAATGTGAGATTGCTTCTGTTTTCTGACTGGTAGAAAAGTAGTTGAGTATAGAGATAGAGATATGACGGTATGAGTGAGTGGTTTTCGCTTATACTTAAGGTAGTCTGTTGTAATGCAAAAGTAGACCCGGTTGTACCGCCCGCGATTCAATATATATAAACCTCGTGATAATGAGTATTCAATCGAAATGCAACTCCACTTCAGCTCAATCAATTCAATGTTTCGCCTGATTTATAATTCACCCAGTTAATTCCAATGCAAACATAAACAATAATCCAAAGAAACAAGAAATAAATCAAATCAATTTATTCACCGTGAGAAAATGGCTTCCACGACTTATATCCATTTCCTCGTCCAATACCTACCTCCTGATCCGCCTACCATAGGTCGCATAGCGTTAGCCTCAGAGCACCAAGATGCAGGTCAGATAGGCAGACAATCCAATCAAGCGAAAACGATATGCATAACGAGGCTAACAATGTTGCACCGCTGCTGCAAGTCCACTCCTCAAGGAATCCGCTCCTCCTATCATCACGCAAGAAAATTCGCTGCTGATGACCCTGTATCGTGTCGATGAGTCAAGGCTGAGCGGTCGCCAGCGGTCTCAAGTTAATGGCGAGAAAATGATATGTGGTGCATGGATTACTGGATACGCATGTTCCTATCTACGTATAATACGCCACTTTTGATCGTTTTTGCCTAATCCGTGCATGAGATACTTAACCCATTTTCGTCTGTTCGTCTACCTGTCTACTCCGGATTTCCAAGCAAATATTAATAAGCTACGCTAGGTACCTAAATACATACATAGCTCTTTCACAGCGCCAATGCAGCGATAAGAAGCCCGAAACCCCGATAAGATTGGTAACGTAGATGAGGCCTGCGGGGGCCCTCAGATGATAACCAAAATGCAAGCGAAAAGCGTGAAGTTACCTACTTAAAGTTAACTTGACAAACTCGGTGAAGCGGCGCGGGGATAGCAGAACAGGGATTCCACATGCGCTCCATTTGCATGCCTTAAACGCACAGTTAGTGACCGGTAAGACCATCTCAGCCTCATTTTTGTCCTTCCTTTCACAGCTTTTTCACAGCAGCTGCATGGGAATTTCTGCGCGGAAATGGCGAATCGTGGGAATATATTTGCGTGCAGAGGGTGGGGTGATGCGGGAGCCCGGGAAAAGATGCTGTGAAGAATGCTGTGAGGAGTGAGATGTGGGGAGAAGGATTCTGCCTTGGGTGTGAGAGTGGAGATTTTTTCGGCGGAGGATGGATGATATCATGCACGTGAGTCATGTGGGCCGCTCGCGAGTATGTGTGTGGCCGGTTTGGGGGTTGGTTGAGGCTCTGGAGATTATTGATGTTGGAGGAAGTGGCAATTGAGGGATGGCGACTCGCTACGAGGGGCTGTCAAATATTGGGTTCAAAATATACTATTTCTCAAGTCTTAATTTTTAGTCTCACGTTTTTCAGGCAAGATCTCATTTGGGTTTTAATTGCTAGACATCATCGTTATTCGTCATCGTTTACATCTCGCCCCTCCAATCTAGACCCATCCAAAACAACCCCTCACTCCCCTCCCTATCAACTATCCCACAAAACACCATTCACAAACCCCTCTCAGAATCTCGCACCAGTATTATCAGCCCATCCTGCGACGTCCCCCAAGATATCCCCCTTCTTCTCCATGCTCTCCTCACACACTCTTCTTCCCCTAACCGCACTCTGCTCCCAATCTCTGCCCACTCTCCTATCCCTCTTGACTCTCCTCTCCTCCCCCCAAATTAGCAAATCCACTGCAAATTCTCCTTTCGCACTCAACAGCTCTCTCAACTCTTTAACCTTCATAATGTCCCCAACTGTGAACCTTTCCATCAAACCTTTCACAGCTATCTGTCTAACATGCGTGTATAGTCCCGGTGTTTCTTCATAGATGTATCGCAATACCGATGCGAAATGTGATAAAGGAAGATATGAAAGAGCGGTTTGAAGGTTCGAGAGAGTGAGGACTTGTAACGAGGGGATGTCCCAGAGACCAGAGAAGATGTGCAGTGCTACGTGGCGAATGCATCTAATCGCTTCGTCTGATGAGGAGCGTGAAGAGGACGAGGTATTAGACGGAAAAGAAATAGTATACCCTCCGGTGTAGAGAAATTCGACCATTAATCCCACTATTTCTGGGTCGTCATTTTCGTCGCTCAGTATCATTTCTCTTCTTGTCCCTTTCTATAATTCAAGAAAGATCAGCAAAATTTAGGTAACTTCACATCATTTCAATACCATAGTAATGGTAAAAGAAGACCAGAATTGGCAGAGTAAAGCTCACCAAGAATTTTCCAGTGTCCATCGCTGCACCAAATGGTCTAGACTGCGGAGCAACGACATCCCTGTGGACGAGAAATGAATGGCCTTTACACTTGATAGTGAAATTTGAGGGTCCATGTTTATCGCTTGGTTTATATGCCCTGAGAAATAGTTAGAGACTCTTTCTTATTTCTCTTGAAAACAAATCTCGCGATGATTCGACTCGGCTGAATTAGGGGTGTTTCTGAAGGAGGACTTACATGTCTTCTAGGGCTCCTGATGTTTTTGATGTCATTTCTGGTTCCGTGGTAAGTGTAGGTGGAATTTATCTTCCGGTTTCGAGCACTTTTTCATGGTCAAAATTTGAGATGGAGAGCACCCTTTTATAAAGAAGCTTGTTGAGAAGAATTGCTAAGAAATACTTGTAAAGAAGGTCGAAGGGTGTGAATGAGTTTAGGCTTTGCAGTAAATGGGTATCTCGGTTAATTTGAATGTGAGATGGAAATTTATCCATCAAGATAGTCATTTTTAAATGTAAGAGGGAGTGGTAATGAAAGAATGTGATTGTACATGCAGCTATAGCCTTACGTTTATATCGTAAATGAAGGCAATTAACGGACGAAGACGTAGTGAGGTAGAAGCTACTGTGCACAGATATAACAACACCAAGAGCATATAGTGTTGAAGAATTGTACTAGATAGAGGATAAAATTGTAATTCTGTATGTGGAGCCAAGGACGCGTTGGCTCTTGAGCTTATTTATTGATCTTTGGACCTTTGCTCAATATAGAGAGCCATTCTGTGAGTCTGCAGTTGGGCTTTCAAGAGGTCCATTGCCATGATTCCATTCCGTATAACAAAAGCTCTGAAGTCACGACCGTTCATCAAGGGCTCCAAACATTCATGCTTGAGAACGTGATGCAAGATGACATGTTTGAGATCAGTATCCAACTCTGGAAGACATGCATAAGCGAGCTTCAGCATTTTGAAGACTGCATCAGTAGGAGAACAACCGCGCCGTGAACATTTGTCCAGAAAGACTCCAACCTTGGAGGCAGCGTTCTCCTTGAGGAAAGGAATATTCCATTTCCCCCCCACAATGTAAAGTTTGGTAAGAGTGACGAGGTCATGTTCATCATCAAGAGAGCGGTGATGGAAAAATCGAATCATTCTTTGAAAGACATCGAGATCAGCCACATCAGATTCGAGCAGTATCTCACAAGCAGTACCATCCTAACCAAAATTAGTTTCTACTCTTCAAACACAGCATTTTGAAGTAGAAAAGTGATAGCTTACTTTTCACTCGCGATCCATCATAGCAGTGAAGAATTCGGATTGTACGCAAATGACGTTTCTGTGCACGTGGAATGTTACTCCTTGGAATATAATGATAAGATCTGAGTACTTATCCCCTGCCTTGCGGATCCTGCGGTGAATGTCAATATGACCCGGTTATGTAACGTACAATATTTGTTAATCATCTTTACTTACAATTCCCCCAAGCAGTCCATGTTATTAGCCATTGTCCAAAATTGAAGAGATGAATCCGGTTCGTAGTTGGCGATTGTGAAATTCTTGGTATGGATTGCGACACGAAAGACGACCTTAAATCAAAATTTATAAGGAGATCGAGACATATTATACCACTGGTAGCAGATTATGCACGAAGCTCTGAGTACATTCGATGTAGATAGATAGAATAGAATGTCCCTACACCTTTGGTCTATTCCCCTTTCTTTAGCTAATTATACATCGCACTGAAAGGCAAACAGATCGCCAGGATCCTTTCAATATAGCATGGTCACATTCAAGGAGTGCTATCAACATTTTTGCCCTTTCTAGCGATTTCTGTAGACCTCAGCAAGTTTCTCAAGCTTCCTTCTGCATGCGATCCACTTCTCGCCCTGCCTTGAAAGGTTCGCACTGGACTAGGTGGTTTACTCCATGGTAGCCACGAACTCAAACTACCAAGTATAGACGATCTCGGCGAGGTCTCAGGCCTCAGTGTGGAAGCTATTGACTCATTGCGTATTAGAGTAGGCTTTGGTAATGTCAACTCATGGAAAGTGGAAGGCCGATCAGGAGTAAGTTCATCAAGGGCAGGCATATGTTCAAGGTCCGCACCCGAGGTTTGAGGTCGAGCAGGTTCGCTTAAAAGGAAGGCAGGAGATGAAACTTGAGGTTTATGTTCCTGTCTGAAGCTTTGGGCATTGTCTATAACCATGGACGCAAATGTGGAAGATCTTGGCCTGGCGTGCTTGGAGGTAGGGCTCCTTTCAGAGATGGCTTCTGGGATCGCAGCATCTATTATCACATTGGGACTTGGAGTTGATACTTCAACCTCCTTACTTGTTGCTCTTCCACGAACCTCATCTTCCAAAACAGCGGCAGGCTTTTTCCTGGATTTATCCTCGTCAGAAGATCTTGATGATGATATGATGGTCTCTAGTGTACCATACGCGGCAGATTTTCCCCTTCGACTTCCTCTTGAGCTTCTGGCTAATTGTCTTGGAGAAACTTCATCCGATTCAACGGCCTGTAATGTCGGTACACCTAGATCTGTCGCGGAAACAATACCAATTTGAGGTATGCGATCTCCCGATCCATGAGGGGGGTGATGGAATTCATGCTGATTTGCCAAACTATACTTGCTCCTTGCACATATCTCCGCAATCCTCTCTAAATCGTCACTAACACCATGTTTTATTTCATCCATAATCCCCTTGAAGCTGAAAGCCTCCACCGACGGAAGTTTCATATCCATTTTGTTTGATGCTAGACCCGTTGTTCCATTCTGTTTCTTGGCTGCAATAGAATCTCGTTGTTGAGAGCGAGGTCGAATAGCTCCTGAGTAGGTCCGCACGATCACCGGTTGATTGAATGTTTCTCCCGTGGATTTCGCATAACGATGATCGGCTCGATTCGCGCCGTTGAGAGAACGAAGAGCTGCAAGACGATTTGCAACCTTAGCCTCGTCTAGGATATGTTCCCCACGGGCAGCTTCTTCGGATTCCACAAGACTGGCAGTTGAAGTATTAGATGTCCATAAACTTGGTGGAAGGAAATGAAGTGGGAGCGAATGACGTCTATTGTTATTTTTATCGGTATTCGAATTCGAATTAGAATTCAGAGAAATGTTTGGGTTGAAGCTTGAGTTTGAGTTTGAGTTGTGGGGATTTGAGGAGGATTTTGAAGTGGTGTGAGGTCGCATGTGAGGGGTTGATGCATCTCGCACAATTAACGGTGTTCCAGTGGTTGTCATGGTTTGTGTACGGGTGGTGAGTGGATACTTTTCTATCTCAATCTCAATCTCTCACTCAGGATTGGAAAAGACAAAGACAAGACATTGTTGTTCTAAATATCAAATCGCAAGTATTACCAGTATTGGGAGAAGTAGATAGAAAGAAGCAATTGCTGCATTACATGGGCTTTTTTACTCGTATGAATATGTGAGATGGTAATAACAGAGATTGAAATGTTGTGTTGTCAATACTTCGCTCGACTTTATGGAGTTTTCGTGGCGAGCTCCCTATGGTTCTTTTTATCAGAGCCAGTCAAACTGAGTTCCCAATGCTTTTGGAGCTCGAAGTGGCTTATGTGCGGTGAAGGAATTGGTAGAGAAGGAAGGACAAATGCATTTATTGGTCGATTATTATTAGATAAGTGTAGTTGTGTAGCGGGGAGTGGTGGTGGTTGTGGTGGTTGTGGTGGTTGTGGTGGTTGTGGTGGTTGAAGGAGGTGCTTGTTTGCGGTGAAGGGTTAGAAGAGGAGAGGAGAGAAAAAGAAGAGATAATGGAGTGAAATGATTGGTTGATACTCAATTCAAATATAATAATAACTGGCAAGCCGAGGCATATGATTATCTAAGTATGATATAATAATAATAACGTGGTTTATTAGTGAGCAGGTTATATTAGTAAATAGGTTACTTATTTTATATTCAAAATTTATCATTGAGTAAACTATATCATTGAATGAACTATTTTTATCTCAATAAATACAATCAACTTCAATATACGATTTATTAACCATTTATTATATAATTTAATAATAAAGAAATATATTTGCTTTTAATTATTAAAGTTATTGAAAACAATAAAAAACTAAATTTTCGAAAAGCTTCCTAATTATATAATATCTCTTGTATAATCCTTATTTATAGAATAAATGATTAACTTTATGTATCAAAATTCGAGTGAATTAATATAAACTTATAAAATTAGAAAAAAAAGTTATTATTTAATATATTCTTAATATGGATTCAAAAGATTTTTTATTTAAATATAAAGAAATAGAAAATATAATGAATTATATTCTTGAATCAAAGGGTATAAAGCATATTGAAAAACTTTGGGTATATTGATTTGTAAAATGTTAAATTAAATTAAAAATATATTTTAATTATATTTATAACTTTTAAAGAATTCTTTATAAAGATTCTAAGTTTATTAAAAAGTAGTTTTGATTAATTATAAATATATAAGCGAAATATAGTATTTTGGATAAAGATTTCTATAATTTTAATAAAATAAGCTTTATAATAAGGATTATATATATAATAATAATTATTATTAGTATTAAGAGATGTAATAGAAATAAATCAATATAATTAGGTAATCAAGAATGGGTTATAATAATAATATATGGAAATAAAAAGAATAAAATTATTCCTTTATTTCTAATAATTCAGGATTAGATTTATTTTTCTAATTAATATATTGAAATTAATCTTTTTATAAAATAAATTATTAAATCTATATTGAATAAATAAATAAATAATAAAATAGATTTAGAATAATTGAAATATTTTGATAAATATATTAAAAATCAAAAAAGAGTAAATATTGAATATTGATATTAAATAGATATAAAAACTATAAATCAATAGTTTTTCAAATATATTATAAAAAGAATAATATTATATACTTAAATCTATCACTATATTCAAATCATTTAATTCAATCATTTGATATAAACTATTTTAACAATCTGAAATATTTATATAATAATCAAATTAATAAATTTATTAAGGCATATATCAATTATATTTCGAAAATTGAATTCTTTATAACTTTTAAAGCTATATATAAAGAATCAATTATTTCTTAGAATATAAAATCAGGATTTTGAAAAATAGATTTAATTCTATTTAATTCTGGAATTATATTCTCGAAATTAGATATTCGAATTTGTATATCTACCCTCCCCACTTTCAATCTAAATCAATAAATCTCTTAAACTTCTTATAATTCAATTAAAGCTTTTTTTCAATCAATATTAATCAAATCTCAAATAACTTATTATCAATCAAATTCCCTTATACTTATATTTGAGATTATACTAATTTTAATCAAAAATATAGAAAAATTAGTTTATAAGAATATACTTTTAAATATAGAGATTTATATACTTCAAATAATAAATGAAATATTAAATAAGTATTAATATACAAAAAAAACCTAATTATATTAAAAAGGAATACTTACTAAATAAAAAACTCTTAATATATTATTTCAATAAGAAATTGATATTCAGATTTAATACAATAAGTATTAAAAAGGAAGAAATTCTAATAGAAAAGTATCTTCTAATTAATATTATAATAAATATAGAAAAATAGATTATAATATAAGAACCTATCAAAATAATATAATAGATCCTAGATTATTAGAATCTTTATAGTTTTAATCAATTAATATTATTGTTATTGAATAATATAGTTTTGAATAAATGAATTGAAATAAAAGTGACCCACTCACTAATATGACCCACTCACTAATAAAACACGTTATATATAAATATTATAAAAAAAAGCATAGACATTTTATTTATTTAAATAATATATTCAATACTCTTTACTCAGAAAATATTTAGATTTAATTATTACAATAAATATTCTTTTAATATTAGATTTACAAAAAAGAAGAAAGAGTAATTTATATAATTATTGTGTTTTTCAATATAAATAAAAAGCTAATAATTCTTCAATACTTTATCGATTTGGGAGTATAAATTAATATTATTCAATAAAGCAAATATGTAGAGTGGGATTAAATATTAAATAAAAAGAATATTTCATTTATATTTACAAATAATATTGCTATTATTTTATATAAGGATTATAAGTTTATTATAAAAATAAAGGATAATAAAAAGAAAAAGAAAACTTATATTCATAATTTTATTTTTGTTATATTAGATTTATTAAAAATAAACACTATTCTAGGTTTATCTTGATTATAAGTAATAAACTCAAATATCAATTAGAAATCAATATTCTTTCAATATTATTCCAATCTTAATAACCTTAAGATAATTCTGATAAAGGAATTTTATTGAAAAATAAAACAAAATAATCAAATCTTTATAACATTTTCAAATAATAGTATATTCTATTAATTAAAAATATAGAATTATATAATACTTATATTGGAATCGCTTATTATATTAAAAAAATTCAAAAAATATAAAATAATATTCTTAAAGAATAAAAGTAATCTTTTACTTAATTATTATTTAATAAAATATTATATTAATCTCAAATCCAATTTAATTTCTTTTTGAAGCTCTATCTATTTCTTATTAAAAAAGGAATCCCTAATATTATAGGAATATTTTAAAGAATATTAAAAAAAAGAGTAAATTAAAAAATTGATTAATTTAATAAATATTTTAATTATATTTATACCTAAATAAAAAAAAGGCTATCAATTATATATCAATTATTACAAATTAAATTAAATTATAAAAAAAGATAAAACTTTATTATTCCTTATCAATAAATCTCTAAATTGATTATAATAAAATACTATTTTTATAAAATTAGATTTAAGAGATATATATTATTATATTTATATATGGATAGGAGATGAATGAAAAATAGTATTTTGTATATAATATAATTAATATAAATATAAAATAATATTATTCAGTTTTATTAATATCTTAATAATATTTCAGATATATATTAATCAAATGCTAATAGATTTAGCAAATAATGTTTATATAGTATATTTAAATAATATTCTAATTTATTTGAAGAATAAGGTTATATATATAACGAATATTCGAAGAGTTTTTGAATATTTTATTAAATATAAACTCTATACAAAACTAAAAAAAATATTTTTTATGTAAATAAAATTAAGTTTTTAGACTTTATTATTTCGATTATAAGAATTATAATAAAATCAGAATATATTTAGATTATAACGAAATAATTTATATCTAATAATCTCCAGAATATATAGATATTCCTTAACTTTATAAACTTTTATTAATACTCTATTAAAATCTATTTGACTATAGTTTATAATATAATTATATTAATAAAAAAAATAAAAAATAAAAAAAATATAATCAAATTCAAATAAACTAATAAAACCTAAAAGACTTTTGAAATTCTAAAAAAAACTTTTATTTTAATATTAATCCTTTAATACTTTAACCCTTTACTTTATATAATAATCAAAATCGATATATTGATATTTATATTAAATTATATATTATTATAATTATTTTTTATAAATATAAAGATATTATTTATATAATAATAATATTTTATTATATTTTATTTAAAAAAACTAAATTCTGTAGAATAATGGTATTTTATTTATAATTAAGAGTTGTTTATAATATATAGTGTTTTTGTATAATAATATTATTATGTAATAGGTAGTCAATATATAATTTTAATTATATCTAATTATAATAATCTTTAATATTTTATAATAAAAAAAAGCTTAAATAATAGGTAAGCTAGGTGGGCAGAGATTCTAATTGTATATGATTTCGAAATAGTAAACAGATCAGAAAAATTAAATTCTGTTAATAGACTATCACACCACCCTGATTATGTAATAGAAATAAAAAATATCAATAATATACTTCTAATCTTATAGAATAAATTAAAGAATAGATTAATAATTATAGAATTATTTTATAATATATTCACTGAAAAGACAAAGCTTTTATATAATATTATAGATTTTTTATAATAGAAAGAATATAGCTTATTATTTTATGAATAATCAGCTTTATTAATTAAAATTAGTTGTAAATAATCGATATTTTATTAAATAGCTTGTATTTTAGCAAAAAACGAAATAATATATAAACTAATATTAAAAATAATAGAAAATACTTTATTATATCTTTAATAAAATAATAAATTTATAAAGAATAAAGAATATCTGAATTAAAGATTATATTTTATTAAAATTGTTTTATTTTAACAAATAAATATCAATAAGCTTTTTAAAT